ACCTGCCCCACTGGGGTGACGGGATCTGACTTCGATGGCATCTGCACACCCCGTTTCTAGCCGGGTCATGCAGTCCCAGAGTGAGGACAGCAGTGTCCATGGGGACACAGCAGCGCACCTGCATTGGCCTGTCTGTCTGTCCGTCGCTCTTCCTGGAGCCTGTGCATCCTGAGAGCAGGACAGGGTGAGGCGAGTTCGCTCTCCCTGGCGCAGGGTTCAGCACTGGGCATACCGTGCACCAGGCTCGGGTGAGGGGCGAGAAGACGCCGCAGGTGTCCATGTGGAGTCCCCACCGGCTCAGGCTGCTCCTGGCTCTGCCCTGGAGGGGGCTCAGCAGGTGACAGGTGGGTGGCAGGTGCCTCCAGACCCCACAGGAGCAGGCTGCTGCCTGAGCATCTCTCTGCTCATCCCACTCCTAGCGGGTCACAGAAACTGCATGTGCCGGAGAATCTGAGGGCAGGAGTGGCAGTGGGGCAGAGAGGCCCTGAGAGCTGTCCTCAGAGCCCACAGCTCCAGATCTGGGCTCTGCACCCGCCGAGCATGCCAGGTCTGCACAGTTGGGCCGCTCCAGCCTTCAGCCCCAGCCCAGGCCGTCCTTCCTGCAGCCTCGCCATGGCCCACAAGTGTGTCCAAAGCCAGGGGAGGCATTTCGGGGGTTCGTGGCAGTGTCTTTCCCTGTGACACAGCTTTCGGTATAACATCACCATGTGTCTTGATCCCACCTCTCGAACTGTTCTGTGCATCACCATGGGGTCGGTCGAGTGCAGCCTGCCTGGACCCCTCCCCAGCCGAGCCCCAAGGTCTCAGAGGACGGAGGGGAGGGTGGAGAGCCAGCAGCAAAGGACAATGAGCAGGAGAAACCGTCACACAACAGAAGCTGCAGAAGGAGACATCGGGAAGGCGGCGGAGGCGGAGGAAGGGCTCCTGAAGGCAGCGTGTGACCGACGCCTCCCTACAGAGGACCCGAGCGGCTTTGAGACACCCAAGGAGAACCCTAAAGATTCCGGAGAGGACAGGACTGTCCCACGTCCCTTGGCTGGCCTAGGGAGGAAGGCAGGCTCTGGAATTTTGTGCCCAGCAAAGCTGCCGCTAGGAGAGAACTGAGCGCTGTGGGTGTTTCAGCTCAGAAAGCTCACTTTCCACACGACCTTCTGAGAGATTGAGAATCCTCCAGTCAATAAAAAGGGGTCCCCAAAAAACTGGGTGTGGTGGCCCATGCCTGTAGTCCCAGCACTTGGGGAGGCTGAAGCAGGAGGATCACTGTGAGTTTGAAGCCAGCCTGGGCAACACAGTGAGTTCGAGGCCAGTCTGAACTGCGTAGTGAGACCCTGTCTCAAAAGAAAAGGAGAGGGGATCCTAGATCTAAGAGGAGGATTCACAGAGCACTGGGTCCCAGGCTGAGCCAGACAGGGGACCCGGGGAAGGCAGTGGGTGGCTGGCACCAAGGAGTGAGTGAGACTGGGTGCTGGGCCATGTCTCCCAGGGTCACAGGCACAAGGTGGCAGCCACATGTGGCCCTGAGAGCACCCACATCTGGCCACACTGCCTAGAAGACCCAATCCAGTGCTTGAGCTTGTGGCTTGACCGCTCTGTGCCTTAGTTTGCTCTTTTGCAAACTGGAGGAGCCTCCAGCACCTGCCTCCGGAGCATGTTGTGTGCCAGGTGCAGCGGCTGTGTCCAGAGGGTGTGCATCATGAGTGGTCGTCGCACTTGGGAGCGCGATGGCAGTCGGGTCCCACCCAACACCACGAGCCATGGGACTCCAGGAATTGCTGGGGAGCAGAACAGTGCTGGCGTTGCCCGGGCATCGGGCTCGGTTAGGGCTGGAGTCGCGCTGGTACTCTGTCCTCTGAGCAGTGCCAGGCAGATGCGACTGCTCAGCCACGAGTGGCAAATCCCAGAGCTGGCCTGCGGCTGCTGGGGACATCAGCTGTGGTTGAGGCGTGAGCTGTGGCCTGGCGGCAGGTGCCCTGTCCCCGCTGAGCCCACAGGCTGCCCCTCGGTGCCAGAAGACTCCACTGCTGAGGAGCAGGGGAGGCAGAGTGGGAGGCAGAGTGGGAGGCGTGGGCAGAGGGAAAGGAGGAAGCAGCCCAGGCTGGCAGGGCTGTGCGGAGAGTGAGCTTCCCGGGCCTCCGGGCCTTCGCGCTGCACATCCCACGTTCACACAGGAGCAGGTGAAGCCTGGGGTCCCAGCACCCCACCCCTGTCAGCCCCCCGAGGTCGAGGCTGCTCCCCTCTTCCAGCTCGGAAGCTGCTGCCTTCGCCTCGGAGATGGTGATTCTCAGACTTTTCACAGTAAAAAATCAAGTGTGATGCAGACGTCTAAAAATAGCATTGTTCTGTGTGCTGCAGCATTAAAATAAAATAAGAGGTGGAAATGATTTGTGTCATATAATTTTAAAATTTTATGCCCAACATGGATCGTTCATTCCTCCATGAACATCGACACTGTGTTGGGGCCTAAAGCAGAACATTCTGAACACGCAGGGCCCAGGAGCCTGGGGCCACCAAGCTCCTCCGCAGAGCAGCTGCAGCTGCCCCGGGTCCCCGAGGCGCCCTCCCTTGCCAGGGCAAGGCTGGGTGGCCGCAGACGTGGGTGCTGGGTTAAACCCGAGCCTGTGTCCTTGGCCAAGTGAGGATGAAGGAGGTGACAGGGTGGGGTGCCGTGTCTCCGCCTCACGGTGTGGGGGTCCTCTCAGGGACACTGCCCACTCCTGGAGCCCCGAATATCCAGCCTAGGTCACCCTGGGAGGCCTTGCTCCTTTGCAGTCAGCCCAGAGGGACAGTTGTTCAGGGGTGTCCTCCACAGGGGCCTCTGCCACGGCAGGCATCACCTTGTGTAACCTGCTGTCTGGTGTGTGTTGTGCGTTTGCTGCGTGTGTCCTGCCAGAGGCCCCTGCGGTCAGGTTCCAGTCCCCACCTGCCCAGTGTGACGCAGGCCTGAGAAAAAGACTACACTTGGAGACAGAACTAGGAGAGAGAGAGCGGGGCCGGGACGACCAGTGCCAGTGCAACCCACAAAGCCCTGGCCGGTCCCAGACACTGACTTTCACTGGCAATCCATTGGGTTAAAGGGGCCGGGTGGTTTCTATGGAAATGAATGTAAACAAGGCTCATAAAGGACAAGACAAAGCATTCTCGAATTAGGAACAGAGTAGATGAAATGTATGATTGTAATTGGAACATTGTCCTTCTAGTCTGAAGGTTTAGTTGTGGGAATGGAATTTGGGTGCGAGTTACTCTGACCTCGGCACATGGGCTTCGGCCAGACTCACTTCTATAAACAAGCCAACTGTGGGGTTAGCTCTACACAGCTGTGGAATAATCAACATTACAGTCCTCTGCAATGTCTAGTGTGTTTGCTGTGTGTCTAGCATGTTTGCTGTGTGTCTAGCATGTTCGTTGTGTGTCTAGCGTGTAGCCTCCACAGCATGGGTCTGCAATCAGCTTGAAGGTTACAGACTGCCAATATCTAGGATCGGGGAAGCTGGATCAACCACTTAACATTTGAAAAGTAATTTCTCTAATTCTTTGCCTTTTGTTTTGACTTGTGGGTTTTTGTTTGTTTTGGGGTATTTTTTGTACTGGGTATTGAACCCAGGGCCTTTGCATTGAGCTACATCCCAGCCCTTTTATCTTTTGGAACAAGGTCTTGCTAAATTGATAAGTTTCTGGGCTGGGCTTGAATGTGATCTTTATAATTTCCTCCCTTGTATGAGCTCTGGGGTTTTCCTGCTCTTCTTTTTCTAGAAGCTTGAGGTTCAGCATCAGGTTGTTTAATTGAGCTCGTTCTGTTTTCCTAATATGTGCATTCACTGCTATGAATTTCCCTCGTAAGACTGCTTTCATTGTGTCCCATAGATTCCGATATGTTGTATTGTCATTGTCATTTAGTTGAAGGAACTGTCTGATTTCTTCTTTAATTTCCTCTGTGACCCATTGGTTATTCAGAAGTGTGTTGTTCAGTTTCCATGTGTTTATGAAATTTTTGCAGTTTCTTTTGCTATGGATCTCCAATTTCATCGCACTATGGTCTGATAATATACAGGGGATAACTTCAATTCCTTTGCACTTACTGAAACATGTTCTATGAGCGAATATGTGGTCTCTTTTGGAGAATGACCTGTGTGCAGCTGAAAAGAATGTGTATTCTGATTTTGTGGGGTGGAACACTCTGTAATCATCTGTTAAATTCATTTGTTCAAGAGTTCGATTGAGTTCTAGTATTTCATTACTTAGTTTTTGTCTAATTGGTCTATCTATTTGTGACAGTGGGCTATTGAGGTCCCCTACTACAATTGTATTTGTGCATATATGACTTTTCATGTCCATTAATATTTTTTTATATAGCTGGGCGCACTAGGGTGGGCTGGGCTTGAATGTATGATCCTCCTGCTTCAGCTTCCCAGAGTGCTGCATGACAGGTATGCGCCACCAAGCCCGCTTCTTTGGAGTTTTTTAATTTTGGGGGGGGGGGTACCAGGGATCAAACTCGGGACCTTGTGCTTATGAAGCAGGCAGTGGAACCACTGAGCTAAATCCCCTGTCCTTGTTTTGTTTTTTGAGACAGAGTCTCACTTTGTAGCCCAGGCTGGCCTCAAACTCGGCAATCCTCCTGCCTCAGCCTTCTGAGTGCTGGGATTACTGGCGTGCACCACCAGGCCAGGCTGTTTTGTTTCACTTTTCAGTAAGTTTCAGGAGTATGGGAAGCAAGTTTAGAGCCTTGAGAAGCCCCACCCACCTGCCTCGGCGCTGACCTCCCACGCTGCCTGTGTGATCAGCTCTGGGCAGGAAACACTGACTCTGCTCCTCGTGGAGCCGGGGCCTCCAGGCTCCTCGGTGCTGCGAGTCCAGCCCGTGTCTGGGAGGCCCCACCTGCCCACGGCGTCACAAGGAGCAGTGCCTGACCCTAACCCTGCCCGGCCCCCCGCCAGCCTGTTCCCAGCAACCTTTGCCCTCTCCAGAGGCGGCCCCACCGACCACCCTCTCTGTCCCTGCAGGCCTGGCCAAGCCCATCGGCCTGGTGGAGGGGCCAGGTGGCCTGGGCCAGGGGGGCATGGCGGCTGCCCTGCGCGAAGACAGCCAAGAGGTTGAGGGCCGCTACGAGGAGTACGGGTACAATGCCCAGCTCAGTGACCGCATCTCGCTGGACAGGACCATCCCCGACTACCGGCCCCAGAGGTGAGTTCAGGAGGGCCCTGCCAACCGCTCTGTGGGGGGCCCTGGGAGTGTGGGGCACGCGGGGCTCCACCATGGAGCCGCCTGGCTCTGGCCAAGCGTCTCTCGACCTGAGTGTGTGTCTGTTTTCCCTGCCTCTCCCTGCCTCTCTCTCCCTGCCTCTCTCTCCCTGCCTCTCTCTCTGCCCCTCTCTCTCTGCCCCTCTCTGTCTCTCTCTGTCTCTGTCTGCCTCTCTCTCTCTGCCTCTCTCTCTCTCCCTCTCTCTGGCTCAAGTCTCTGCTCCTGGGCATGACTGTCCACTTTGGCACCCAGCCACAGGGCCGACCCCACTTCCCTTCTGCCCAGGCGCTGGCCCTGGCCCTGCCCAGAATGTCGGCTCCTGGACTTTGTTTAATGGCAGCTGTGCCGCCTCTGAAAGGCTCTGCGTCCCGTCAGGCTGTGGTCCTCTTACTTCACCACCCCAAAGCCCTGGTGGCAGAGGATCAGAGCAGCCCTGTCCCTGGCAGCCCCAGCTGGGCCCACGTGGCTGGGGCTGGAGTCCAGACTCTGGTCACACATCCTCTCAGAAGCTCGAGGGGCACCTGACTGGGATGGAACCGGCACCTACCGGGGGCAGCTGGGCCGTGCTGGGCCCTATGCTTGGGCAGCAAGCGGCTGCCGCCCAGCAGCCTCCTCCCAGACTCACTCCCAGGGACTCCACTGGGGAGGTGGACAGCAGCCTGGAGCCCGGGCCTTGGCGGTCTGGGTCCTGCAGGAGACAGCCAGGTGGGCAGTGATGTGTTACCCCCGCAGTGGGCTGAGTGCCCAAGACTGCCGCACGGGAGGGCACCAGCGCGCGGAGGGGCTCGGCAGCCCGCATCCGGTCTCGTGTGTCTGAGGATGCAGCCGAGTGGGGCCGCTGGGCCCTCGGGATCTCTTAGCTCTGAATTCAGCTGCTGCCTGAAGCCCAGTCCGTGTGACCCAGCTGACCCTGACCACAACCACCGTGCTCTCTGCTTGGGCAGCTCCTCACTGAGCACAGGCCAGGCTGGGGTCCCAGCGCCACCCTAGTGCCTGGTGGGTCAGGGTCTGCCTGGGGAAGGGAAGGCGGCGGCCATGTCTCCCTGCCCTGCTGAGGCCCTGGGGACAGCAGCCAGGGGTGCGCTGGAGTGAGGGGACATTGGGTGGGCCTCAGCCAAACCTGAAGACTGGCTCAGACTGCAGGGCACCAGGGCTCCAGCTCTTTCTACCGCCAGTCTGTCGGTCGCCTACTTCCGGCCTCAGGGACAGTGGGCTTGCTCACAGCCTTGCCCCGTGCACCCTGGCTCTCAGGTGTGTGGCTTAGTAACCTAGGTCCTGAGTGGGCCCTGGGATAGAGTGGGGGCTTGGGAGGTGAGCAAGGACAGCCCTGCATCAATTACCCAGTGTCACCGCAGGCTTGATGGCAGTGGTGCCCACACCCCGCGAGCATAACTCGCTACGGGAGACCAGGTGCTGGCTGCGCTGCACGTGGAGTTGCCCTGCGACTTCTCTGCAGTTCTGAAGCTCTTCTAAAGTGGAATTTCCTTAAGAAACAGGAGGGCGCTGTGGTCTCTGGACAGGCTTCAGACGCACAAGGAAACAAGTCCCGAAGCACCCTCGGGGCCTGGGGGAATGGGCTCCGCTTCACACAGGGATGTGGGAAGGTGGTGGGGCCTGAGCGGAGGTGCTGGGGCGCTGGGCGTCCACGAGGAGCACGAGGGCTGCCCCTCGCTGGTGCGGTCTGCACCTCCACTGTGACCCTGCACGGCAGATCCCCAGCAGCCTGTGGCACCCAGGGGCTGCATGGATCCCAGCTGCAGAGCTGGTTTCACAGTGGCCTTGCCCCGCCTGGGCACTGAGGTCCCACCTGGGGTGGCCTGTCCAGGAGCAGACGCCCAAGGAACCCCAGTCGCAGGGCTCTGGAGCCCTAGGGTCCCAGGCGGTGGCAGCGGGCGGCCCTGCAGCTGTCTCTTGAGCATAAACAGCCTCACTGCATCTCGGAAGGTCGCAGCACCCGTGGCTGAGCTCAGTGTCACGCTGCTGGCTCCTCCAGCCTCCCCGGTATTCAGGGCTCCCAGCTAGGTCCTCACACCCAAGCACAGCTGCTTGCCCGAGCCGGACCCTCGCGGTGTCTGTGGCTCTCGGCCCAGAGCTTGCTGAGCTGATTCCTTCCAAACACCACAAACTCAGTTTTTCTGCCCAACAGAAATGGTGCTGTTTAGGTCTGGAAGAGAGCACTGGGTTCCCTCACCCTGAGTGGTTCTGGCCTCAGTGCCCCGTGTGTGCTGTGTGCTGTGGTCACGTGACGCGCACGGTAAGGCACTGCACAAGCTCAGCCAGCAGCCAAGTGCAGGGCCCTCGGGACATGCGGCTGGGAGGAGCCGGGGCAGGACTGCACGGGAGGAGGCCTCTGTCCGGGCGGGCGGCAGACGGACAGACACACGGAGGGAGCCGCAGAGGGAGGGACGCTGGGACACCTGGCGGCTTCGCTTCTTTCCAAGCGCTGTTAGGCACAGGCCCCTGCTGTGTCACTAACTGTCACACTTGACGTGTGTTTGATAGATGTGCTTTTCTGTTTCCTCAGTGCTAAACAGTTTTTTAAACCCAGAGGGGCCTTGCATTATTAATAAGAGAGGTTCCTTTTAATGCAGAGTATTCAGGGCAAAAAATGAGCAACGTGCACTGCACTATTTCTGATTTAAACAGCAACTCGTGAGCTACAGGTGTTCATAATGAGTGCACTTTGTTAAGGGACCCTAAACGGCACGGTTGGACAGAGCCGAGAGGGGAGTCGGAAGGGAGGGGTGTGGGCTCACCAGGCTGGGAGGCTGGCTGGGGACTGCTAGAGCGACGTCTCACCCTGCAGAGCAGGTGGCCGCAGTGTCAGACCACCGTCCATCTGCACGCGCCCGCCCCGCATGGCCCTTCCAACTGTCACTGTCCTGCCTGTGAATCCCAAGGACTGGCTGCCTTCGCCCCTCCTCCTCCCCAGTGGGACCTGGAGCTCAGGTGGCCCGAGCCAGCATAGAGACGTTCCCCGCGGTCCCTCGTGGGATGACCTGGGGATGTGGCTGTTTCCCACTGGCTGGGCCGGAGCTGCTGTGCAGTGTGCTCGGGGCCCTGGGCCTCAGCCCCACCGCAGCCCCCGGGACCCCTCTCCAGTGTCCCCACCCCTGCTGCAGGTGTCTGTGAGCACCAGCGGCACTGGCCGCGCTGCCGGGGTGTGGGGCGTCCTGAGCCACCAGGAGCAGCCCCTGGGAGCCGCTCACCTTCTGCCACACGTGCAGATCATTGTCATGGCTCCGCAGCAGTGATTCCGTGTGACCAAGCGCACTTTAACCCAGACCATTACCATCAGCGTGAACAGATGAGAGCAGTCTCGGAGCTGGAATTTCTCAGGGCTCTGGAAACCTCTCACTACAGCTTTGTTTAAAGAAATAGTTCTTAAGAAATCATAGGAAATGTTTCTCAAAAGAGTTCGCTCTTCAGAGAATTTTGAGACTTTCCAGGGTGCTTGGCTGAAGAGAATCCGCTGTGGGCTTTGAGAGGAGCCCACTTCCGCAGAAGATGCTCCTTTTTCCCTTTTAACCATTGGATGCCCAGAACGTTTTCCTCACTTGGTCACCTTGTCCCTGCCAGAAACACCCCAGGCTCCAGCTCCTGGTTGCTGCAGGATGCAGAGCCTTGCAGGAGCAGCCAGGCCATCGATTGCTGCAGGGGCCCATGGCAGCCTGGCCTGCAGATGCCTCGGCTGTGCAGTTTTGTTGTGTTGCACTCTTACTCGTGTGTCTGTCGTCCAGAGTGCTGGAGTCCACGTGCAGGCACCAGGCACCAGGCACACACACAGCTCATCCCAATTGTTTTCCATGCCAGGCTTCTTGTGTGTGTTATGGGCCTGGCCTCAGCCTGCCAAGCCCGGGGTTACGTGTGTCCTGTCGAGGTCAGAGGTATGCGGGTCGTTGGTTAGGCCAGGGACCTCAAAGGAAAGATGGATCTCAAGTGAGGGAAACTCTGGTGCTGGCTCCCACTCCCTGGCTGGAGCCACTTAAGCCCCTCAGCAGCGGGCTGTCTACCGCACAGTTTCCAAAGCCTGCACCGCTGTCATCCCCGCCTGAAGCGCGTGGGCACCCACATCCTCCCTGTCCCAGCAAGTCCGGATCCCCACAGGAGAGCCGCTCCAGTCCCGGTGGCTGGGGGTGTCCAGCCTCTCTTAGGCACTTGTTGGCTCTTCATTTCGTCACTGAGGGTTGAGGACATGTTAGGGAACTGGTGTCTTGGGTTCCTTCCTCTTTCTCATGCTCTGGGTTCAGCCTGGTAGAGAAGGGAGCTCCGGGCAGCGTTGCTCCTCTGGCATTTGCTGAGTGATCGCATGTGGTGGCAGAGCTATGTCACAGTGGCCCACAGCCTCCGGGGCCCTGGTGCACCCAGCGGGAAACCCAGGCCCCTCCGTGCAGCAGACAGAGGCTCAGCACAGCATCCCATGCTCGGCCTGTTCCAGTGGGCATCTGCTGTCTCCTGGCCACTGACGTCCACTCACCTTCTTGGGTGGCCACTTGGGGACCAACCCTCCCCATCCTCAGCCAACTCCAGGATTTGAGGGGAGCACAGTGCAACCGTAAGCCAATTGGAGCACCGTGTTTCCTCCAACTGTGGTGACTGGCTCAGGGACCGGTGCCTTTATCCAATCAGAGCCCAGAGATACAGGGATGCTGGTCCTGCGGAAGCAGGTGTCTTTCCTCACTGGGCTGGAACCCCAGGTCGAGGCCTGCGGGAAGCCACCTTCCAGCACAGGCTCATCTGTGGTCACACCGAGCCAGAGATGGAGCTGCGAGTGGCAGAAAGAGGCCAGTCCTGTGACACCGTTTGGGCCCCTGGCCATGCTGGGCCTGAACCAGCCCTACTGGGGTCCTAGGGTTGGGCTGCTAAACCTCTGGTCTCACCGGTCAAGGCTAGCTTTGCCATCACCCACCCTCCACCCTGTGCTCCCGCTGCGTGGACAACAGACAGTGTCCTTGAAGGTCCTTCCTCCTTGCTGCTTCCTGGGCTCCTCCTTCCTTTCCCAGGAGCCAGGAGCCAGGAGCACAGTGTCCTGGGTCCACTTCTCAGCCCAGCGGGCAATGAGCTTGCAGGGCACTGCTAGGATCAGCAAATAAACACACCGCGGCTGGCAGCCTGAGGAGAGGTTTCCCAGGTGGTGAAGGGGAGCCCCGTGGGCAGGAAGTGGGGTTCCCTGTCACTTGCCGCTGGGCTGAACCTGAGGCCCCAAGGAGAGAGGAAGCCCCATTTCAGCAGCTGCCCCCCAAGTGCTTTTTGTAAAAACGTGTCCTTCCTGGGGCGGAGCTCTTCAGAACTAGCCTTGTGTCCAGCGGCCAGGCCCGGGAAAAGGGCCGGGGATTTAGCTCAGTGGCACTGCGCCTGCCTCGCAAGCACAAGGTCCTGAGTTTGATCCCTGGTACCAGAAAAAAAAAGGGAGAAAGGGCTAGCGTCCATCCTGCCCCCAGACAACTGGCTGTGTCCACTGCCGGCCAAGACATGGGCTGCTGTCGGCAACTGGGGGAATGCTTGGGGGGATGGAGCTCTGCTCTTCTCACAGCCTTGGGGCGGGGGCTGGCACCTTCCCTCATCTGGCATCCACACGCACATGGCTGGGCGGAGGAGACCCCTCAGGCACAGGTGAAAGACACCGCACCAGGACAGTAGGCCACAGCAGACAGCACAGATGGTCAGATGACAATGACACGGAGCCCCTGCTGTCCTCTGAGGATGCACTTCCTGCCTTGGCTTCTCTCTGCTCTGTGTGCATTGCACCTTCATGAAAATCGTGCATCCCGACTTTCTCCTCCACAGTGGGGAGCAGAGCCCCTTGTCAGGAAGCACTTTTCTGAGGGGTGAAATCTCCCTCGCATATCAGTGTGAAGGCCACGATGACAGCTTTCCCTTTGACAGCCACACAGGCAGCTCCACTGCAGCCAGGCCCTGAGCAGGCGTTGGCTCTTGCTGATCGAGCCAGGCGGCCTCCAGATGCCTCCCGGGTGCTGAGCTGGGGTTCAATCCTGCACCATCCTGGCAGCTCCGTGGGAGGGTCCTTCACAGCAGGGTGTTTGGTGCCTCTTGGGTGGCTGGTGCCTGTGGAGTGTGTGCTGAGTGTGTGACCTTGGACTCCGCCTCGTCCTGAGTGGGCATGAGCTTCCCTGGCTTGTCTCAGAGCCCCAGGACCTTGGGATGTGCCCTTGGAAGTGGGGCTGCTGGGATGTGACCAGTTAGGATAAGGGGTGTCCCTGTCCGAGTTGCACACTCGTGATAGCTTTCTGGGGGCGACCCGCGGGCGGACGCACTACACCGGTGGCTGGCCTTCTCCTCCCTCAGCTGTCGCCCTGTCACCTGGCTTAGTTCCTTCCAGGACTTCTGTGTGTGCCAGACTTGGAGCCACTTTACCTCCCTCGGAACCAGCCGTCCTGCATCTGCCCGGGCGATGCCCATGCCTGCCTTCACGTCGGAGCCAGGGCTTCACTGCCGTCCATGTCCATTTCAGAGAGATTCCAGCCTCTCCGTGCGCACTCTGCTGTGCCTGTTGTGACAGGAATGCAGCTGCACGTGTGTCTGACATGGCTGAATGGCTTCGCCATTTCTAGGGAGCTCCCATTTCAGCAGGGGACCTCCAAGGCCCCGGGCCCCTCCCACCCCAGCATGGGGCCCTTGCTGTCCGGCGTCCCTCTTCCCACCCATCTGGTTCTCGGCTTGGCCCGAAGCCTTGCTGCTTTTCCCACCTGCACCTTGGCATCCCCTGGGGCCTCTGTCCCCGCCCACCTGGACTGGGGCACAGTCCAGGAGACGCGGCCACACGTTGCTCCAGCTTCCTGCAGCCTCAAGGTCACAGCATGGACAGGGGCTTCCGGAGGCTGTGGTCACTCAGCTTGCATTTGCTTGGGACTAGAGCCTCCTGGTGGCCTCCCGGGACCTCGCTGACCGCCTTGCCCCTGTAGGTGCCGACAGATGACGTACGCCGAGGACTTGCCGCAGGTCTCCGTAGTCTTCATCTTTGTCAACGAGGCCCTGTCGGTCATCCTGCGCTCCGTGCACAGCGTGGTCAACCACACGCCCTCGCGGCTGCTCAAGGAGGTCATCCTGGTGGACGACAACAGCGACAACGGTAAGGGGCATGCCAAGGACGTGGGTGGGCCCTGCACACGCCCTAAGAGCGACGGCCACTGCCCCCCACCCGCGCTACAGCACACGTTGCTGCTTTGTTCTCCTCAAGCACACACAGCCACACTGACCACGTTGTGCACTTCCCAGCACTGATGCGTATCTGTAACCGCCAGATCTCACGAGCGTCCAAACTGGGACTCTGTCCCCACTAACCCCAACCCAGCCCCTGCCCATGCGACCCCACTTCTGCCTGTGGGGCTCTCGGGCCCTGGGGTACACGCAGGCCCCGCTGGTCCTGCAGTGACCCCTGACCGCCCAGAGTGATGTGGGCACCGCCGGGAGGCGATGTCCAACACCTCCCTCCTGCTCGCATCTCCTCTGCAAGATGCATCCTGTCCAGGCCCCAAGTCCTTCCTTGGCTCCATCTGTGCAGCTGTTTTCTCACTCTGTCCCTCTCCCTCTGGAACGGTGGCTCCAGGGGCCAGGCTCCTGACCCCCAGGACAGGAATTGCGTCCCCGGAGAACGTGCCTGACGCACTGACCTGGTGCTCGTGTCCCCGCAGCGGACCTCAAGTTCAGCCTGGACCAGTATGTGCACAGGCGGTACCCGGGGCTGGTCAAGGTCGTGCGCAACAGCCGGCGGGAAGGCCTGATCCGCGCACGGCTGCAGGGCTGGAAGGCAGCCACTGCACCTGTCGTCGGCTTCTTTGACGCCCACGTGGAGTTCAACACTGGCTGGTGAGGGAACCTGATGGCTGAGGGCCCTGCAGGCACCGGGTTGGGGGGCAAAGGCTGGGCAGGCTGCTGGACCAGACGGCTCCCAGGGTGGGCCTGGCTGGCAGGAGGGGCCCAGGGACAGGGACAGGGATACACCTACTCCCCGGTGGGAAACTCAGTCCGGAGCCCATGCCTCTTCCCACACTGGAGAAACCGGGCAGGTCCAGGGGCACCCAGGTCACTCAGCAGGGGGACCGGGACGGGAGGCAACGGGAACATCCCATGTCCTCCTCCTGTCTGCCTGCAGTGGGCACGGTGGGCATGAGATCCATGGCTGCCCCAGGATGGGCCAGGGTCACAGAGGCCACCCCAGCCGGCCCCCCCTGTTGGCAGAGCCCCAGCTTACACCAGTGGCCCCTCAGAGAAACCAACACCAGGTCCTGTGTCCACACCCAACATGGGGTTCGCAAGCCGAGGAACTCCCTGTGGTGCTGTCCCCAGAACCGGCGCTGGCCATTATCCCTGTCGAGGACTGGGGACCACCCTCCGTGTCCCAGGGGCCTGGGGTGCTGCTTTGGGAGCCATGTCCTCTGGTTGGCCCTGGCTTGGCATCCTCGACCCATCCACCACACGCCTCCCACAGTCCTGGGTTCTCTGCCACCACAGCCGCACTCTGTTCTGAGGGTTGGGTCTGCCTGGCAGGTTTCTGGCAGAGACTCAGTTTCCCTCTGCTCTGAGCTCCCGTACCACCTCCATTTCTCCCTCCTTCAGCACTCTGTGAGGGGACTCTGCTTTTCTGTGACTGACACCTCCTCTAACACTGCATGGACAGCTATGCGTCACTGTCTGCCCCTTCAGGCTCATCCATACTGCTGTCTGGGTTGCGCACTGCACAACAGGACCCGATAGGCTTTCTGCCCCTCAAATGTGTCATCAGTTTGTGGGAGCTGGCGCATGCTCCTGAGCTGCGTCTGTCCCCACAAAGCGTGATTTTGAGCCAGCGTCACTTTAACCCTCAGGACTGCAAACCCAGCCAGCAGTCCGGCGTTTGCAGGCCCCTCACTCCCCGTGGGCAGGCAGCTGAGCCTCCTGGCCTAGCTCTTGGGTGCACAGAGACCTGCCCTTGCCACTTGGCCCCCTGGCCCGGCCCCATCCCCTCAGCAGCTGGGGGCCTTGCAGCCTAGCAGGGTCCTGAGGAGTGGTCTCCTCTGCCCGCTGCTCCCAGGCGCTCAGCACACTGGCCCCACCACACGCCCAGGTCTCCCACTCCTCATCCTAGGCCAGCACAGCCGCCCTGGATGCCCTGTGCCCAACTGTGTCTCCAGGAGTCCTACACTACCCTCTGTTCCCCAAAGCACTCGCACTCCATGCTCACTCCTGCTCTGCCAGGGCCTGCTGCGCAGGTTGCGCCCTGCACACAGGGCCCGCCGCCCCTCCCTCCAGCACACAGCAGCTCCCTGAGGCGTGGAGTGTTTTCTGTTCGGTTCACAGCTGTATTCCCACGTGCGAGGGCAGAGCGTGGCACATACAGGTCTTCAGTCAGTGCTAGCAAAGGGTGAAGCTCCCGGAGGTCAGGAAGGGCAGAGGGCGGGATTGGGCTGAGGGGCCGCGCTGACCCCACCAGGGACTTGGAGCCCGGCAGCCATGCAGAGCTGTTGCCGGCCAGGCGGGCTGGCGGTACCACTGTGCCACTGCCGGTACTCAGGGCGTCCGAGGCTGCGGTGGGGATCCGACCCCGTGTCCTGCTCATGCCCCGATCCCTCAGGGCCGAGCCCGCCCTGGCGCGGATCCGCGAGGACCGGCGGCGCGTGGTCCTGCCGGCCATCGACAACATCAAGTACAGCACGTTCGAGGTGCAGCAGTACGCCAACGCCGCCCACGGCTACAACTGGGGCCTGTGGTGCATGTACATCGTCCCCCCGCAGGACTGGCTGGACCGCGGTGACGAGGCCGCGCCCATCAGGTGAGGCGGGTCCCGCCAGGAGGGGGCGCTGGCGCGCGAGGTGCGGACCAGGCCGGGAGGCCCCGAGGCAACCGTGGGCACAGCCAGGAGGGCGCGGGCTCCTGGGTGTTTGAGCTGAGTGATTTTCTTTATTTTCAACCATTTCCTAGACCCAAAAGGAGATTCTAGCTCTTTCTGAACGCACGTTGCGGAGCCTCTTGGGCCGCTGGGTGGCGCCCCGTTCACCCAGGGCAGTGGGGCTGCCCCAGCTGGGAGCTCTCCCGGCGTCTCACCGAATGCAGCGTCTCCTTTCCAGGGGCTCTGGAACCTTACCTCAGAGTCGGGGGCAAACCCTGCTTTCTCGGCGACCCCACAGGGGCCGGCGCTTTTCCTGCAGCACGTGGGTCCCCCAGTCAGGCTGCCCTGACACCCACACCCCTGGCCAGGTCTTCGGAGGCTGCCTCAGCCGGCCCCATCCTGTCTAGGAGTGTACGGCCACTGCAGGCCACAGGCCACGGGGCCGTCCCCAGCAGCGCGACATTCTCTCCCCAAGGAGCCCTCAAGCGGCACCTGGGCCAGCGCCTGCCTTAGGGCCGGGAGCATTCGTGTCTGCAGGCAGAGCGGGCCGCTCACTGTGAGTCAGGCACGGTGGGTGAAGCTACCCAGCCCTGGCCAGCCCTGCGTGGGCTCCAGGGAAGAGGAATGTTCGTCCCACAGAGGACATTGCTGTGACAGTGGGAGAGCTGAGGAGGTCCCAGGGTGGGGAGCCCCATACCACTGTCCACAGAGTTGGGTCCTCGGAGCCCCCGAGCCCGGAGCTGGGTGCCTGCTGCATGGGCCGAGGAGCAGGTGTGGCCACCTCAGGTAGGAACTGCTCAGGGCTCCTCTGGCCCTGGCCAAGAGCAATGCTTTGGGTTATTTTCCTCCTTTGATGCACTTGACAGTCCCAGTCAGTGGCACGTGAAGCTCCCACCTTGTGTGTGAGAGTCAGGACCCAAGTCAGCATTTCCCACATGGAGTCCTGTGCACAGCGTTGCCAAACAGCCTCATTAGCATTGCTGGAGAGCCACGAAAACTCCATGCCAGGAGCCCACCAAGATCACAGGAAGACCAGGCAGATGCTGCACAGAAAACAGGGCACAGGGCCAAGCTGCTCAGGAGAGGAGGCAGCATGGTGACCAGGATGTGCACTGCGGCCTCCATGAGAAATGAGTGCACACCCAGCACAAGGAGGGAAATGAGGCATGGACAATACCAGGGTGCACGAGGTATGGAGCAAAGAGCTGCACACGGGGTTGGTGTGCTGAATGAAAGGGACAACCATGTTGGAGCCCAGGACTCTCCCGGAGAGTTAGAAAATATTCCTGAATGACCAGCCAGGCCAGGGCTGGGAATCTACAGAGCAAAAGTGAACATATATGAGCAAATGGAGGCGTCAACACCAGGTTCCTGGGCATATTGTTCAAGAGAGGCCCAAAGGATGAGACTAAATGACCATGAAAATAATAGGCCTATCAGACATCACCAGGGAATATGGCTTGGTACCTGTGCATCCAGGTAGGTGGATCGCTCCATTTCCTCACTGACAATGACGGGGAACAATCCTGTCAGACATCTCCTCCTCACACCAAGGAGCAGGAGTAACTAACAGGGCAGAATCTTGATTATATCTCCTCTCTCATGCATGTGTACATGGATGTCCACACATGCACACACTAGGTCTGCAGGAGAGCAGAGCAGAGAAGCCAGCCCGATACCCACTGCTGGGCTCCCAGTGCCTCCACAGTGTGTACAGAAGGCTGGGGTTCACTCTTGGGGTCTGTGTCATTCGGTGCTTACAACATGACAGCCTGAAACTCGATTCAAACTGGACAGCTCCAAACAATGTTTCATCGTGTGGCATCAGGCATATTTGGTCCAGGGTCCCATCATGGCCACTAGGCTGTATCCTCCCAGCTATTCTTTGTGTGTGTGTGTGTGTGCGTGTGTGTGTGTGTGTGTGTGTGTGTGAAGGGAGTTGTTTGTTTGTTTGTTTGTTTTCAGTCAGGGTCTCACTATGTAGTTCAGGCTGGTTTTGAACTCAGTGTGTAGCTCAGGCCTCAAACTCACAGTGATCCTCCTGCCTCAGCCTCCCGAGTGCTGGGATCACAGGCGTGTGCCACCACGACCAGCTCCTCCCAGCCATTCTTGGCTTTGCCTGGCTCCTGATGGCCAGGGCTCTCTCTCTGGCTGAGTGAACTTCACTGTACAGACCGTGGCTCTCCGTGTATCCACCTGTCTACTGGGTTGGTTCTTCTCTTAATACCACGGCACCAACAGGGACCCAGCTCAGAGCCAAGACAGGAGGTGGGGCGTGGGGCTGAGCATCCCCAGCAGCTAGGACCCTGGGGGCCTGCCGGGTCCTGCAGTCTCCCCGAAAACCACAGAGCAGCCTGGAGGTGTGAGACGCGGCCAGAGGTCACGCTGGACCTGAGCTGAGCCAGGGCCGAGGACATAAGCCGAGCCAGGGCAGGCAGGGGCCCTAACCCTCAACCTAGGCTTCCTGTGACGACATCTGCACGCACACAAAGGGGGCCTGCGGTTCTGCCCGTGCAGTCTCAGGGCGGGGCACCCCGGGTACCAAGGGCCTCTCACTGTTTCCTTCCCTGAAGATGTAACGCCGGCTGGCTGGGCGGAGGCGGGCAGCCCCAGTACTGCAGGCTCTGCTGGGGTCCGGGTTTGGGGCAGCATGAAGGCCCTGCTGTTCCCTCAGAGACGCAGAAGACAGAGGCAGAGTCTGAGGCCTTGTGTGCCGGTGCATGGGCCCGGCCAGTGTCCAGCTGGAGACGCTTTGGGCCCCTGGACACGTGTCTGTCACTCTCGCTCACAATACTCCCGAGTGTGCTGCCCTGTACCATGACTGCCCGTAGCGCACAGCACAAACAATACCCAGCCATCCTCTCATGCTTCCACTGGCGTGGCACAGGCTAAATGTGTGATGTAAATGCAGTTACCGCAGAAATAGTGGTCCAGTCTGCAATTCCAAAGTCCGATATCAGGCAGGTTCCAGGAGTTGAGCAGTGCACAACCTACACCACTGTACACTGCAGCCTGGACAGTGGTGCACAGCAGGAAAGGATACTGCAGGGGGTCGTCAGGAGACTCACGCATGGAAATGGTGTTCGAGGTCCACACAGCTCACTGGATGAACCCACACTGTCCTCAATTTCCTACCCCCGTCTTTGTCAGCTGCTTTGTTACAAAGGGAGGGTTTGGACCTGTTTTGTGCCAGGGACTTGCCAGGCTCGGAGGGGTAGAAGCCCCATCGTGGTGGCTGGAGAAACAGCTGCCAGGTGCAGGGCGCCGTGGCTGGGGGGAGGGCACAGGGCAGCCTGGCCTGTGGTGGTGCCCGGGCGGGGCTCGGGCCAGGCGGCAGTGTTGACGCCGGTCTCCGCCCCAGGACGCCCGCCATGATCGGCTGCTCGTTTGTGGTGGACCGCGAATACTTCGGGGACATCGGCCTGCTGGACCCCGGCATGGAGGTGTATGGGGCCGAGAACATCGAGCTGGGCATGCGGGTGAGTGCAGGGGGATCCGGGCCGGGACAGCGGCTGGGGACCCTGCAGCGGCCGGGCATGGCGGCACTGGGGGGCGGGCGGGGCCCCGGAGCTGGTCCTGGCGCTGGGGGAGGCGGCAGCTCAGCCTGCTCTGGGGGCGCCGGCGACGTGGGGCCTCGGGCAGAGCGTGAGCGTCGGGGGCCGCGGTGCCTTCACCAGGCCTGCACCCGTGAGCGCTGAGCACTGGGGCCAGGCCCTGGGCCGCGAGGGAATGGAGCCGGCTCCCCGTGTCCCGCCCAGACCTGGGGAGGCGGCCAGAAGGGGGCACCCAGGAAGGGGCTGCAGGCCCTGTGGCCCGGAAGGTGCTCCAGTGAGGCAGAGCACGGGGCAGGCAGGGGTGGCCGAGGGGTCTGAGCTCTGCTCCACCTGGGGCCCGGGGACTCCCCAACCTCCTGCCGGGCCCCCTCTGTGCCTGGGCTCCAGGGCGACACCAGACGGGATGGGCAGAGCGGACGGTGGGCGTGGAGGCTGCTGGTGGGAGGCCAGGCTCGTCCTGGGGCCTGAGCAGCTGGGGGCTGGAGTGGGGCGGGGCGAGGGGCTCAGGGGCGCTGACCTGGCATCACCCGGCGTGCAGCTGGGGACACAGGCTGCCAGCACCGGCACCAACAGGAAGGTTGGGGGCCAGGCAGGTGGCCCGGGGCCGTGCCGGGTGGGGTCTGGCTGGGGCACAAATGCTGTGACAGAGGCACAGAGCAGCGTGAGCCCCACCCTGCACCCAGCCTGGTGCAGGTCCCCACAAGGCGGCCCTGGCTCCAACCGGGAGGCCAGGCTGTGTGGCCAGGGTCGAGCGGGGACTCTCCTCCTCCTCTGTCCCTCGGTGCCTCCCTGCGTCTCCCTGGTACACAGGCAACCCCTCCAACCTGACTCCCGGCCGCCCTGCCTACCAGCGGGCGTGCGCCTGGCGTGTTGCGTGCTCGCCCCCTGCCTGCCGCCCAGCGTCAGTGACCAGCGGAGGTGGCGGCCGAGCCTGAGGGCCTGAGAGGGCCTGGCTGGGGACATGGGGTGGCAGGGACAGAGGACGGAGCTGTCCTGGCCCTGCAGAGAACCAAGGGGCCCTGAGAAGACGCTGAGGGTGGGAGACGTGAACAGACCCGTCTCCGCGCCTTTGTGTGCAGCTATGAGTGAAGTCTGTACATGTGTCTGCGTGTACACCGTGCACGTGTCTGTGCATGTTCACGTGTGCATCCAAGTGTGTCCACATGCCTGCAGAGCCGTCCTGGGGTGATTTGTGGAGCCCATACCCTGGTCCCCAGGGTCACCCCCCGGACATTGCCATGGTCACCACAGCGTCCCTGGTGTGGGGGACAGCAGTGTGTCGTTCCCCTTGGGGCACTGGCCGACAGCCCATGCCCCCTCTGCCCGGTGGTGTGCAGGGGGAGGGCCTGGCACCCGTTGCCACACTGCCCGAGGGCCGCGTGTCCCCGGGCTCCGTGCACGTTGCTTTCGTTCTTCAGGGCTTGGAAGGGGCTTGATGGCTTTCTTTTGGTTTTGCCTGTGGAGCTTCGACCCAGAGTTTGTTTAAGGTGAGGTTTATAAAATTTTATGCAGTTTATTAAAGTTACAACTTTCCAAACCTATTTACTTTAAGGCTTTAAGTTGAATGCAAAGATCATGTAATTATGGCTACAAATCCAATAAAACAAGAACGGTCACCCCCTCCATCTCTGATTAACTCAGGGGAGCAGATGAAATGCTACTAAACCCATTTGCTCCTGTAGTTAATCAAATCCCTTTGGACTGTTCTGGAGTGACACTCGTGTGACTTATTTTATTTCTCTGTAAGCACTTCGAAGCCTAGTGCTACACCCTCAGACCCCCAGTGTCTGAAGAGCCCTCGATGTCTGATGAATGGAACTTCACCCAAATCTCATGTCCCCAGGTGTCTCAGGACCGTCTGCAGAGCTGTTAGATCCTCTTGCACTGTCCAGTTTCATATCACAAATTTATAATCACCCTCAATTACAAGTTTTGTTTTTTGGGGGTTTTTTTGGTACCAGGGATGGAACTCCGGTCCTTGTGCTTGTGAGGCAGACGTGGTGCCACTGAGCTAAATCCCCAGCCCTCAGTTATGAGTTTTGAAGGCAGAATCAAGGTTAACCTGCAGATCCTTTAAAACATTGACTTCCGGCAGTGGCTCTGTGGGACCCGGCCCGCACCCTCTCCTGGGCTAATGCAGAGTGAGGCCTCTGCTGTGGGCCGACGCTGTGGGGTCCCAAGGCAGCTGGGCTGTGCGGGGACAGGGGCAGGAGCCGCGGCAGGGCAGCCCGGGACTAGCCACAGAGGGACAGAGGGGAGGACAAAGCAGTCTTGAGGGCTCAGCAGACCAGAGCTCTGGGAGGGTACCAGGGTCAGGCAAGGCTGAGCGGCCTGGGCTGGGCTGGCGCCATGCCCGACGTCCCTCTGGGCAGGCCTGCTCCTTTGGCCTGACCCAGCTGGCACCAGGGGTGGGAGGGCTGGCTGGGACCCGGGGCAGCGGCAGAGTCTGCGGGTGCCACGGGGCTGAGTGTGTCAGCTCTTCTGGTGGCGGGCGTGACCAAGGTGGGCTGTGGGTCCCTTCTGACATCGCCCCTGGGCACCCGTGGCTCCAGCTGACATGGCCACTGGCCCTGGCTGAGTCAGGTTTGCTGACCACGCTTCTGTCGGGTCACAGCCTGGTTTCCCTGCGGGCGCCTGCGCAGCCTTGCCCTAAGGCCGACTGGTGTCCCTGGCCGTGGGACATCGGGACGGAGGCCCAGTGGCAGTAGCTGCAGATGATGGCCAGGTCAGATGGCAGTGAGGCAGCTGCTGCCTCGGCCGCTCTTGGCCACAAGCCTATAGCCGAGCAGGAGTTGGAGCCACTCAGAGCCACAGCGGCAGAGAGGTGACAAATGATTGGAACAGCGTGCGTAGCTGGGGTCGGGTGCTGTCCCCGGCCTCGCCTGGCCCCTCCTGGGCCTCCCTGAACACTGGCCCCAGAGCTCAGCCCTGCGCCGCGCAGCCACCAGGGCCCATGGTGTCTTCCGCAGTGCAGGCCTCCACCCTTGTTACTGTGCTGATTTTGCTGTCTGCCAGCTCCCTCGTGTCCTTGGGGCTGTAACCACGTGGCCAGTGATGGGACAGCTCTGAGTGGATCGGGGTCTGTAAAGTGCTGCCTGCCAGCCCAGGGCAAGGTGACCCCGGGACGTGGCTGTGCCTGAGGCATTCTGGCCGTACCAGCTGGGGTCCGTGGCACAGGGCAGAAGGAAGGAAAGGCCACGCCAGCCTCCCTGGGGACGGACCTGCTCGAAGGAAGAGTCCACCCAGTCTGGGGCCGGGGACACCTCCCGCCTGCTGCCCGCCTCTGCCTACCTGGCCAGCACAGGCCAGGCCTTGATTTCCCCACTGTCCCTGAGGAGCAGCACAGCAGAGCAGCAGCGGATGCTGTAGCCGAGGCTGACTGTCCCGGGTGCCACCTCCTTTCCTGGGTAAACAGTGGGCTGGGAGGTGCTGCAGGGAAGGACACCAGGGCAGCACGCAGACTGCGAGTGATGCCTTCCAGTGGGGCTCTGCGAGGGAGCAGGGTGCAGTCGTGCCCGGCCACGTGACGAGGGCACCCACACACCGCCCTTAGTGGCTCTGAACCTCTCCCTCCCCTGCCAGCGCCGGGCTGCAACGGCCCGGGCAGCAGAAACGCTCTGACGTGTTCCCATGTTGGGGTCACAGCCGCGCCCTCTCCCTGGCCTCCCCCCACGGCTGTTTTGTACATGTGCGTGTGTGTGCGTGCATGCGTGCCTGTGTGGCTGGTAGTAAGCGTGTGTCTGTGTGTATGTCCATGCGGGCATGTGTGCGATTGCTGTGTGTGCCCCTGGGTATTCGAGTGTGCGTGTGTGGTGCTTTTCTCCTCCGCGTGTGCAAAGAGGTGTTGCTGGGCCGCTCTGCTCGATGGCAGTCATCGCTGCAGGGTGAGGGGCACAGGAAGGGTCTCGGCCCCGACTGCATCCCGGCTGCTCACATGCATGCCGTCTTCCTTTGCTGGTTTCTCCACTGTGCCCTCGTTTTGTGTTTGTTTTTTTTTCTCTCTCTTCATGGTGCTGGGGATCAAACCCAAGGCCTTTGCCCTGAGCTACATCTCAGCCTTTCTTTTGAGACAAGATCTTGCTAAGTTGCCCAGGCTTGAACTTGAGACCTCCCTGCCTCAGCCTTCCAGAGGCAGGGAAGACAGGCGTGCGCCTGGTTGGTTTAGGGGGCCTGCGGTAGGAGCTCTCGGCTGTGTGGCCAGCCCCTGTGCTGGGTGCTGGGTCCGCGGGCAGGGACTGACCGGACTCAGTGGCCTGCGGCTCGCTGCACCCCAGGACGTGGAGTGCCAGCCCTCGCACGCCGCTCCCTGCCGTCTCAAGTCTCACTCCCGTCACGCTGACGCTGGATCTGTCTGCAGCTTGTGTCTCTGCGGAGTGCAGGCCTGGGCGTCCTCGCAAGCCTGCGCTGGATCGCGGTCGGCCTTGCACCGGCCCGGGGCTCCATGCTGTGCCCAGGAGGCCTCCTCCTCCTCCTCCAGGGTGGCCCTGAGTCTACCTCGCTTTAGCCCCAGCCCTTCCTAAAGCGCGCTGCTGTCGAGGATGAGTGCGCGCCCATCCGCAGCCTGGGGTCCGCTCGGCTCCTCTCCTGCCCGGCTCCTTGGAGCCTTGGAAACGTCACCCAAACCCTTCGCAGCACCGCAGATTCAGGTGGGCGGGGCAGCGCGACGGCCCTGACCGCTGTGGCCCCGCCTCTCTGGTGCTGCGACTCCAGCGCCCCGCGCCCCGCCCTCTCCCCACCCCTGTGCCGCCCGAGGGTCCCGAGTGACTCCAGGTCCCCTCCGGTGGCCAGTTCTCTCCAGCCACGCGTGACGTGGTGGCCACCAGCGGCGGCCGGGGCTCTGGCTGAGTCTGAGGGCCGCTCCGCAGCAGGTCGGCCTCTGGCGCAGTGTCCCGCCTGCCTGTGGACGAGGGGCTTTCCCCGCCCCGCCTCTCCAACTTCCGGGTCCTTCCGGGCTGCGCCGCCTGCTTCTCACTCACGGGGCTGCCCTGTTCCCAGAGCTCCCCTCCCGGAGCTGCGTCTCCACCCCCCTTCCCAGGAGGAAGTGTCAGACGCTGTTGCCCGGCCCTGCCCTGCCCTGCCCAGCCCGTGTGGCAATCTCCTAGGGGCGCTGCGGCCCCAGCACACGGCCCCGCGGCCCACAGGGCCTGCCGAGCTCTCTGCTGTCCCCGGGACCAACCCCTGCCTGCTCTTCCCGGCCAGCTGCCCTACGCAGGGCCCGCCCGTCCTGCCTCGGGCCTCATTAGACTCCGGGGTGATTTGTCCATTTCTCCTCTGCCCCGGGGGCGTCTGCATCCTGGTGCTGCGTGGGGCTGCAGCCAGGAGCCCCGGGCTGGGTCTCCACCTAGGGCAGCGGCTGTGTTGGACACCCGCACAGTCAGCAAGGGCACAGCGGGAAGGGCGCTGGCAGCCTCCGCCCTGCTGAGGCTCAGCTGTCCCCAGGGCCTTGGCCGTTCTCCACAGAGTGGAAGCCGGAGGGACCTGAGTCCCCGGGGCCTGGTCCCGCGTGTCCCCTCCGACAGGGAAGAGGCGCAGGGGAGACCCCAGCTCCATAGCAGCCCTCACCGGGCCCCGGGGTCCTTCCTGTCCTGGGGCCTCGCGCCCCGCAGCCCGAGCCCCCGCTGAGGATGCTCCGTGTGCCTGGCTCCTTAGGGCTGCGGAGCCGCTGTGTCCTCCGCTCTGCGCTGAGCAGCGTCCGCCTCCGGGGAGGGGCGTGGGACGGGCCTCTGCAGGTCGGGCGGGGGCAGCAGGGGCTCAGGCCACTGCCCCAGTGCAGAAGAGGGCGCTCGGGGCCAGGCAGGCCCGGCCTGCAGCTAAATCCTCACCTCGCCAGCGGCCCAAACACTGCTCACTCCGCACGGCCGGTGCCCCGGGCCCACCGGCGCCCGACTCAGCTTCGGGAGACAGTGTGGCCGGGCCGAGCAGGATGCAGAGGGGCGTGGAAAGGACAGGGCCGCAGGGAGCCGCATGCCGGCCCGGAGGGCTTGGGCTCCCATGGGTGCGAGCTGTGGGACCTGGGCCTGTGCTGAGTCTCCCCGGGTGCTGGGCGCTGGCCTGGGGCCCCTGCAGAGTGCCGCGGTGACCGGCGAGTCCCTGAGGGAGTGGGTTTTGGGGAGGCGCCCACAGCCCGCCCACTCTCCTCGTGCCCGCCCGCCCGCAGGTGTGGCAGTGCGGCGGCAGCATGGAGGTGCTGCCCTGCTCCCGCGTGGCCCACATCGAGCGCACCAGGAAGCCCTACAACAACGACATCGACTACTACGCCAAGCGCAATGCGCTGCGGGCCGCCGAGGTGTGGATGGACGAGTTCAAGTCGCACGTGTACATGGCCTGGAACATCCCCATGACCGTAAGCGCCCGAAGGCGGACAGGGTGGGGGCGGAAGCAGAGCCCCAGGGATCCCGGCCCAGCAGCCAGGGAGGGGCGTCGGGAAGGAAGGGGCTTCCGTTCGGGCCAGCTGGGGTGTCGCGCCCAGCCTCCTCGGAGGGTCACTTTCCTGGTCCACAGGTGGACGTGAGGGAGTCAAGCTGGGTGTGGTGGCACACACCTGTAATCCCAGCACTCCGGGAGGCTGAGGCAGGAGGGTTGCAAGGTGGAGCCCAGGCTGGGCAATTTAGCGACTCAGTGAAACCCTGTCTCAAAATTTTGAAGGGGCTGGAAATGTAGCTGCTTGGTGTAAAGGCCTCGGTTCAGTCCCTACAGTAGTAGTGAAAAAGGAGAAGAAGGGGAAGAGGAAGGGGAGGAGGGAGACACTGGGAATGCAGCACATCCCACCCTCGCCGTTGCCAGTTGACCCCGTGTGGAAACAGCCAGCGGATACCCGTGGGCACTCAGAAGCCACTTTTGAGCCCTTGGAGACACAGGTCTGGCACCCCGGTGGCCACGGCTGTGGCAGAGGCCTCAGGCCCCCCTGCTCCCGTGTGCTGAGGACCTGTCCCCAGGAGGCATCTGTGTCCCCCAGCCCGGGCCCCACAGCACCCCCTCTTCCATCAGCCCACCGTCAGAACCACATCTCGTGCCCCCACCAAGGGAGCTGCCCAGGGTCTGGGTAACACCACCCGGGGCGGCCCGGGCTGCACCGTCCACCCTTAAGACCCCGCTGCCGCAGGCGAGGCCAGTCTCCGCCTGCCGCCTGGCCGGGGTCCCCCTAAGCCAGGGCAGTCTCCAACCTCCGGTCAGGAAGCCGTCAGGACAGCGCCAGACAAGAGCCCGAAGGGAGTGTCTGCAGCGGTGTCCCTTGCAGGCGGGGGCAGAGGACCCAGCTGAGTGGGGGTGCGGGGTGCAGCCCTCCACCCGGCCACCCCATCAAGCCAGAGGGAGGCGGCATCTGCACCCTCACCCTGTGATCCAAGGGCCCGTGGGTGCCTCGACTCCCTCTAGAGGGCACCAGTGTGAGCAGCCTCACCCTCTAAGTGAGGAAACTGAGGCGTGGCAGGCTAAGCACCCCTGACAGGTCCAAGCCCTGCCAGCCCAGGCCCCTGGCTCACCAGCAGGGTCACTGTCTGGAGCAAAGGGGACAGCAGGGACTGGGCAGGGCCAGGCTCCAGGTCCCCACAGTGGGCAGGGCCAGGCCAATGCAAGGCCTCAGCGCCCAGAGTCTGGACATGTGACCCCCCCCACACCCCTCCTGCTGTTTCTGCTGCAGAGCCCCGGGGTGGACTTCGGGGACGTGTCCGAGAGGCTGGCCCTGCGCCAGAGGCTGAAGTGCCGCAGCTTCCGGTGGTACCTGGAGAACGTGTATCCCGAGATGAGGGTCTACAACAACACCCTTACGTACGGAGAGGTACCGCTCGCCTGGCCAGCACCCTGGCCCAGCACACACGCAGGCGTCAGGGCCCAGAGGACACAGGCATGGCCCCCCATGAGCCCACACATACACTTGCATACGGGAGCATGCACAAGTACACAGACGCGTACAGGTGTGCACCTGCATGTACAGGCACACGGACATATGTGTGCAGACGTGAACATTTACATACTTCTGTGGACATGACATGTGCATCCACATGTCCATTACATGACTCGCACATGCTTACCCATGTGTATAAACACACACTGTCACATGCGCTCATGTCCACACATGCATGTGTTCAGGACCTGTGTGTGCGTGCTGGCAGGCCCACACTCGTGTGTGCAGACATATGCAGGCACATATTCCTGTGTGTGGACAGGCATGACCCTGTGCAAACACTCTGAAGTGATGCACACCTACAAACACAAGTGCACACACAGCTCCTCATGCACAAATGCACCTTTTCACCTCTGCCCAGATCCTGTGCACAGGGAGACAGCCAGCCAGTGGTCTTCCAGACAGACTGGCATGTGAACATGTGTGTGTATGCACAGGTGCACGCATCCTCACGGACAGCCATGTTCATGAGGCATGATCGTGTACGCACACTCATGCACACATGCGTACAGGCAATCAGCTGAACAGAGACCCCCAAGTCCCTGCCAGTGCCCAGTGAGGGCTTCTCAGACCCTACAGCCAGGCCTGGGCCCCGCCCCAGTCCTGCAGCTGTGCTGGTGGGGGAGCAGCAGAGGAAGGGACAAGTGCCACCTGCTCAGCGCCAGATGCCCAGCTTCTCCCTGGGAGCAATGCCCACTCTGGCCGTGGCGCAGACCTGGCTGCTGTCCTTGCCTGGGCTCCAGGCCGCTGGGTCCGAGTGTGGGGCAGGGGGCTGCTGCCTGGCCGTGCTCAGAGTGCAGCCACTGGGCCCCCGAGGCTGCAGCCGGCACCCGGCCATTGCCCAGGGCAGCCCAGAGCGGGCAGTGCTGCCTCAGCCTGTGGCAGGGAGCTGCGGTCACCTGGGGGCATCCCACGTGTGCTGTCTACTGGGGGCCAGTGGGGCCTCCACATGTGCCCCACAGACAGCGGGGCCTCACCTCCTGTCCCGGTGGACCCGTCCCCCTGGGGCTGGCGTCTGGGGGCCTCCTAGGTGACCCTGGCTCTGCCATCTCTGCTCACAGGTAAGAAACAGCAAAGCCAGCGGCTACTGCTTGGACCAGGGGGCGGAAGACGATGACCGGGCCATCCTGTACCCGTGCCACGGCATGTCCTCCCAGGTAGGTGTCCTGGAGGCAGCAGACACAGCGAAGGGAAAGTGTGGCCTTGGGTCAGACAGGTCTCAGAGAGCCGGGAGGCTGAGGCAGGAGGATCGCCGCAAGTGAAGGCCAGCCTGGGCTACCTAGTGAGGCCCTATCTCAAAACAAACAAGTCTGGCAAATCCCCTCCTGCTCCAATGTCCCCGAGAGTTGGGACAGGGATGGTGCCTTGTGCCCCTGGGCGTCCTCTGCCTGCCTTAGCTCTCAGCCCCGGCCCAGGCTGTGTGGATGCAGCGGGGACCTTGGTGACTCAGAGCCAGGGCAGCACCGAGAAAGATCTCAGGGGTCCCCATCGAGCCCTGGGACTCATGTGGCTCCTGCCCCACCTGGCCTCTCACTGAATCCTAGCATCTGGGGCTTCGTCCTTGGAGCTACCTGGGCAAGGCCCCTTCCCGTCCAGGACTTTCTGAGCACAGGGCTGGGGCCGGACTGCTCAGAGCGGACCTCTGCGGGGCCGGACACTCCTCTGCTCCCTGGCTTCGCTGCCCTGCCCAGCCCTGTTCGCTGTCCAGAGCCAGGTGACACCGCCCCTTTCCCCAGGGGTCAGGAGTGCGTCCCCTCTGTCCATGGGGTGCCCCAGGGGCCCATCCGCTCAGGGCAGCTGTCCCCCCAGCTTGTGCGGTACAGCGCTGACGGCCTCCTGCAGCTGGGCCCACTGGGCTCTACCGCCTTCCTGCCTGACTCCAAGTGTCTGGTGGACGACAGTCGAGGCCGCACACCTGCCCTGCGGAGATGTGAGGATGTGGCTCGTCCCACACAGCGGCTCTGGGACTTTACACAGGTCAGTGGGGCCCCGGGCCCGGGTGCGGAACTGGTGGGATCAGTGCATGGTGGCTGCCAGGTCCCAGGCCTGGGGCAGGGGCAGCAGGACTTGGGCACCGTTTGGTGTGATTCCAGGTGACTGACTTCGGCCCTGAGACACAGGCGCCTGAGTTGGCCCCCCTGAGCCCCAGAAAGAAGCCGTCCCTCCCTCCCTGCCTGCCCTGTGTGTGCCCCAGGTCCCTGCCGGCAGGGGACCCTGCAGAGACTGCTTTGGGGTCACCAGGCTGGGGCCAGGGCCACCACTGTCTTGGGGGAGGCAAGGGAGCTGAGGATCCTAGATGTGTTCCTGGTGCCTGCCCAACCCTGAGAGCGGGCAGCAGGGTGGGCGTGGCTGTCAGGGAACATGGGACAGAGACGGGATGGGGGCCTGAGTCCTGGGCCGTTCTGGCCGGCCTGGGGCTGGGGTCACCCCGTCCTCTCAGCCCTCTCAGGGGCTTGGCTCCAAAGCTGACTTGGTTTCCCCACCCAGGGAGGCCCCATCGTGAGCCGGGACACAGGCCGCTGCCTGGAGGTAGAGGTGTCCAAAGACGTGAGCTTCGGGCTGCGGCTGGTTGTGCAGCGGTGCTCGGGGCAGAAGTGGACCATCCGGAACTGGGTCAAGCACGGGAGGCACTGACCCTCGCCTGCCACCTTTGCCACAGGCACGGCTCTTGAGCCCCACAGACCCTCAGGGCTGGGCCCCGACTCCCAAGTCGGGGCAGGAGGGGAGCACCAGGCCACAGCCTCGGTCACCGTGTCAGGGGCGCGGACCCCAAGGACAGGTGGGTTGTCCAGGGGCCTCCAGGGACGGCGATAGTAATGCCGAACACGTGCCTTTTCCTCGGAGTTCCTGCCTTCCTGCATGTGCTAAGCCCTGTGCACAGCCCACGGGGACAGTGCCCAGCCAGCTGAAGACGGACGAGGACAAGGAGGACAGTCCCGAGACCGCACACAGTGCTCCCACCTGGAGAGAACAGATCCAGGCCTCACCTGTGCCCCAGCGCCTCTGTTCAGCCAATCTAAGGCAGAGATCAGAGCGGCACTGGAGGCCTGGTAGCAGGGAGAGGGGAGAAAGCTCTGCTCATGGCCCTAAAAACCCAAAGCTGTGCTATGGAGGTGACACCAGACCATGGCCACAAAGCCGTGGGGACATGTGCCTGCCCGGCCAGGTTGCCTGCTGGCCGGGGTCCAGGGATGGCACTGGCCGGGGGTCCCAGCTTTGCCCCCCCCAGCCCTGGCTTCAGCTCATGTTGCTCTCCTGCCCTCGGCGGCAGGGGGTCAGTGAAGGACACCCGGGCCCTTGCCTGTTTTTTAAATAAAGTTTTATTGGCACATGGCCACATCCATGGCTCACATGTCATCTGTAGCTACTTCAGGGTGGCAGGCACAGCTGGCTGTTGCTGTGGGGCTCCCAGAGCCAGAGACACCTCCTCTTTGGCCTTTTCAGAAAGCTTCATGCCGTGTCCTCGGGGGCCGGCTGCCTGTGTCCCTGTCTGGCAGTAGGCGGGACCCATGGGAGCAGTTGCCTTGGCTCTCTGTGGTAAGGATGCAGCGTCGGGGCTGCAGGATGCTCGGAATGAGGGCTTCCTCAGCGTGGCTGTATGCCCGCCCACACTACAAGGAGACTGGAAAGGAGCGGGGCGTGTGGCCCACCCCGCCCTGTCACAGCAGTGCGGGTCCGCACACCCTGGACAGTCACATGCCACTGTCCCTCCTGAACCCTGTGCCTCTCCCCAGCCCTGGCCTGGAGCCCCACAGCTGTTTCTCCTTTCCTGGGACCCCCAGCGCCCCTCCGTGTCAGGGACCCAGTTCTCCAGTCTCAGCAGGGCTCCTGCCAGCCCCTGCCCAGGGCTGCCTTCCTTCCAGTTCAGGTTGCCCTGAAATGTCAGGGGGCTGGCACGGCCCCAAAGTCATTCGGAGCCCGAGGCCAGCTCTGCGAGTCGCAGCACGGTTTCCCTGGACACCACAACCTGTGGAGCCATCGGCACAGGGCCTTGCGTGGGTCGTGCACCCCAGGGCTTCGCTGGGCTGTGGCCACTCGGGGTTCCGGAGCCCATGCCGGGCCCAGCTCAGAACAAGGTCGCCCTGGTGGGTTGTGCAGAAACAGATCCAAGAAAAGGAGGCGAGCACAGAGGGAGGAGCGAATAAGGACGGGTGGCACCATGGCTGTGCCGTGGAGTTTCCGTTCTCATAAGTGTCCGTCCACTGCGACTCCTGAACCCACACACAAAGGGAGGTGCAGGGCCGGGGAGCGATGATGCCACAGGGGCCACCGGGTGGGGTCCGGGGGCTCCCACTTGTTCGCTGCCCGGCTGCCTAGTTGGTTTTTCTTTTCCTTTGAAATCACAGCTGTGTTTTATGTGGCAAAGGTAGAGGAAAGAATTTAATGAAACCTAACAGCAGGCCTGTGTCTTTCATTGGTACAATTATAAATTGGCTCTACAGTGAATTCAGAAAAGTCCACATCATTTGTGTAAAACAGCTCACTTGTAGCCAGACTTCAGGGCCAGGCCTGGGAGGGACACCTGGAGCCGGCCCGGGTGAGCCATGAAGCCCGAGGCGAAGGCTTCCCTCCCTCCACGCCCAGTGGAGCATTGGGATTTAATTCTGCCCAATAAAAGCATTTGCTGTGCCAATCAATCTTCACCTACGGCCATGCTGTCTTCAGCTGGGTCCTGGGCAATGGTGGAGCCATGGAGGACCTGACCTGCAAGGGCCTCCTGCAAAGTCCTCACGCCTGTGGCAAGGGGCAGACAACCCCAGGGTGGGGGCAGGCCATGGGGGCAGCAGGGAGTGGGCACTATCCTGGTTCCTTGCCCATAAGGACAGGGCCGGGCGTGACGGTGTATGCCTGATTCCAGCACGGGAGACTGAGGCAGGAGGATTGCTGGGAGTTCAAGGCTAGCCTTATGCTCTGTCTCAGAAAATAAGAACAAAAGCAACGGGGGAAAAAGAAAAGGAGGAGGAGGTGGGAGGATACTTGTCTCAGGGTTTTCTGAGGGCTGGAGAAACCAGAATCACCGTTGTTTTTGAGGCAGGGTCTCACTATGGATGCATTCAAGGCTGGCCTTGAACTCACAGTGATCCTCTTGCCCAGCCCCTTTGGTCCTGGGATCACAAGCGTGAGCCACCACACTGAGCACCACTTCCTACATTGTCTGCTCTTGCTGCCTCGGCTGGCCAGCACCCCTGAGCCGCCCGCACTTGCTGTCCCTGCTGCTGGAGGGAGACACGGGCACTCACCCCACCAGGGGCCCAGCCTGGAGGGGCCCAGGAGGGCGATGAGCAGGGGAGGGAGGGCTGCGCGGCTGCGGCAGGGACCTCGCCTCTCCCGGGTGTCTGCAAGGCCCAGCCTGGTCAGAGCTGCGAAGCAGCTCAGGCAACCCCTGCCTGTGAACCCCCATGCGGGCCCTTCTGGGTGCTGCTGGGCCTCAAAACAGCTGCAGTGACAGGGCTGTAACCCTGACAACCCCTTGAGAGGCTGCTGCGTTGGGCACAGATGCCAGGGTTCACAGCCCCTCACCCCGGAAGCCTCGTCCTCACATTGAGGTGGGGGGTCGGCCTCCTGGAGCAGCAGTTGGCACACAAGGCTCCGCAGGCAACTTGCTCTGTGGTCACAGCACCTGAGTGGCCCTCAGGCTGCAGCTGCTGGGAGTAGCAGATGAGGTCCTGGGGCAGCCCCACCCCTGCTGCACTGCAGGTGTTGGGCTCCTTGCAGCTCCTGCTAAAACCCACCCAGTGCCCATGGCAGTCACCAGGGCAGGGCCTGCATGAGACTGGGGAGATGTCACGAGCCCCAGCCCACCCCGCACCAGCAGCTGCTCAGGGAGTCTAGCAGGTGGGCACCAGGCCTTGGCGAGCATGTGTCCCTCAGATGCGCAGCAGAGGGGTTGCTGGCTGCTTCTGCCACTGCAGTGGGTGATGAGCACAGGAGCAACTCCCTCTGCCCGCACTGCCCGCTGCGGGGTTGGCTCCGATCTGCCACTGACGGAGGGGCCTCTCCGTCCCAGCCCTCTGAAAGCCACACCGGCAACACCGGGATGTGTGCTCTGAGAGGCAGAGCACCACTGTGCTACCAGGCAGCCGCCACCTCAGCCTCTCAAGTACCTGGGACCGCAGCCCCACACAGCTGGCTGGCTGTGCCCTCCAGGTTCATTTTGTGTGTTTAACCTCAATTTCTAACATCCCAAATATTGCACTGCACAGGGCATATTCATATTAAACACATTTTGTCACCACTCTGGGTTTGCATAAAGCAGGGTTTTTTGTGCTACCGGAGATCCAACTCAGGACCTTGTGCTTGGGAGGCAGGCAGCAGCACTGCCAAGCTAAATCCCTGGCTGTATAAAGCAGTTTTCAAAAACTCTGGTTCAAGCCAGGAGGCGACAGGTTCGGCACTAGGAACGGATCAGCGGTGCAGGACCGACTCCAGGCTGGGCAGGGAAGCCCGGCCAGCAGGAGCTGCAGGAGCCATGGGTGGTGAGGAGCCTTCCGGAAGGGTGCAGGCGGGGGAGCAGTTCCCACATGCTCAGCCCCGAACGGTCTGCAGTGCTGTGGCTTTGGGACTTCCATCCCCTTCCCAGTTGCCCCGGAGGCCTGAGGCCCTGGCCGCCCAGGCTATCTTGCCTCTGGTGGTGGCAGGAGCGCCGGGCACCAGCCCCTCTGTGCCAGGCTGCAGGCCCCTTGTGCCCGAGCCCGAGGACCCGTGGAGTGGGATGCACAGCCCCAGGGCCATCCGCCTGAGGGCATGGAGGGCTGAGGCACAGGCCCCTTCAGCTGCGGACAGTGTGAGCGGCTGGCAGGACACCCGGGGGGATCCCCAAGGCAGGCTGGGCGGTGCCACGGTGCCAAGGCCCCATGGCAGGAGCCACCCGGCCTGGGGGCTGGGGCAGCCCTTGCCTCTGCCCTCACTCACAGGAGCTCCGGGAGGAAGTGACCCAGGAAGCCCGGCTCTCCCGGTACGCGGGGCCCAGGACAGGCAGGGCAGGGACACAGCTGCAGGCCGTGCACCTGTGGCAAAGCCCAGAGCAAGGAACCCCCAGGCTTGCCAGCACCCTGCCCCCACGTGGCTCTGCCTGCCGGTGCCCGCCCTCCTAGTGCAGACTCTTCGCCTACAAAACCATTTATTCAGGGGCGGGGCAGGGTCAGCCGAGCGTGAAGCACTGGGCGCAGGCGTCCTCCCGAGAGCCCAGCAGGCCCTGTGCAGGGACAAACTCCAGCGGCACCAACTCGGACGGCTTCTTCTTCAGGTCCCGCTCGAAGATCTGCAGAGGACGGTGACCCTCAGCCCAGACTGGCACGCGGAGCCCCTGCCCAGAGGCGCCCCGTGCTCACCTCGTAGGCAGTGAGCTCCAGGAGCGGCGCAATGCTGACTTCGGGGACCGACAGAGCCTGGCTGATGACGCTGGCGGCTCGAGACACCTCAGGGTGGTAATGCTGCTGGAGGGTCTGCCGGGTGGGGTGCATCAGGGCCTCAGGCCTCCCATACCCCCCCTCCCCCTGCCCGAGCCCAGCCTAGGTGCAAAGCCCCACAGGGCCCGGGCCCGAGGCATCACCAGGGCCAGAGTGGAGCGTCAGGAATGGCGGCCCAGGTAACCAGGGTGAGCACAGGGCAGGCCTGGCGGAAGAGGAGCACTCTGGGACCACAGCGGGCCGGCGTCCTCACCTGCAGCTCCCACAGGCAGCTCTCCAGGGCCCGGCTCTTCGCGGGGTCCTCCTCCTCAGGGTCGTAGGGGTCGGCATCCAGCTCTAGGATTGAGATCCAGCCCGTCTGCCACCCAGTCTCCCTGGGATGGTGGGGCCAGGGAGAGCCCTCACCAGATGTCTGGCTCACCCGACTCACCGGGGCCCCGCGGGCGGTGCACCAGAACGCGGCAGGCCGGGTGTCTGCGCAGCAGGTTGCAGATGAAGGGCAGGACCATGAGCAGGGCCTCAGGGGGCGCCATTAGTGCCAGGCGGGATAGGCGCTTGGCGAAAGCAGCCACCAGGTAGGCAGGGAGGTGGCTGGGCAGGGAGGAGGCATCAGAAACCAGCAGCCTCCTTTCTGCCCTGACTGAGGCTGCGCCCCTCACCCACCTCTGGGTGGCCCAGGCCTCGATGCTCAGAGGCCAGGCGGGGCTTCCTCAGACACTCACGAGGAAGAAAGGAAAACGTCGGCCAGGTGGAAGAAACGGGCCCGATACTTGACATGGAAGATGGAGGGATCCAGGAGACCATAGAGCTTCTGGTAGAAGTCAGGGTACTCCCTGAGGGAGGGGGACCACAGGTTCACACAGGTGAGCCAGCGGTGGGCAGACAGACCAGGGCCCAGGGAACCACGGCTTCAGCCCCTTCCCCCCAGGCTGGCTCCCCAAGTCCAGGCACCGGGCCACACTCACAGGTTGTGCGTATGAATCAGGATGAAAAGTCCATTCAAGGCCAAGAGGCTGATGGCGCCCCCTGCAGACAGGCAGTCCTGAATCCCAGGCCCAGAGCAACCCCCAGCTGGGCACAAGGCCCGGGCGGCTGCTCACACACTGTTCCCCCTGCCCAGTCTGGGAAAGGCAGTGATGGGAGCCGCCTATTGGCCACAAAGCTGTACCCCAGAGAACACGGGTAGGGTCCAGCCTCTGCCAGCCAACAGACCCGCGCCCACCACCCGTGCTCGCACCCCAGCCCGGCAGACGGACACCCACTCACCCACATCACAGGCCTCAGTGAGGAAGTCGATCATGAGGGTGGGCTGGGCCAGGTGGGGTAGGATGGTGTCATGCATGGTCACCAGGACCTTCTTGTAGAGACTGAGGGGGAGCTGGGGTGGGCATGAGCAATCAGCGTGTGGCCAGCCTCCTCCAGCCCCCGAAACCCAGCAGCCCCTTGCCAGGACCCTACCTTGTGCTTGAGGAAGCTGAGCCACATCATCTGGAACGTCTTCCTGTGCTCCTGCAATGGGGGCAGGCTGCCTGGTGCACCCCAGCTGGCCCCAGTCCTGTCCACCCCCAGGCCCCTTCCTATCTGGGCGCTGAACTTAGGGACCCCAGGCCAGGCCACAAAGTGACAGATCGCAGACCTGCTGGCGAAGGAGCCTCAGCCCAGAAAGGGACACATGTGGCCCTCGAAGATGAAAGGCAGAGGGGCCCTTGGCCTAAAGTCAGAGGGGAGGTGCCATGCGGAAGTGGTCTGTGTCAGGCTAAGCTCTACCTACCCAGGGAGGCTGCCCAGGCCCCGACGCATCTCACCTTCAGATGAGCGACCTTCCACGTGTCCGATGGCTCTGTGGAGACAGTGGGGAGCCGCCAGTTACCTAGCACTCAAGGGGACACAGGCCCTGCTGCTGCTCCTCCCACTGGAGCAGGATGAGGCACCACCTCAGCCTGCCAGCACTCACCTGTGTGCTTCACGTAGAAGCTAGAGATGTCCCGCTCCTGGCGGGGCAGGCTCACGGCAGACAGCAGGGTGAAGGCGTTGTTCCAGAAGGCGAGGGACACCTGAGGAAGCCTGGCCTAAGCACCTTCGTGTGGCTCACACCGCCCATCCACCTGGGATCAGCTTGTCCTCACCTCGGGATGCTGGCTGGTGACCTGGGCCACGGCATCGGAGGCTGCCTGCATGACGTGGTAGCGGATGTCATCGAACTCCAGGTATTCCCGGAACTGGGAGAGCAGCAGGCTATGGTCATGTTCTGGCGAGAGCAGGCCTCCCACCACCGCCTGGGGGGCAGAAATGGGATGAGCGCCTCTCCCTCCAGTGGGGCCCAGCAGCTCCATGTGGGTGCTGTGAGCCACACAGCACCCCAGGCCCCTGTCCACAGCCAAGGGAAGGTCCCCAGGGAGTCTCACAGAGCTCCCAAGGCAAGATGACGGAGGAGCATCACATCCCACCATCACTGGCTCGGGTATCGGGTAGCCCAGTCCCAAGCCACCCAGGCTGCAATGGGTCCTCACCCTGAAGAGTGTGCGGGGGAACAGGTATTGGCCTTCCCACTTGGGCTTCTCCAGAGGATGCGCCCCTTCCAGCTGCACAAACTTCATGAGTGTCTTGAGGGCCAGCTCCTGAGAAGCGCGGTGGCAGAGTGACCCAGAAAGCTCACCGCAGCTGGGAGCCCCTCACAGTGAGGCCGAGGCCTTGACCAAAAGGACAACAGAAAGGGGAGCCTGCCTCCACAGCCCGCCCAGAGGTGGGGCGATGCTGACGGGTATCATTACAGTAACTAGCACAGAGCTCAGAATAGGACCCAGCCCAGGGAGCACACAAAGGCCAGGTCTGCTCCCTATCGCCCAGTTGGGGAGATGCCACCACAAACCTCTTGGCATCAACACAAACCCTCAGGGTGCACATAGAAACTCAAGTGTGAGAGGCCAATGAGGCGCCCAACCAACCACGAGGCTCAGTTCTAGAACCAGGGCTACAAACTGCAATACAGCAGCTTGTGAGACAGGAGTGGGCGTGGGGTGGGGTGGGGACTGTATCGTAGAAGTGCACAGCCTACCTAAATAAGCACAGGAAGTACCCCTGCACCTCGGCCGTGGGCTCACTTCGTGGAAAGCTTGAGGTGGGCGTACGGGGATAACCGAAGATGAGACAAGTCCAGTGACGCGGAGACTCACCTTGACCCTGAAGGTGGGGTGGGCCAGGAGCTCACCTAGGCAGTTGCGGCAGCTGTGATAGCGATGTCTCATCCAGATCTTGTATTTGCGGGTGGCTCCGTGGGACCCTGCAGGCAAGGTTAGGGTGACCATCCCACGGCGATGGTTACAGCCTGGTCAGACCCACCCTCATTACCCTCTGTCTACAGGCTGGAAACTGGCATTACAGTCCCTGACCCAGGCTGGGACCTGCCATGCCCAGAGCCATGCAAAGAGGGGGAGCAGATCTGTGCCCCAGCCTAGTGCCCAGGGGCAGGGTCCCTTCCATTCACTTAACCCTATGATCTCAATGTCCCAAGGGTTGCGACAGAGGAGTGCAATTGTAAGAGACATTTAGTTTCACACTCCACACGCAAGACAGAACCCAGACAGACGCCCACCCCTTGCCCTCCTTCCTTTAGGTCAGGCTGCCGAGCGAGGCACTGCCTCAGCTCCTCCCAACGTGGCTTGGGTGTCCTCCCCCCGACCTGGGACGATGACAGCACTTGGGGGGCTCACCCCATGTTGACCAGGCCTCCCTCCAGACCTTAGGCAAGTACCTTAGGCCCTTCCAGGACGCTCACCTGCCAAGACTGCATCCTCGGGGGGCAGCTGGCCCACAAACAGCTCTCCCCGCTCCAGCAAAGCCCCGAAAAGTCGGCTGCAAGTGTGGATTGCTTCCTGGATCTCCTCCGGGTCCTCAGACTGCGAGGGGAGGCCGGGCCGGGTGACTTCGCCCCAGCGTGACTTCACGCCTCCCACCCCGACCCTGCACCCGGTCTCGGAGCCCGGGCGGCCTCAGCCCCCACCTGCGCCCCGCCTACCTGCAGCACGGCCAGGATGTCGAATACGGCATTGGCTTCGCCGCGGCTCGCCAGCACCGCTTGCAGCAGGCGGCCCAGCGCTCTGCGCGCCCCTTCACGTCCGGGCTCCCGCTCCATGCCGCCGCCGACCGCGCGGAGATCCCCGCTTCTGCGACTGCGCTGCTGGCGCGCTCGTGACGTCTCTCGTGACGTCACGGAGAGCGCTCGGGTGCTTTTCCCATACGTCATCGCCGCGCGCGCCAAGCTGGAGCGGCGGCGCTGGAAAGCATGGCGTTGTTCCACGTCGCGCGGTACCAGGGTCCTGAGGCGACCGGCCCGGAAAGGGCAGAGGCCGAGGCCGGAGCTGGCAGCCGGGCTCGCGCTCTGCTCGAGAGATTGCAAAGCCAGGCCCGAGAGCGGCAGCAGCAGCGGGAGCTGGAGCCTGCTGAGGCGGCCGCGCAGACGTCTGAGGTGCCGGGCAGGCGGCGGCGGCGGCCGCGGCGGAGGCCGCGGGTCAGCGGCAGGGCTGCGGGAAGACCGGACACGCCGCAGGCGAAGCGACTGAGAGCAGGTGGCGAGGACGCGGACGCAGACGCAGGTGGTCCGGGCGCGGTACGGGGCACGGGGACACGGGGACACGGGGAGAGCAGTGACCTTCCTGCCTGGTCCGGTCCGGTGGCAAAGTTGACGCCGCCTCGGCTTATCTGCCGCGCAGGGAGCAGCGAGGAGGCGCCCAAGGAGCGCAGCGCGAGCCCCGAGGCCCCAGACAGTCGGCCCCCGGAGACAGTGTCTGAGCTCCCGGGACCTGGCCAGGTGCTGGGCGGCCTTGCGAGGAGGAAGGCAGCGAAGGTGAGGGTGAGCGGCCGCCTGCAGCGGAGGGATGCCAGGCGCCCCCAAAGCCTGCTGAACCGTCCACAGGCCCCTTGTCCCGTGCGTCTGTCCTAGCATTGGAGCGGGTATTTTTGTTTGTTTTGGTACCGGGGATCGAACTCGGGCCCTTGCGCTTGCGTGGCAGGCGCCGGAACCACTGAGCTAAATCCCCGGCCCCCAGTGAAGCGTTTCTGACAAAGTAGATAGAGAGACTTTGGCCCGTTGTTGCCACTGAGGCAGGTTTGGCGGAACGCATTAGGCCCACTTGGATGATCTTGGAATTGGGGTTGTGTAGGGCCAGTGGGGGAGGACCAGGGACGTGACTGGCAGGCCTAGACTGGGAGGGCCTCGTGTGGCACCGTAGGTGGGCCCCTGGACACAGTAGGAAGTATGCGCGCCCCGAGGTGATGGGGGGTGTGGGTGAGTGCTCAGAGGAGGGCTCCGCTGGTTTCCCATTTCGTGTGTAAAGCATTGAGGAGAAGCGAGACGGCTCAGCCACCTTCTCAAGGCCTGCTTCCTCCAGCCTCTTTTGTGCCTGAGTCCGAAGCTCGTTTACTCTGCTCACCCACCCTGGAGGGCTCTGGAGGACTCTCCTGGTTTCTCTGTCCTGCTGTTTGGGGTAGGTCCAGCTTTTTCTGCCAATGTGGTTGGCCAACCCAAGCTGTGTCAAGAAGAATGTCACCAAAGACCTCGTTCCAATCGAAGACATCCCCGAGGTGCACCCTGACCTGCAGAAGCAGCTGAGGGCACGTGGCATCTCGTCCTACTTCCCAGGTGCCCTAGCCGTTGGCAGCTGGTGGGCAAGGCAACCCCAGGGCAGCCTCCCCAAGGCTTTGTTGGCACAGGGCCTTACACTTGGCTGTGTCCTGGACCTCCAGATGGGCAGTCAGGGCCCCCCCACCCCGCTGCCAGCTGCAGTTCCCTCTGGGAGCAGGAAGTCCTTGGGGAACAGCTGGACCAAGCAGGAGCTTGACCTACCCCTTGCTCCTCCTTATCCAGTCCAGGCAGCTGTGATTCCTGCCCTGTTGGAGAATGCAGCCAGTGGGTTTTTGGTGGGCAGAGGTGGCTACCAGCCTAGTGACCTCTGCGTTTCTGCCCCGACGGGCAGTGGAAAGACACTGGCCTTCGTCATACCGGTGGTGCAGGTGGGTTTGAGGGTTCCCCCCACCCCAGTCGTGGCTTAGTGGGAGTTGGATCTGTTGACACCAGTGGGCCTTGCTCCCTGCAGGCCCTGCTGCACCGAGTGGTCTGCCATGTCCGTGCCCTAGTCATGTTGCCCACCAAGGAGCTGGCCCAGCAGGTACAATGCCCTGTCCCCAGAAGTTTGCACCACAGCCACCGAGGCCCTGTGGGTGGCATGGTGCCCAGCCTGTGGTTGACCCAGGCGAGACCTGGAGTCCTTGATGTGCTAGTGACTGGGCTGGCGCCTGTCACAGGCCAGTGACATTCCTCGTAGGTGAGCAAAGTGTTCAACATCTACACGGATGCCACGCCTCTGCGAGTTGCCCTGGTTACTGGGCAGAAGCCCTTGGCCACAGAGCAGGAGAGCCTAGTCCAGAAGACGTAGGTCCTGTGGTGCAGTGGGCAGGGTGTGCCCTGCTCTGCCCCACCAGTGGCCCTGTATTGGGATGGCTTTGGTGGCAGCAGGGCAGCTCCTTGCTGCCAGAGGCCCTGGAAGCCTTGTTCTGTGATTGAGTTCCTCTGGTTTGCAGAGCAGATGGCTTCCGCTGCCTGGCTGACATCGTGGTGGCCACACCCGGCCGCCTGGTAGACCACATCAACCAGACCCCAGGGTTCAGCCTGCAGCAGCTGCGCTTCTTGGTAGGCCTGGGCCCTGAGTGAGGGCTGTCTGGGCCGGGAGTCCCCAGCAGCCAATGCAGTACCGCCCCACAGGTTGTGGATGAGGCCGACCGCATGATAGACAGCATGCACCAGTCCTGGCTGCCCCGGGTGATGGCGGCCGCCCTCCCCAGCAAGGGCCCTGCAGACCCCTGTGCCCTGCTGCAGAGATGGCGGCCACAGGCCGTAACTGCTGCCAGGTACCCCACACCCCTCTCCGCTTGGTGTTGTGCCATGCCTGTCCTTCAGTCAGGGTGGTATGAGGAGCCCGTCCCGCTGACATTCACTTCCCTTTTAGTGCTTGCTGTCCCCAGATGCCCCTACAGAAGCTGCTCTTTTCGGCCACCCTGACCCAGAACCCCGAGAAGCTGCAGCAGCTCGGCCTCTACCAGCCACGGCTCTTCTCTACACGGCTGGCACACAGGGTCCCCAAAGATGAGGGCACCGAGGTGGACAGGGACCCAGAGGGGAAGTACACCTTCCCTGCAGGGCTCACTGTGAGTGTGAGGCGTGTGTGGGGTGGGTGGCTGCTGGGCTAGTGCTCCCGGCCAACCTCTGCGGTCCCCTGCAGCACCACTACGTGCCCTGCAGCCTGAGCTCCAAGCCGCTGGCCATCATGCACCTGGTCGTGGGGAAGAACTTCTCCAGGGCCCTCTGCTTCACCAACTCCCGGGAGAACTCCCACAGGTGAGCTGGGCAGGGTGTACAGCATGGGTGGGGCTCCAGCTGGGCCTGGCCTCAGCCCAGTCTCTGCCCAGGCTCTTCCTGCTGCTGCAAGCATTTGGGGGTGTGAGCGTGGCAGAGTTCTCCTCCCGCTACGGGCCTGGCCACAGGAGGAAGGTCTTGAAGCAGTTTGAGCAGGGCAAGATCCAGCTGTAAGTGCTTGGCTGGTGGGGACGCGGGGATGTGCGTGTGCGTGTGTGTGTGTGTGTGTGTGTGCAGCCAGGGCCGTGTGGGAGACGTGGGTGCTTGCGTCCCCACAGCCTCATCAGCACAGACGCCACTGCCCGAGGCATCGACGTGCTGGGCGTGGAGCTGGTGATCAACTATGACGCCCCCCAGTACCTGAGGACCTATGTGCACCGGTGAGGGTTGGCGGTGGGCCGTGAGCTCCTGGCTTGGAGGGTCTTCCTGCGGGGGTCTGTTGGAGGTGGCTGGCCGAGGGGCCACCCTCCTTCAGATCCCCAAGGTGAGGGTCACACTGGTCTCAGGGTTGGGAGAACAGCTCGCGCGGGCAAGACAGGACAAGCCTTCACACTGCTCCTGAAGGTGCAGGTGAGGTACTGGCCGGGGACGCCTGTGCTCGGGGGTGCCAGGGCTGGACGAGAACCCCTTCCCACATGTGAGGTCGCTTCCCTCAAGGAGAGGACGTTCCTCCGCATGCTAGCAGAAGGCGGGGCGCCTGAGCTGGCACAGCACGAGATCCCCAGCAAGCTCCTGCAGCCGCTGGTCCCTCGGTACGAGGAAGCCTTGTCACAGCTGGAGAGGACGGTCAAGGTGAGGTGCCGGCCCGGGGCGCAGGAGACGGGCAACTCAGGGAGAAAGGGAGGGGGGAGGGCGAGCAGGGGGAGATGCTTCCTGAGCACCCGGCTCCTTGGCTCCAGCTCCGGGGCAGGGAGCAGAGTGCCAAACCTCTCCTCCTCCCCCCCAGGAAGAGCAGAAGCAAAAGGCCGCCTAGGCAGGAGACAGAAGTCGCTGCTATCTTGGTGAGCAGGGGGAGCAGTCTCCCTGCGCCAAGCAGGCCTCTGGGAAGGGAACGGCTGACTGTGCGCTCGTGTGCCTGCCTGAGGGCTGGGGTCAGCGTCCTGCCAACTCCAGGGAAGGGACCGGACAGAGGGTGGCCTGGAGGCTCCCTTTCTGCTTCACTGTGTGGAGTGAAGAAGGCCTCATGTGAGCTGTCGGGGGACTAGATGGAGAAGACTCACCTGCTTACAAGGCTTGGTTTTGTTTTGGTACTGGGAATCGAACTCAGGACCTTGTGCTTGCGAGGCAGGCAGTGGAACCACTGAGCTGCATCCCCGGCCTACAAGGCTTGGTTTTGAAGTGTTTATGTGATCCATTAAATTTTAAAAATTTGCCTGAACTGGATGCATTTGTTTGAAAACAGGAGGCCCGCAGTGGCGCCCCCGAGCTGTGCTGAGAGTCCCTCGAGCCCGGCCTTGTGGCTCCAGCATGGACCCCGGCAGCCCCTCGCCTCATACACAGCACAGGCTCCTGGCATTGTCCTCTGGCCGGGTGTGTGGTGGCTCCACTGGCCTCGGGGAGGCCCCTCCACTCTGCCCAGCCCTCTGGGACCCAGACCTCCCACTGCCCCTGCTGGCCTGTGGCCTCCGTGTGCCCTCCCTGCATCCATTCGGGAAGCTGCCCTGACGGACGGGGCTCACGCCACTCCTCCACAGGCTCAGCTCTCCTCTGTCGGCACACCTTCCCACACTGTACAGCACCAACCGCCAGGACCACTTAGTTCCTGAGGGCTTGCTGGCCTCCCCTCAGTACGTGGTTAAAACGAAGCTGTAATTTCAGCACTCAGGAGGCTGAGGCAGGAGGATCACTAAGTTCAAGGCCAGCCTGAACCACAAAGCAAGACCTTATCTCAGAAAAGAAAAAAAAACCCAAAAAACCAAAAACATGTGGACAGTGGGAGTGGGAGAATGGATAAATAACCTGACTCATTTTTTCACTATCAGAACTTAACCAGGAGTCCCCCTTCTTAGGCAGAAGCTTGCTTTCTCCAAATAAATTTTTCCTACTCAAAAAACCAAAAATTACGACAAGAACAAACTAGAACGCAACTAAAATTTGTAACTGCTGGGTGTGGTGGTGCACACCTATAATCCCGACACTCAGGAGGCTGAAGCAGGAGGATTGCCTCAGGACTTGTTCGGCTCATAAAGGACAAGACAAAGCATTCTTGAATTAGGAACAGAGTAGATGAAATACATGATTGTAAATGGAACATTGTCCTAGTTTGAGGATTTTGTGGGAACGGAATTTGGGTGCGAGTTACTCTCACCTCGGCTCGTGGGCTTCAGCCAGACTCACTTCTATAAACAACCAGTTGGGTTAGCTCTTCACAGCCTGCCTTGGGCACAATCAGTATCGCAGTCTCCTGCAGCTTGTGAGAAGTACAAAGTGAGACCTGAACTACAAAGTGAGACCCTATCTCACACACACAAGTTGTAATAAAAAAAACCCTATTAAATACTTGATTCACTTGTATTGGGCTTAAGAAGTAGTTTTAAAGCTGGGAGTGGTGGTGCACTCAGGAAGCTGAAGCAGGAGGATCACTGTGAATTTGAGACCAGCCTGGGCTACATAGCCCCATCTCAAAAACCAAAGGAAAACGGATTTCAAGTAGGGATGTGGTGTTCTGGTTCATGAACTTGGTTCTTCCCACAATTCCAGTCATACGCGGAACTGGTGGTGAAGGGAATCAAGTTTCAATGGTCAGGTTCAATGCTGACCTGGGGAAATCTGATTCAGTTCGTGACCAGAATCGTGGGCAGACCCAAGTGTGTGAACGGAGACCACTGTATCCTGTTTCTAGCAGACTCTTAGACGGAGTGCCATCCAGGAAACAAAGCCGCTGTGGGTGGCCCTCGGGCCAGCGGAGCACAGTGTGTGATCTATTCAACCAACCAGGTGGAGCACCTGGCCAGGGCAGACGGTGCTACCCCAGATGATGACCAGCGGCTGCCACGGCAGCTCCTGCCACCCTGTGTGGCTGGCTCCAGCACACGGCTGGTGACAGAAACCACAGGCTCCGTCACTCGTGTGACAGCGCTGCGAGGCTCTGTCCTCACACAGCTCAGATGCTCACGAGACTGGCTTCACCGGGGCCATGCCGACGTCACCGTCTGTCTCCAAACCTGTGACTTCCCTACAGCCTGGGCTTGGCTGGCCCTGGACATGCGGGGCTAACTTGCTGCCCGGTGGCCGGAGGTGGACAATGCAGAAGAGGCAGAGTCCCGCAGTCTCAGGAGAGCTGCACACACTACCTCATACGCAGTGTGGCGTGAGGTCCTGGGATCCCCACTGCGTGGGACTGCGGGGGCTCGCGTGGCCATGTGTTGCTGCCAAGCTCACACACCTGTGTCCTAGCATAGCGCCCAGGCCCAGGTAGCAGCTGAGGCGCACTCTCCTGGGAAGGCCATGCGGTGGGGCCTGGGGCTCCGGCCAGGGTGGCAGGGACGGGACGGCCTCCTTGCTCAGTGCTTCTGCCTCCACTACACAAGGCCAAGACTTATGTGACCTGCTGCACCCTGCATCACCAAGGCCCTGTCTGGGTCCCTGGAGAGGCCAGGCTGCCAGTACTGCGCCCTGGGTGGGTGGCGCTACTGTGGCCGAGCACGGCACCAGCAGGCGCTGCCCCAGAGGGTCCTCCGGGAGGACACGGTGTAGGTGACTACTTCTGAGTCCCTCTGGTCAGTCTGGTCTGGAAAGAGCCCAGCACATGTGCAACTCCCCACGTGCGACCATCCTGCCAACACCTGTGGCTGGACTCTGGCAGGGTTGTGGCCACCACTGTCCCCAGCAGCCCTGGTGCAGCACAGCATCTGCCAAAGGCCAGAGGTGGTAGCAAGGACCCAAAACCGGGTGACACGCAGGAAGCACTCTCTCACTGAACTCTAGCCTGGAGCTGGCCCAGGCTGTGTGGTTCTGATGGTTCCTGCTTTTCAGAAGAGTTAACTTTCTTTTTTTGGTAGTGGAGAGGATTGAACCCAATGCCTTCATACCCCGAGCTCCATCCCCAGCCTTTTAAAAGGTCTTTTAATTTTTTTTTTTTTGGTACCCGGATCAAACTCAGGACCTTGTGCCTGCAAGGCAGGTGGCGGAACCACTGAGCTAAATCCCCGGCCCACCAAAGATCTTTTAATTTTGAGACAGATCTCACTCAATTGCTCAGGCTGGGCTCAAATTTGTAATCCTCCTGCCCCAGCCTCCCAGAGGGCTGGGATATGAGGCACGCATCACCATGCCTGGCTCAGTACAGGTAACTGTGTCACAGCCAGAGCAACAACTGTCAGTTTCTGACCAGAGATGCCCACACCTCCTGACCTCCATGCGTCCCCCACATGCCCACGCCAGTGCTCACGTCCAGCACTGGGCTGCAAACCGGCAGGCCGCCGGGGCCCCGCTGCAGCCAGGAGAGCGCTCACTCCATGGTGTTTGCTGTGCTCCGGCCACGGAGGCTGTCTCGGAGCTGAGGCCAGGAGCGCCGTGCCAGGCAGGTGAAGGGCAGCAGGGACTGACCTGTGTGTGGTGGGAGGGGTGGTGCCCAGGAGGCTGGGGAGCAGAGCCCGAGCCCACGCACCCCAGCTGTGAGCTGCGAGGAGCGGCCGTTAACCCTGGACTTTGGGAGCGCTGCTTTACCTTACTGACGTGTGTGATTTTTATGAAATGCATGCACAAGCTTTCATCCTCTGACACTTTTTTAAAAATCAAAGAGAAGTCCAAAACCAATAAAAGAGAAAGGAAAAAGAAAAAGCAAAGAAAAGAAACAGTCCTGAGCCGTGCATGGTAGCATTTGCCGGCAATCCCAGCACTCAGGAGGCTGAGGCAGGAGGACTGCTGTGAGTCTGAGGTCAGCCTGGGCTACACAGCGAGTACCTGTCTCAAAAAACAACATACAGCCGGGGATTTAGCTCAATGGTTTCACTGCCTGTTGTGCAAGCACAAGGACCCGAGTTTGATCCCCGGTACCAAAAACAACAACAACAACAACAACAACAAACAAACAAATAGCAAAGAAAAGAAACAGCTCTGAGCTGCCCGGCAGGGGTGTCGGTGGCCAGGTGGCTCGGGGAGGAAGCTTTGGGCACCAACACTATGACTTGTTTCTTCACATAAAGGAAAAAAACAAAAACAACCAGCATCGTAAGCACCAGTCTTCCGTGAAACGCTAGACAAAAAAAGTATATAAAAAGGTCACTTTATTATGCCTTTTGTCTGGTGGGACATCAGTGCCCTTTAAAATCCTACTCTTCAAGTACAAATGCTTGTGTTTACAAAATATTTACAAATTCAGACTTGTTCCTTACATTTTGAAACACAACAGCTATCTGGTTGCAACAGTGAACAAAAACAATAACAACTGCAAAAAAGCCCCTGGCCTGGCTGGTCTGGGTCCACGCACCTTCTGCAGAGCACGTGAAGCAAGACCAGCCGCTGTTCCACAGGGGTGACATCCAGGTGCTACCACAGCCCATGCTCTGGAAACCTCTGAATGGTGACACTGCACTGGCACAAACCCTGACTCACAAAGGAGGTCGAGACACCTTCCTGCATTCACTGTACGCTTCATAACCAGCCCGACCCATGAAAGGGAAGGCAGGACATGAACACATGGGAAGCAGCAGCCTCGGGTGGTAGAGAGTCCCGCTTGGGGCGGTGGTACACCGGGGGCTGGTGGTACACCGGGGGCTGGTGAGAGGAAGGACACAGGAGAAACACCTCTGCCCGGTTCACGGCGGGGACTTGCTGAAGACACACTCTGGAGACCAGAGACACAGTGAGGAGACAGGGAGGTCCATGCTGCAGACGGGCAGAATCCAGCCTGCTCTCCAAAAGGCTTTCAGGAAGTGTTCCTGGGCGGAAGTCAGACGCACGCAAAGCAGGCTCCCTTGAGGACGGTGCCTGGCGGGCACTCATTAACCCCAGCGTTAGATCCTTCTGTGTCTTTTCAGCACTTCATTTTTGCCTTCTTCCTAATTTCTCATCAAAAGCTGAAGTGAGCCCCAGTGAGCTCCTGTCCACAGTCTGCAGCTGTCGGAGATGGGAGCTTCCAGTTCACCTGGCAGCAGACATAGCTGGCAGAGCCCAGCTGGTTGACTCGGCACGCACAGCCACTGCAGGGAGGTGCTGCTGGACAGGACCTCTGCCATGAGGACTGGCAGCTACAGGCCTGCAAATGCTGTGCGCTACGTTGCCATGGTGAAAGCAGAAGTGGGAGCTGAGGCCAGGCTGCCTCCCGGGCCTCTCCTGCCGAGTACCAGGGCTGCGAGCGTGGCGGTGGGTGGCACCAGAAGGCACTGGCCTGCTCACCCTGGGTGCGTGGATGCAGGTTCTCCAAACTATACCTGGGCCGGGCAGCGGCAGGGCACCTGTGGCCTTGCTCCTGGCTCTCACTGGGCCACCTCGCCCCGCCGCACGCTCCACAGGACACATGTGACCCAACAGTGCTGAGTGTGCTCCGGGCCTCGAATACCAGCCCCAACAGGACATTGCCACACCTGGGAGGCCGGCACACCAAGCCCAGGCCCGTCCTGAAGCGCACTTCATATGGAAGCTCAGCCCGCTGAGGAGTGAACTGCCCTCACACACAAGTCAGGCACCGGTCACATCACGGCATTTAGATGGGTGTCGGGACTGAATACGTTTGGTAAGGGAGGGGTCCTTGGAGTGTAAAGCCCATCCCAGGCCATCTACTAAGGCCGTGTTCCACTCAGGTGTGAAGAACAGGACGCAGGCAGACAGGACCACACAGTGCCTGAGCTGTGTGTGCCCTGGCTCCTGGACATGCAAAGCGCTGTATGCAGCAGATGTTCTGAAGACTCACCGGTGAATAAAGGAGAAAGCGCCCCGCTGCACTCCTGCACCAGCCACGCAGCAGACAAGGGTGCTCCCCTGCAGTGCAGGGCACATCCACAAACCACCACGTGGCTCGGTCCAGTACGACGGCTTCCTGCTTCCCGGGCCTTTCCTGGCATCCACCTACTGGCATGGAGGCTTGGTGGGCGTCTTCAGTCGCACAGCAGGGACCCGCATCTGCAGCTTGGGCTGCTGCCCAGGGCTTTCAGAGCTGGTGGGGCCCTGTGCAGGGCTTGGGCCACCTGGGGCCTGCAGCGGGGCGGAGGCTGTCGGCACCACCTGCTGCGGTATGAGCTTCTGCTGCACCACCTGGGTGGTGGCTGTCACTGCAGGGATCATCTGCACCTGCGGCCCGGCCGCCGTGGCCTGTGTGAGAGTCACTGTCTGCGGGGAAGCCTGACAAGAGCCAGAGGGCACTCAAGACCAGGACGCGAGGCCCAGGGCAGGGACGCCTTGGCGCCCAGGCCTCTGCCCCCTAACTCTGGGGTGCACCACCACTGAGCTACGGTCCCGGCCCTTTCTATTCAGAGAAGATTCTCCCTATGTAGCCCAGGCTGCTCTGGAAACTGGAATCCTCCTGCCTCAGCCATCCTTGGTGCTGGGATCATAGACCTACACCACCACGTCCAGCTGGGGCCTCTGCTTTATAACAAAACAGAGCATGGATAATGTTTATTTGGCTTCAAGGAGGAAAGGCAAGGCTGAGTTGGGGCTGGTTTAACACTACTTGGTTTCCTAAAACCCTATGCCGGCGTAGCTTGCACAAAATAAAAAACTGAAAGCAGCGCGCCGTATGGTCACGCTCTGCACAGTAATACACAGAGCAGCTGGGTGCGGCGGCGCACACCCGCAGTCCCAGCACTTGGCACACTGAGGTAGGAGGGTCCCTGCAAGTCTGAGGCCAGCCTGGCTACACAGTGAGTTCCAGGGCAACCTGAACTACATAGTGAGACCCTGTCTCAAAAAAAACCCAAAACCTAAAAAGCACACATAGTAGGAGGGCCTGAGGGCCTCCGTCGGGAAGGGGATGCACTGCTCCTGCCATCCTATCTCCATCCTGGCCTGCAGAGTGGGGCGCAGAGTCCTTCCTGAGGCCTGCACTCCCTGGACACTGTGAGAAACAACCGTCCTTGTGGGCCATGCCCCAGGTGCCCGCTGAAGGGTGAGCTTAGGGCAGGCAGCAAGGCCACACTGCTCGCTGCCTGCTCACACCTCCTGCTGCGACCCAGAACCCAGGAGCAGCTCTCTCAGCATTCACACTCGGCTTCCTCAGGACGGAAGCCAGATTCTAATGGAAAGCATCAAGCATGCCAGAAGGTCCGTGTGGCCACCATGTCCTACCTGTTGGGAGGCAGAAGCCACCTGCTGGATGCTGGCCACAGGTGTCTGCTGCTGGACAACTTGAGGGAGTTTCGCAACCTTTCACAAAACAAAAAAGCCAAACATAAAGCCACAGAATTCAAAAGAATGCGTGCCACAAGGGACGTTCTCCGTCCCCTTTCTTCTCACTTCTTACACACACACACAGACACACACACCCCATGGGTGAATGGCATGGAAGACCAATCTGCAGCGCCCTCCTGGCAGGAGGAGAGCGCAGCCCTCGTTGGATCAGGAAGGTGAAAGGTGGCTGCCTTTCTACTCTGGAAAGTGTGCAACTTCAGCTTGTTCTGGTCTTCTGTCTCAGTTACTTTCCTCTCTTAATAAAACTGCTCCAAGTTTATATGAGAGGCACTGGAGGAGAGATGTGGCGGGTCACTTGAGTCCTGGGCTGTCCCCACTGGGCAGGCAGGTGGTCAGACAGCAAGCTGAACATGCAGGAGGACTGGGGTCACCGTGCACCACCACCTTAGGAGTACTTACAGACTGTTCTCAAAAGCATGGCTGAGATCCTCCTATTCATTTTTCCCAGACGTTTCACTACACCCAAGTCCTGCTGTCCTGTTCCAGGACTGGCACACTGTGTCTGGCCAGTGGCATCTGGGACACTGCCCAGAGAACAGCCAGGCTCTGTGCCAGCCCTGCGGCCCCAACCCCAATTCCATGCCCTCCCTGAAGAACAGCGGTGAAATCAGCCTCACCCAGGAGCGCTCTAGGAAGACGTAGAATTATACGACGGAAGTTCTCACTATCAAAGCTAATCAAAAGTATTTACTAGTTTAAAAATTATGAACAGAAGGTAAGAGGTGCTGAGCCAGGCCACGGTCCTGGCCTGAGCCCCAGAGCTGATGGGAAGCCACAGCGCGGCCGGCTCCCGGGCGCTGCAGGACCACAGAGGGCAGGGTGCTGACCTGCACACCACCGGGAACATGGAGGCCTCCTAAGTGTGATACCGAGGAGACCTCTCTTTGCTCTGTGGTACTGGGTCTTGAACTCAGGGCCTTCACACTGAGCTGTATCCCCAGCTCTTATTATTTTGAGTCAGGGTCTCTCTATGTTGCCCAGGATAGGCACGAACTTGTGACCCTCCTGCCTCAGCCTCCCAGAGTGCTGGGGTTACATGTGTGCACCACCACTCCTGGCTCCCAGACAGCGTTATAAGCACACCGACAGCTGACAGAAAGAGAGGCACTGCTCCCCACACCTGGCCAGGCAGGACCAGCAAGCTGGAGCGAAGGGGTTCTGGCCAGCGCGGCCCAGACCCACCCCCGTGTGGTGCCCATAGTCACCACACCCCAACCAAAGCTGCCGTCCTGTGGGAAGCAGCACACAGGAGCCCGAAGCCACCAAGGCTGCACAGCTCCTTCCGGAGGGGACCGGAAGGAAACAGTCCAGCTCACAGCCTCAGGGACGGGGAGAGGGACACCACCTAGACACAGCACCTCAGGAGCAGGAGACCGCCTGCTCCCCACTTCCAACGTGCCAGAGGAAGGGCTGCTGCAGAAAGAGCACCTGCGGCTACACCTCAGATCAGAAGCAGCCAGCCTCAGCAGGGACGGCCAGACATGCACTGCGTCGTGTCACCATGGAGCTTGGAAACAGGAAGCCATGAGCTGAGGCCAAGCCGACCAGGGGCTTCTGAACACAACACAGCTCAGTCCAGATCAAACTCCACAGGCCTTGGAGGAACAGATCCGACCACCCAAGAAAGAAGAGTCAGAAGAGGAATGCCCTGGAGACAGAGGAAGGCAGCAGCACTCAGGACGGGACATACAGACACACAGACACACACAGACACACACACACACAGACACACACGACATGAAGAAGAAATGCAAACAGCTCAGCAGTGGCAGCACCTGGAGAAGCAGCAGCCACCACTGCCTCAGCTACGGGGTAGCCCAGCCAACCAGGGGCACCCAGACCGCAGACCCTACAGGCACAGGCAATGCCTCCAAGGAACTGCATGTGCATGTGTGCGGCATCAAAGTGCTTCTACCAGATGAACATCTACTTCCCATCAACAAGTGTGCTAAGTGTGGTGCTGCACACCTGTAATCCCAGCCCTTGGGGGGCTGAGGCAGGAGGATCACTGTGAATTTAAGGACAGCCTGGGCTACCTGAGTTTGAGGACAGCCTCAACTGCACAGCAAGAGCCTGTCTCAAAAACAAAACAAAAAAAAACCCCACCACTACCACAACAGCAAAGCAGAGGCCAGCCAATGGTGCTGCTGTCGCCCTAAGAAAACCAACATCATCAGCGCAGAATTCTGTAGAAACAAAACAACCTCTTAGGACAAAAAATGAAAAACAGCCACTTTCAAACACATGGAAATTCCAAAGATGTTCTCCAAGTGGAAGAAGGGCAGCGTCACATAAGCAGTCCCCAGTGGAAGAGAAGAGCTGAGAGCGTGTGACAGCAGCACTGTGTGGAGGGAGCAAGGGCACTGGGGGAACATGGCAGGCGTGACCTCGAGCTGTGAGGCGAAAGCACAGGCGGAAATGGCTGGGTACCCGCACCAGGCATCGCTAGAATAGTACAGGCTGTGGTCTTCAAACCAAGAGAAGATTAACAACGCAGTAACAAGGAGAGAGAAGAGCAGAGCTCAAAAGAGGCCAAGAAGAAAAGAGCAGAACAAGCTTGGCACGTCCCACCAAACCGAAGCCAACACCCCAGTGCAGCAGCCTTCCATGGGCCAAGTGGACCATCACCTTGTAAGGACAAAACCCAGACACCTGGTGTCCCCCAGCGGACACAAGGTCACCTGGAACTTGAAGTCAGCACTGCAGACGTCAAAGCAGGGCAGAGATGCAGAGAAACCCTAACAGAAGTCAGGGTGCAGCTTTACACCAGGAGCAACATAGGCCTCCAAGTCATACTGAAGACAGTGAGGACCACTCCTAGATGATGGAAGATCAGTTTATATGTAGCGGTTAACAAACCTTAAGATATGGAGGAAGAAGAGGAAAAAAATGTAAGAACAGGCTATCAGAGCCACACTGGGAAACAGCGTCACACCCCTCTCGGAAGCAGGGGGAGGACACAGCAGGCATGCTCGTACAGCAGCTGGCAACTTGTGGAACTGTTCAAGGCAGGCAGGTGTGAGGGGCTGGCACTCTGGGGGCAGCCAGCACAGACCTCACAGGTGCCATAGTACCTAGGGGCACTTATAGCCCCGAGGCAAAGTGCACAAAGCCCGAGGACACCATGACAGGAGGTTCCACAAACTAGAACAGCATTCCCTCATCTAATGGAAGGTGACTTTAAACCAAGAAACAGCTCCCTTCACAGTCTAGGCCAGGCCAGGCCGGGGCAGGGCAGGGCAGGACCATGGTCAGCAGCCAGCTTGGGGAGGGGAGGCCTCAACGCCAAGTGAAACCCCTATAGGTGAACTACTCGGATCACAAAAATCCCAACAAGCCTGCACATTAAAAAACCAAAAGACAAAATGTACAGCAGCCAGGACAGAAGATAGAAATGTAAAAGCATATCACTGACAAAAGTCTCAGAAAATACTAGTTAGGAATAAACCTAATACAATTTATGACACCTTTATTAAGAAATGAGAAAACCACTTGAACAACAAAAGGTACACGCTGGTGAACTGGAAGGTGAGACTAAAGATGTCGACTGTGCTCCACAGAGTCGGTGAGATCCCAATGAACTCCAACAGTTGTTGCACTGTGGTTATGAGCTCACTAAGCTGATGATAACTGAATACGCCAAGTGCAAAGAGCCACAAAGAGCCAGTTCTGCTGATAAAGAAGGCACCTTCTCAAGCCAGAGTCCTTGAGATGGTGTGGCGTGACACAGGCACAAACAAGAGTCGGAGCCCAGAGAGGAAGCCAGGGACTCGGGACAGTGAGGGGAACCACACCGAGCCCCTTCCTTCCCACCACAGGTGCAAGTGCACTCCGGGAGGGTGGGTCTGACCGAGCAAGGCAGGGCAGACAATGGAGGCATGGGATTCTTTCTTTCTTTCTTTCCTTCTTTCCTTCCTTCCTTCCTTCCTTCCTTTTCCTTTTTAGGTGCTGGGACTGAACCCAATGCCTTGGGTTCAATGTGCTGGGCAAGCACTCCACCTCAGGGTTATACCCTCAGCCCTTCCTATTTGATTTTGAGACAGAGTCCCGCTAAGTTGCCTTGGTAAGACACAACCTCTCAGCAGCTGGAATTAGACAAGTGCCAGCGGGTGTGATTTCTTCAGACAACACAGCTCTAGCCAGGACACAGACTGGCACATTCCAGCCCCATGAACTGGGAGAAGGGGCTGCGGCCCCCAGAACTGAACAAGACAGCAGGCATCTCTCGGGGAGGAGACCACCTACCAAATGGGGAGCATGACAGGGACCTGCACTCAGACCTCAACCCCACTCCTATGGACCCATGCACCCCACAGCCAGTGAGGCCCAGGGACCTGAGTATCTAGGGGGAGTGTGGGCCTTGGAGTGCACTCAGGAGACCCCAAGACAAAGTGGGGCCACAACCCACACTGGGGGGCCCAGACTGCACTCACCTGGATCTGTGTCTGTACCTGCTGCGTCCCAGCCAGTTTCTGCGCCTGGGAGATGGGCGTGGTCAGGAACTGTGTTTTAAGGGCTGGCTGGGCAGCATAGGTGACCTTCTGCTGTGGGCCCTGGGCAGCGATCTGCTGTGAAGTTAGCTGGGGAAGAGTGAGGACTAGGGTCAGTCGGGCAATGATCACGGCCCCACTGGACCCCTGCAGTGGCTACCATGAGCCCGCGGGGCCTGGGCCGTGGAGCTCTAGCACTTCACCACATGTTCCCAGACAAGGTCCTGGTGCTGTCCTGCCCTCTGCCCTGTGCCTGCAGTGCACCTACGGTGACACCTCAGCCTGCAGCCCAGCTCACCCAGGCTTCTCCTGAGTCCTGGCCAGCCCACCACCCCATACCACACAGGGAGCACTTCTGGGCTGGAGAGGGCGCCTATACCTCCCTTAGCCAGGCTAGGAATTTAGGGAGGGTCGCCATGCCACTCTCTGCCACCTAGCGAGGGCTTCACTGTGCGAGCGACTTGACCAGCTTCCCAGAAAGCACACAGCGCAGTGAGTCCCATCTAGGTATACCTGAGCACTGTGCAGAAGGCCACATGCCCAAGATGCCGAGGCTGCGGTCTGTTTGTGTGTCATAAGCCACGGCTCGTGCACACAGTCACGCAGACCCTACATTAGCAGAGGGCTGTCCACTGCTCTTCCTAGAACAGCTCTGTCTCCAGGTCTTGTCCCCACAGAGCAGGGCCCACCAGAAGCAGCACAATTCGGACCCAGACCCTGGATGTTACATAATGGGACTCAGAGAAGGTGTAGCTGGCTGCAGCAAGCACGAGACTCTGGTCTGCTGCAGTCACTCGCACCTGGTCTCCTTTTCCCACTCTGTGCCTGGTAAGTCCCTCTGCTCTGCCCCAGTTCCCTCAGAATCACACTGCACTTGGAGGTCAGCACCAGGGACTGCACAGCTCTTGGCCAGTACCCTGTTCCATGTCAGACCCGTCCCAGCCTTAGTCCAGAAAACAGCACATACAGCACCCGAAGTGCCAGCACCCCACAGGACAAGGAAGGCCAGGCCTGATGCTAGCAGCAAGTACCCAAGAACGAGGTCCCAGAGGTAGGACAGCCTGCTGGGCATCCCTTGCCGTGGACAGCACTGGCAGCCTCCCCTCCTCACGCCTGGTCCCTCCTTTCCATATCTGCCCCAGAAGCCAGGAAGAGAGCACAGTGTCCCCAGGCCATACACTGTGGCTATCCTCACTTCTCTGCACTGCCTGGACCCTCCTGTCAGCCAGTTCCATGCCTGCACCTGGCTCCAACCCCCACATCTAAGGCATCCTGGCCCTCTCCCTGAGCTGTGGTCTCTGTCTGTCCACCCTCAAAGACATCTGCGTCTTCTGCAGAGGCCCAACTCCATGCTGAACCAAGATCCCATGCAGGGGTCCCAGTACCTTCTGCTGGACGGCAGCCTGGCCCTGGGTGACCTGCGGCTGGATGGCCTTCTGCTGCTGGACAGCCTGCTGCTTGAGCTTCAGCAGCTGCTGGACATGCACAGGCTGGGCCACGACAGTCTGCCCTGCAAGAGCAACCCCGTGAACGAGCCAACTCCGGGTGGGGAGGCCCGCCTACCCTGGGGCTCTCAGATGGTCACCTGCCAGGGATGAGGGCTGAGCTGAGCCAGGATTGAGGAAAACAGCCCTGAATACACTAACAGCACTGCTGTGCTCACCAAAGCCATGTAAACAGGCATGGGATGCTACTGGCTTCAGAATGCTACTGGTTAAATTGGGGCCAGACTTCGACTTGGACCTCTCAGGAACTTAGAGAGCTACATGATGATGGGCATGAGCTGGGAGCTAAGGACAGGACGGGCCAAGGCTCACTGCACTGCACCTGGCATGGGGCCTGGCAGCAGAGGGGACAGCTGTGGGGGAGGCACCTGCTGCTTTCTGTGGCTGCCCGATTGCCACGCTGATCCCTGCGACGTTCATGGGCAAGGTCGTGACCCCTGGTGAAGAGACCACGGCAGCTGGGACAGACACCACTGGAGGCTTGGCCAGGGCCACCTGGGCTGGCTGGGGTGTCTGAGTCTGCATCTGCCCTTGCGCCTGCAGTTGAGAAGCAGGAACTCGGGTCTAAACAGAGGAAACAACAGAAGAGTCCAGTGATGGTAGGGTGTCATGTTTCCTTCAATATTCTCCAACAAGAGTCAAGCCATGAGAGAACTACAAAGATTACCACAACTGATGCTAAAAGAAAACACGATTATTTATGCGTAGCAGGCAACATGAAATCGTGAGGCCAGGCCTGCCCTCTGACCTCACTACACCCTGGGACAACCTCACAATGAACACTGATGCAGGCCAGGCAGTTCGTGCAGCTTGGCTCCCTTCCCTGAAGCATGCCCTGCTTGCTCCTGCACCCTGGCTCCCACTCATGGTCACTGCCCTAGCCGCCTGAGAGTCCACCCACCGGGCTTCCTGCCCTATGTGTCTACCATGCTACCACCAGGCACCTTCCCCTCAGTTACATTTAAACTAAGTGGGGACAGGTGCGTTTCACCTACACAGAAATAAATAAAAGTCACCCACACCCCCAGAACGACATGAAACTGGTAGCCTTCTGGGTGCTGCTCTCGTCTGCAGCTTGCCGTAAAAGCATGTGAAGGTGGGACGGATCGTGGATAATCCGGTTCTCTTCTGTTTAAACCAATCACTTTTCTTTCTGATGTTTTAGGGGAGGTTAGGAGAGTTTTATTGGAAAGAAGAATAGCTCCTGAATTTCCAGGAGGGGTCCCAAGTGGATAGCTCTTTGGATTTTTGTTCTCTCTTTATAATGTTTTGAGACAGGGTCTTGCTATCTAGCCTCGGCCAGGCTTCATGATGATCCTCCTACCTCACTTCCTAAGTGCTGGGACACAGGCATACTCCACTGTACCTGGCTTATAACAATCACTTATCAAAGCTACTTGATATTTCATCGTTTGGACTCTCTGTGGTTTATTTAGTGAACATCCTAGTAAGAGATACTTAATCTCCTGCATCATTTTCTCAAACAACCCCGTACATTTATTATTTTGTAATAGCCCCTTCGCTCCATCCCTCCTCCCTCCCTTTTCTTAGTGGCACTCGGGATTGAATCCAGGGTCTTCACACCGGGCTACATCCCCTGTCCATTTTATTTTCTGAGACAGTATCTTGCTAAATTGTCCAGGTGGGACCTGAACTCAGGATTCTCCTGCTCGAGCCTCCCAAAGTGCTGGGACTACAGGTGTGTGCCATTGCACCCAGCTAACTATATTATTTCTTTATTTCATTAACTAGTACACACACTTTTGTAGCTTTGTTACCAACACCCCCTCTAAAACAGGTCACAAACTCCTGTCTCCCAACGCCCTGCCCTGGCCATTACTAGGCTCCTGCCAGTCGCCTCCGCCCAACCTGCATCCCTGTGAGCTCTAGTGAAGCCAGGCTTCTTCTGTGGCTTCTCGTCCCATGGACACCCCTCCCTGTGGAGGGCAGCCCCCTCCCTGAGACCTACAGCAGCGGTCAGGCATGCGGAGCTGGGCCTGGGCACCTGGTCCCCACATTTCACTCGACATAGCTGACTAACTGTAGGATCCAGACAGCTGCTGAGGCTCCATACCTGTTTCTCCCTCTGTAAAATGCAGGCACAGGAAGCTCCCCCTGCCCTGGGGACATCTGGGCACTGCACCAGGAGCCCAGCACAGGGCCCTGCTCAGTCAGCCTCCACGAGGGCAGCCAGCACAGCGCGTGGATCACCTGCTGGGATGCTGCCACCCACGGGACACTGATCCTGGCTACTCTTCCCGGACACTGCTTTTGTCCTGTTATTTCCACTTTCAAAATCCCAAAGGCTTCTCTTGCCTACTCAGTGGTCACCTGTGAGTCACTTTCCCAGCCCGGCAGCTCACCTCCTCCCACTGTGCAAGCCTGGCCCTGTCCCTCCACTCCACAGTGCAGGGACCACCATGTCATGCATGCTCCTTCACTCAGTCCCAACCCTCCGGTCCCTGGGAGGCTCAGTGACACCAAGCGTGCCTTAATGAGGTACCTCACCCTCTCCCAGGACATGGAACACTCAGCAGGAGCTCGCCCTGCCGTGTCCTGCAAGCAGGCCACAATACCAAGCTGGCCCCTGGGCCAACCCAAACCCAGACAGACATGACCGTTCTAGAAAATGCACATCCGTGCTGGAACTTACGAGCCGCGCCACCTGGAGGTTGGCCACAGTGGTGCCTGTGAGCAAGGCCCCAGGTCGAGGGGCGGTGACTGTGGTGAGCTGGGGGCTCTGCTGCTGCGGGGGCGGAGGGGGCTGCACCTGCACTTGTGCCGGAGGCTGGGGGGGCCCTGGCTGGGCCGGCGGGGCTGGGGGCTGTGGGGGCAGCTGCATTTTCTGCTTCTGCATCTTGATGATGTGCTCCTGAAACCCAGAGAAGGAAACATTCTCTTGCACATGAACCACACTACACTCTTTAGAGCAAACACACTGACTGTAGTTACTGCTCTACCTCCAGCAAGTAACAAGGCACACATCTGCCAAACGCACATCATTTGGCCAAAGCACCCAGGTGTTCAACATCAGCATCTCAGCAAGAACTGGAAATAATGACTCTGACAGATGAGCAGGTTCATAAAATTTCTAGGTTCCTATCTCACAGTTTAAATATGTAGCACCATCAAACTTACTAGTAAGTTAAATAATAATTTAGTGATAAGTTGTGTACCTTTAAAAGAAGTGAATACATCCAGATACTAGTTCAAAAATGTTTTAAGAAATGAAAGGTGCCAGACATAGTAGCACATGGCTACAGTCCCAGCACCCTGGGAGGCTGAGGGAGGACTGGAAGTTCAAGCCCAGTCTCGACAACTTGGTGACTTGACAAGGCCCTGTCTCAAAATAAAAAACAAAAATAGACTGGGGATGTGGCTCGGTGTGAAAGCCTTAGATTCAATTCCCAGTAGGTACTGCCAAAGAGAGAGAGAAAATGTCTTTTAAAAAGAAAATTTACAGAGCTGTTCATGACTGTCAGCTCTCTCTAGACACGTGGACACAGAAGTGACTGACACTGACTCAGGACAGGTAGGGTGAAGGCAGAGGAGGCAGGGGGAGCTGAGACAGGGTGAGGAAGGTGGTTCCTGCCTGAGGCGGCATGGGTCTAACTGCTGTCTCAAAGGGAACAGGGTGGGCATGGGCACGGACCCTGAGTGCTGCAGAACATGGAGGCATGAGGGAATGAGACCCACAGGCACCAGACAGCTCTGCAGAGTCCCTGGCCTCTGACGAGGGCTTTGCCTCAGTGAGGAGCCCCTCCTGCAAGTTCAGGCCCCATAACAGGCCGGACCACCTCACTGGTGTCCATGTTTTTCTACTACTTGGATGGTGTCTACTCGTGACTGTCCATCTGTGCCAGGGATGTGGTGCTCCCTTCTGAAATGAATGCCTCTGTGCATATGAGAGCAAAGGTGGTGCCCAAGTTGGCAAAAATCAGCAGCCCAGCTCAGATGGGCCCCACCCTGGGCCCCGAGAAGTGCCAAGGGACCTCCTCCTCAGCATCCTCTGGTGAAGAACAGCATCGAGTGAGCTGAGATACACCATGTGCGAGAGGGCCGGAGAGAGGAAGTGTTTGCACAGGCTCCAGTCCCAAAGTGTGGCAGCAAGCCCTGAGACACTCTCAGAAGTGTGATCCACATGTATCAAACACCTCCTACCTAAAGGCAAAGCTAGATTTCTGCAAAGTGCAGTTTGAACTGCACCATGCAACAAGGCATCTGTGAGTCCTGCCTACCCGGGACCTTCCCAAGTGCTCACCGGTGGCAGCTTGCCCACGGCCTTGATCTGGGCAGGGGACTGAGCCTGGCCCTGGATCTGTGGAACTGGCACCTGAGAGGGCTGCTGTGGTGGTGGCTGCTGCTGCTGCTGCTGCTGTTGTCGGAGGAGCTGGAAGTGCGCAGGGGTGATGGTTTTTCCAGGCAGCTGCACCCCTGTGGCTGGGAAAACGTCTGTCATGAGCCCCATCATCACTCTTGAGCAACAGTCTGAGCTCCAGCAGCAGGTGTGAATGCAGAAACAACAAGCCCCTTACCTTGGGATACCTGAGTGACCAAAGACCGGGCTGGGGTCTGCACTGGGGTTAGGTTGGTGGTTACCACAGCCGAAGCTGTCACAGAAGTGACCGCTCGAACACCCTGAGTTGTTGCCATGGACACCAGGTCAGTGGTCACGGTGGCTGGGGAGCCAACTGCTCGCTGCTGGGTGTGGACCACCTGCGTAGGGGCAGAGCCTCCCGAGGTCTGGAAAGGCAAGTGAGAGCACATCACACACTTCACACCACACTCCAGGCCTCCCCTCAAAGGAGCACAATGTGGCCCAGGGTCCAGAACCCAGGGACGGACACAGCCTGGAGTCTAGTCTCCAACACAGGGCTCCATGCACGTGCATGTGCATGCGCACACACACACACGCACACGCACACACACACACAGCTCCCCATGAGCTCACAGACAAGTGCAGGAGCCATAGAGCAGTGTTCTTTTTCATTAGGGAACCAGGTTACTGGGGGAAAAGGAACAGTCTTGGAGGACAGTTTCCAACCCACAGGTCCCTCTTGCTTTGCTCAGAACATGGATTCTCCATTACTCTGCCAGCCCCCAAGCTTATACCCACGCCCTGCACCCAACCCACTGCTAACTGTCAAGCCCTGCTAAGCCTGTGCAGAGCCACAGCCCTTCCGGTCTTCACCATCTCTTTCCTGCTTAAGAGTCAGTGTCCTCCATGCCCCAGCCCACTGTCACATCCTGCTGCCACCCTTCCCCAGGCCACGATAAACCCTCTGATGTCTCCTCTGAGACACCCCTCCCAGGCATCATTTCTCTCTGTAAGTCACCTTGGCTCAAGTGCTGATGGTGTCTTAAGACAACTTAAGTCTGCTGTTGATCCATTTACACTGGATTGCTTACATACATGGATTTAAATCTAGCATGTTACTTTCACTTGCTATTTAGCTGTGTTTCTCTGTATCTGCTTTCTCACCTTTCATCTGTTCTCATCCAATTTTCCCCATCAGTGTGAGTCACACAATTTCTGTTCTTTTAGTAGCTCATCTAAAAACTGCATCATGAGTATTTATCAAAATCATAGGTTTTAAACAAGCCTACCCATATGTAATCAGATAATACCATGTACATGAACTTTACTTTTTTCAGCCCCACAGTGAACTGCTGCTGTTTGCAAGGGCAATCTTCATCCACCTCCACTCCTTGGTGTCCCCGCTCCTGCCCCGCCCTCCTGCACCCGAGGGGTCTTCCTTCCCGACTCTGCCTTCCTGTGACTTCTCAGCCCTCCAGGCTGAGTGCCTTCCTGGTACGTGAGGTTCACCTTCCAACAAAGCCCTACTAAGTCCCCTCTTCTGTGTCTCAAGATGTCTTTATTTTGCCCTTGTTCAGGGAACTCAGAACACCAGGGGTGGCAGCCAGGTCCCTTCTTTGTTGGCCCTGGGCAGCAGGCTGTACTCAGAGGCCCGGCCCTCTTTCCTCTCTCATGTACTGTGTAGCATGGTGCCTCTTCATCTCCTTGACTGGGATTAGCGGACTTTTCATATGCAAGGGTCAGTGTCATGTGGCGACTCCCCCACCTTCAGGCACCGTCCCTGTTCAACACTACCGAGCTCGGCTGGGTCCTCTCACTCCGTCTTCCATCTGGTCTCCCCGTGATGCATCTGGGGTAACTTCTTGCTCCTCATCTAGCCCACGAATTCTCTCATCACCAGTGTGATCCAAGCTCATCCAGAGTTCCCTCATCCCGACTGTGCTGACCACTTTTCACTTCTAACAGTCCTTTACACTGCTTTTACATATCGCTTTCCTTTGGTTTCTTTGAAACATGAAGTGTAACTGTTGCACAATCCACGCCTGCCAACCGTGTATCCTGTCTCAGGAGCCCGGCCACTGTCTGCTGTTCCTCTGGTCTCCCTCACGGTGACTTATCTTCTCATGACTTATCTTTGCTGTTTTTTACCACATACTACTTGTCAGCCTGAAAACTGTGGCGGTCCTAAGAAGTAGGAGACGAAAGCACCATCCTCCAGAGGAATCTATCTGCTTCTGGCCCCCATAGACAGCTCCAGTCTGGGCCTGTGGTGCTTGATCAAGGGGCTTGCAGGCCCTTGGTGGGCGGCACCACCTGGAGCACAAACCTGTGGAGGAGCCGAATGGCTGCAACACCAGGAACTTCCCTTCCAGCCCAGGGTGCACTTCATGTCTGGCCAGGCCTGCCCTCGGGGTGCCAGCCTGTGTCCACAGCCCTCCTGGACTCTACCTCGGGTGAGCACCACTGAGGGTGGACCTTGAGTCCCCTGTCCCCAATGCCCAAAGTACTCTCAAGGCAAACCCAGCTTCAGGGCATCCCGTTCCTCCCTCTGATTTTTTTCTTTCCCTTACATTTTGGCCTTAGAATTATTTATTTGTTCATCTCTCCCCCCCCCAGTACTGGAACTCGAACTCAGGACCTTGCATTTGCCAGGCAGGTGAGGTGCCACTGAGCTACATACATAGCCTAGGATTTTAGTTTCTTTAAGCTTCTAGAAGGATTTAAAAAATTTGTCCAATAAATTTGGTTATACTGAGAGCTGTATAAAAATACTTTACTCATTTTATTACCAAAACCAGAAATCCCTTCTGGACTACTGGAAGAGCTTCCCGGCCTTTTCTGTGCTCTTAACCTCACACACAGGACATCGAATTATGCTCCGGGGTTGCCTCTAGGTCTTCCACGCACTCCCCACTGCCTGCTGAGTGAAACCCACTCCAACCCCAGATCACCCAGCCTCACCCTAACACAGTGCAGCACAGCAGGCCCCTGATGAACTTGAGGAACCAGCACTGCTCTCCTCCACCCAAAGAGTGCTCTGCTGCTCGCTGCTGCTTGGCCTCTGCTCACACCATGTGACCTGGCCTTGGGGATAACACACTTCCTGTCCATGGAAGTTGCCCTGATTCCCTCAGAGAAACCAGCTTGCAAAGGCAAGAGCTATACAGGCCCTGTCTCCCTGCAGAGGGTGCAGACTGCAGATCCCTTAAATACAACACACACACACACACACACACACACACACACACACACAAACAAAAAAACACTAGATGCAATGATTTTGGCTTCCCGCCCCACAGAAATAGCACTGGCCATTCAGAATGGTCCTGATATTCCTAACTAATAACTTCCGTTCTGCACCTAAAGCAGTTTCTGCAAAACAGAAATAAAAACCAATGAAATAATCTTAACTCACATGCCAAAGAAGAAACTATTTAATGCATTCTGTTGTGTAGAGTACTTTAATCTTTCAGTTTAATGATGGGTACTGTACATACAGCAACACTCATGAACTCCAGGGATGCGGTTCCGCGACCTTTGGGTGACCGCACTCACCATGCCCCAGATGTAGATACAGCATACACAGCTGGCACTGCCAAAGAGCTCCAGGGCCTCCCTGTGACCAAACCCTCCCTCCCTGTCCTCCAGCACCTGGCAAGCATCTGCTCTCTGCCCCCGAAGTCCCACTGTTCCATCACATCACTTAAGTATACACAGCACACACAGCCTTTCTTTTTTTCTTTTTCATGACAGGATCTTGCTCTGTAGTCCAGGCTGGCCTTAAACTCATGCTCCAGCTCTCGAGTGCTGGGATTAGAGGCGTGTGCCACCATGGTCAGGTAAATACACAGCCTTTTGGAGCTCTGTTCACACAACAGTAGCAGGCCTTTGAGGTTCCCTGCACCCCAGGTACCATGCTTCCTGTCATGCCAGGCAGCCTCGGGTCAAATGGGACACTACTCAATGGGCAGAGGACACTAGGCTGCTGCAATTTTAGCAATGACAAAGCCACAAGACACACAGCATCTGGGTTCCCTGTGTAGACACATTTTCATTTCTCTTGGAGAAATACTTAGCAGTAGAGTTGCTAGGCTACATAAGCAAAGCATGTGTTTAATTTTATAAAAGTAACCACTGCTGTTCATGGTGACTGAGATTCTGCAGCGTCAGGGCTGGGGTCTCACAGCTGTTCTCACAGGTACCTGGCCACACAGCACTATCGTTTCAGTTTTGCTTTCCTAATCTTTCCATAATGTATTTGCCAGTCGTGTATCCTTTCTGGTGACTGCGCCATCTTGTGTCCATTTTAATTTTATTTATCTATTTATTTGGGGGGGTGGTACCGGGGATCAAACTCTGGTCTTGGTGCTTGTGAGACAGGCAGCGGAACCACTGAGCTAAATCCCCGGGCCCCCTTTTGGCCATTTTTAAATTCATCTGTTTTCTTCTGAGTTCAAGGGTCTTCATGCAACCTGCATACCTGCCCTCACACGTTTTGCAAACATACTTTCCCAGTCTGCGCTTTTATATCCATTTTAATATTTTTTAAGGAACAGTTTTTGTTTATTTACTTTAAGAAGCAGTTTTTAATTTGATGAAATAATCTAATTTAATATTTCATTCACAGCCTTTTGCATCCTTGAAATGTTTACGTAGACTAAGGAAGTTAAGCTGTTCGCTTAGAAATGTTACTGTTTTGGTTCAAAATCTGTAGCTTCTGGCCGGGCATGGTGATGCACTCCTGTAATCCCAGTGCTCAGGAGCCTGAGGAAGGAGGATCACCAAGAGTTCAAGACCAGCCTGGACTACAGAGCAACACCCTGTCTCAAAAAACCCAAAAAAACCCAAACAACAAATAAACAAACAACAAAAAAACCTCAAAACCAAACAGAAAGCTATAGTTTCTGGTTTTACATTCAGGCCTAGGACTCATTTTGAATGACGTTTTATGCATGGTGTGACTTACAGGTCAAGGTTGTTTTGCACATGAAATCCAGTGGTCTCAGCATCATGTAGATGGCCCACTGAATTCCAGGGCCCCTTTAGGAAACTGCCTGACCACACAGGCATGTGCACCTACTTCTGGACTTTCTACCCAACTCCATTCATCTGCATGCCTATTCTTTTCCAACACCATGCTGTCTAGGTATCTCACATGATGTCTCAGTACCTCCCCCACTTAATCCGCTCTCCTGGGCCTGTTGGCCTTCACACACAGTCTGGAACGTGTGCAAACCCAAGGCGCTGCCCTCACACAGCACCCTGTCCCCTCCTCCTGCCCAGGGCCCTGCAAGGGCTCCTGTGTACCTCTGCTCCACTCAGTGACACAACTGCAACATGCTCTCAGACCCACGCCCTCCTGCTGGAATGCCACGTGGGAGGAGTGTGCATATCCACACATGCACATGCACGAGCGCACACCATGGTTTCATTCACTCAGAGTAGAGAACGGATGCCACCCCCCAACACTGAATGTGTGCAAATGGCTGTCCTGATGAGCCACTGCTGGAGCACTGAGAGGGAGTCACCTCCCGAGTACAGAGCCAAGGCGAGCTCCTGGGACAGGGATAACTCACAGTCAAGGCTCCAGGAGCCACTGGCGATGCGAGACGCTTGTTAATGGACTGGAAGGTGGCAGCAGGGACGCCTGCGATGGTGTTCACGATCACGTTGCCACTCACAGTGCCTGCAGAGGAAGATGCGTGTGGGCAAGAGGATGAGAAAAGCTTTCTCCTATCTTTCACTTATTATTTTTTGGTCTGGCAGTACTGGATTGAACTGATGGCCTTTGTCCTGGGCTACATCCTCAGATCTTTTTTTATTTTGAGACGGTTCACTAAATGGCTAAGTTGCTCAGGCTGGGCTTGGTCTTGCGACCCTCCTGCCTCAGCCTCCCAGAGTGCTGGAATCACAGCTGTACTCCTCCATGCCTGGCTCCTACTCCACCACTTCTGGACCCTCCTTACCTGTTGGAATACTTGTGCCAGTCACTGAGGTTTTAATGGTTCCTGCCTGTGTAAAAAGGAAAACGCTCCTGAGTTTCATGCCAGGCCCTGCCCTGCACAAACTCTCCAAAGGCTCCCACTTCATCCACAATCAGACCCAAACCCCAACCATGCTCACACAGCCACCCAGGCCGTCCTGGCTTGGCCCTTGCCCCGCCCTATGTGCGTGGTCTCTCGTCACCCAGCCCAGCATGCTGACCCTCTTCCTAACAGCCATGCTCAGCTCTCAACGTCCTCTCTGACCCCTCAGGGCCGACTTCCTGCTGCTTAGGCTGCAGCTCACAGCCACCCCTGCAAAAAGCTCCTTTCCCTGCCCACGGTCGCTGCCCTGCCTGGTGCCTTCCTGCCAGTACTGAAACGATCGCCATCTGCTGCCTCCTGCTCCCCGCTGGGCCCGGACTCCAGTCAGCCGGGCCCGGCCCACCTTTTGCACGGATGCCCCTTGTACCAAGGGCGAGTTTGGTAAATGGTTGGGGCTGGACACACGCTCAGGGGCACTCTATCACTGACTAAGCTGCACCCCAGTCCCTGCCTTTTTCTAAGTCTTTATCTCTGAGACAGGGTCTCACTAAATGACCAGGGTAGGACTGGGACTTGCAGTCCTCCTGCCTCAGCTTCCCAAGTGGTGGGATTGAAAGGCACGTGCCACCACACCTGGCATAAATGTATCATCTGAATGAATACAAATGCTCAAGTGCATATAAAACTTCACTACAGCCAAATGCAACTTAAATTGATGGCAAAAATGGTTCTATGGTAAGTATCTTCACGCTTGGCTAACAAGGCAAAACAGGTGTTTCCTAAATGCAGCACCAAACATGCTCAGTAAGTCTGATTGCACCCTCGACCCCAGTGTGTGACACATGCACACAGTGCACGGAGGCGTGGCTATCAGCCACCACAGTCTGCAGGCACAGCCTGCCTTTCACTTCTTCACACTCTGCAGGGCTTTCCACAGCAGGCACTAAGGACAGGCATGTGCCAGGTGCCTGTGTGCATGCTCACAAGCAGGGGGGCGTGGCTCAGCGAAGGTGGCTTGTCTGTGCCCATGTGCACAGGTGCCACGGCCCCCCGCCTAGAGTGCAGCCTCGCCTTCCCACCCAAGTCACATGCCTGGGCCACACTGGCCAACCCCTCGGGGAAGCGCAGAGCTCCTCAGGGGCCAGCCCACGCCCAAACCATCCCCTCAGACCACGGGACACAGGCTCTCACCAGCACTGCAGCACTGCCCACGGTCGTGATCGCAGGCTGCCCTTTTGGCGGGGCCTGCACAGGCTGCGGCTGGGCCTGAGTCTGTGGCTGGGGTGGAGCAGTGGGCTGCCCCGTGGATGGCTGGCTGCCAGCAGCCTGTGCCTGGGGTAGTGGTGGTGGTGGCTGCTGAGAGGGCGGTGGGGGCTGCTGCTGCTGGGGGGGTGGCTGTGCCACGGCTGGCTGCTGTGCCTTCTGCTGATCGGCCAGAGCCTAGAAGGGTCGGGCAGAAGAGAAGCTGCTGGAGGAGGGGACTCAGCTGGGCGACAGAACCTCCCAGCTACCACATAGCCCGGAGGCCAGCACGCAGGAGAACACACCTTCTTCTCTTTTGCGATTCGCTCTGCACGGAGGGACGCAACCTGAATGGGAGGCAGCGGTTTGTCATAGTTGATTCCACTGAAAGATAAGCGCAAGAGTCGGATGTACGGTCATGGCCTTACCCCTGGCTTCAGTGACCTACTGTTAACCAAGGTTCAGAAATATCAAGTGGAAAAACTCCAGAAATAGATAATTTGTAAGTTTTGAACCACACAATGATGGGAAAGGGGGAGGGAAAGGCAAGAGGGGAGCATCAGAGCATGTTATACACATGTACAAACATGCTAAAGCAAACCCACTTTTTGTGTAACAAGTGTGAACTAAGAAAAAAATCAAAAACCTTCAGAAGTAGTGAATAATGACCAAAGTGCAAAAAAGACTGCATACTGCTGAGTAGCATGAGCAAATCATGCACCACCCCACTCTTTTCTGCCAGAACACAACCCACTCTTCTGTCCAGCATGTCCATACACACGGCAAGCTTCTTGGTCACCACGTTGACTGTCACGGTACCACAGTGACTGTGCTCAAGTCACCCTTATTTTACTGAACAACTGCCTCAAATCGCTGGTGACAGAACCAAAGAAAAGCTGTGAAGCCCTTCCAGGAGGCAAAGGGTTCAGTACCATCTGCAGTTCAGACACCCAAGGGCCACTAGCTCTGCAGAAATGCTCCGGACACACAACCCTGTCCCCACCCACCAGTGAGCTCCATAGATATGCTCTGTACTCACCCCTCAGTCCTCAGCCCCCAGTGAGCCCCAGTTCCCCCAAGACTCCTGGGCACGCCTCTTCCATGCGTTGCAGGGAGGAGTAACTATTTCTATACCTACGCACAGCTGTTCAAGGCCCCCCGCTCTGCTTCCTGCGGCTCCACGGCCCTCGGCCCCTGTAGTATGGCCTGCCCCGGCCCACACTGAAGATCTGCTGGCTGCAGCCTCCTGCCCTCAGTTTCCCTAAAAAACCCAGCTCATCATCCCTCTTCTATGAAAGTATGTGACAATCTATCTGGTACTTCTGTGAGGTTCTCTTGCTCCCATCTTATGCCAGATCAAAAAGGATAAGGACAGTGCCAGGTTTGTCCCCAAATGCTGTGCTGGTCCACAGCTTCTGAACAGCCACCAGCTGAGCAAACTTGCACCCTGCCTAAGTGACAGGTACTCTGTACTGCTGGTACCAGAATCCCTGCAGCTGCAGAGCTCAGGCACTTTGAGCAAGGAACTTAAAAGGCACGTCTGAGAGTGAGCCGTGCCACCAAGAGGAGCAGGCCAGGGCTGGACTGCCATCCTCTACACAGGCAGGGCACTGTGGGGCCACAGCCAGGGTGTAGGCACACAGGCATGGCCAGAGGGAGCCATTGCAGATGTGCTGTGAGCCAACTTCCTCTGATGAGGGCCCTGACTTGTAGCTGTGTGCAGAGGAGACTTGGAGAGCCCTGGAAGGAAGCAGGGGCAAGACAGGAAATGGTCTACCCTGCACAAGGGCACTGACAGTGCCTGAGCCTGAGATGACCGTTCCATCTGAACAAATCTCCTTTCAACACGACTCTAAGAAGCCCCGTCTACAAAATGCCCATCACTTGACTCCACAACTCAGTTTACCTGTTTCTTCCTCCCCACCTTCCCAGCTCACTGATCCATTTTTTTTAAATTAAATAACTTTATTATCAAACACACGCACGTACAAAAAATTAAAACCATTCAAAGAAGAACAATGCAAAGGAAAAAAACTACAATATTCAAATACAGTAGAACTCAACCAAAACAAAACTGAAAAGCACTTAAACATTTTTCCATATAACTTAAAAAAGCATCTCAAGCACCAACAAGACCCCAGAGGATGTGATTTGCTTCAGAAAACTGATCGTCTTTTTTCCTAAGCTTCAATGGAACTTGTGCCCAAAGAGAGGTGGCACGAGGAAAAAAGCCTCTTGTGGGCACTGCCCCAGTCCTCGAGCATCCCTATCACACCGTGACCCATGTCCTCCAGAGCGCTAGCAGGGGTACATCATGATTCTCCATGCCCGGGCCTGGCAGGACTGTCCCCATCACTCTGGCCCAGGTGCTGCACCTCCTGGAAGCCTGGACTCAGCACCTGCATTGCAATCTGCCTGGCTGCCGAGTTTATGCAAACACTGAGCAAAAACCCTCCAAACAGCAAGCAGTGTGTCCCCAACACCCAGTACCTTTCTGCCAACACAGAGGCGTGCTTGGGGTTCTTCTGAAAGGGATTCATGCCAAGCCTGAAGGGCAGAAAACAAGATCGAAGTTACTGAACAGAGGAGAGACAGGGCCATGAGGCCATAGCAACACCTGAGCCTCGTGGTCTGCCTGTCATACATGGCGTGAAGCAAGGACTGAGACATACAGAGGTTTGATAGGGGGGCTCCTCTTGCCGGCCGTCATCTTCATCAAGTCAAAGTGGTTTGTGTACAGCTGAGTGTGGGTGGCGTTCTCATCCTGGGCGTAGATCTGGCTTGTGCGCAAAGGACGGTTGTTCTTGCTCTGAAATAGCGGACAAGAGCATGTCACGGTGCTGTTGGCCCCGTGCAATGACCGCTCTAGAAACAGGGCCTGTGGGACCAGAGGCTTGTGGCTCCACACAGCTGAACCCAAATGTCCTTTCCGTTCTCTTCTCTCTGACACATAACATGGCCTAACAGCAACAGCAAGGCTATGGGGCTGGCGATGGGCCCCAATCTGCAGGGAGCCCCACTATGACCCAGCTGAGGAAAGCAGAGTTACCCTAAGTGTGTGGGGTCACATTGCAAGTGGCAGGGAGCAGCAGGGTGCTAGCCTTTGCCTGACACATCCAATATCCACAGACACTGAGGGGCAGCATTGACCCAGTCACCTCCTCCTTCCTCTGGTGGGCAGAAAGGGTGGCAAGTATTCAGGGATGTCTACAAGTGTGTTCTGGGGGCTCTGCACTATCTGTGCCTACTAATCTCTCCTTTGTAGGCCCTATAGCAAAGAGAAGGCCACTCCACAGTCCCCTACTTGCTCCCCAGACATCTCAGTGGCCCTTCACCTGCAAAAACAACATCCGGGGATGTAGTCTGTGTGAAGTCAAGAGGGGACCAGTGTTAAGACAAGAGCGTGGAGCCCCTTCCCAGCAGGGCTCCAAGCAGCCCCAGGAGCAGGAGTTACCAGACCATCAGGTACATGTACGTGCACATGGATGTGCACATGGGGGTGGGGCCTGCTGCCAGAGCTGTGTCTGAACCCCAGAAGCAAAGTCCAGAAAGTCAGAACCAGAAGCCAACACGCAAGGCTCCCGGGCCTGTCCCTTGCACTTCACACGTGTGGAACTGCCCTCCTCTGGAGATAGAGCAGAGGGGTAGCCAGATGGGAAGACCAAGACCACGTGCATGCACAACACTGGAAAGCCAGGTGCACTGGGCCGGGCACGGAGTACTGCTCGCTGCGGTAGTCTTACTGGGCCTGCCTATGGCAGGATCTTTGGCGCTGCAGCGTGTGATTGTCCCGCCCACACACATACCAGTCACCACCGTCACAGGCCTGACAGGTGTGAGCATGGGAGGCTCCCAAGTCCCTGAAGGGGCTCAGTGAGTCATGAAGTGGCCCGAGGCAGACAAGCACACCCTCCAGTGCAGGGGTAAAAGGCACTCCAGAGGACCCTAAGGTTCAGGTTCCTGTATCACTAAACGCAGGTCCCTCCTGCACCTCTCTATGCTCCCCTGCCCAGGCTTGGGGACAAAGATTTTCATCTCATTCAGTTTTTCATCTCACTTTGTGCCTTCTTCTTTGGATTTGCTTCACAAAGCAGCTATAAGAGAAGAAAACATCCTAGCTTTATTTTTTCCATATTAATGGCTGCTATGAATGCTTCCAAAACTTAACAGACTAATCTGAGAGTTCAGGATCTCATGGTGGAGGTGCCACAGAATGATGTTATGAGGAAGCAAACACTTTATTCTGAAGTAAGTGTTTGTAGGAAGATGAAAACCGAGATGACTGAAGGATCGACAGCAGTGATAAATGAAGTGTGGTGGCCTTATCCTGAGGACCGTTCTGGCTTGCAGGCAGACATCATCATTTTCACAAATTATAACCAAAATGCAAATTTTACACAAGAGCATTTTACAAATGCAAATTTTACACTGGATGTCTGCCCTACCCTGTCACACGCAGGAAGGCGTGACTGTAGCTCTATGCTGCCAGGACACCCAGAGGCAGTCAGATGCAGTGTCCCCACATGCCCACATGGCATCCATTGCTAGAAGTGGTTCTTGCTCCCCTGAGAGGGTGTCTGTAATAGCTGGCACAGGGTGGCATGGTACAGTGGAGCTGCAGACACCGTGCTATGGGGCAGCAGAGTGGCAGTGTGGCCTCATCTGAGCCAGGACGCCCACCAAAGCCAGCTTCCCACCCAGGTCAGGGTGGTGCGCTGTGCCCTGAATGCATAAGGACCTGCAGCATGTGGCAAGCCCCGAAAGCAGCTGCTGGTCCAACTACTGACTCTACAGCGAGATCCTGAGGAAACAGGAACAGATGCTATGTAAGCCAGTAACTAAGATAGAAAAGTTCTCGTCTTCACCTTCCAAATTTTCTTTGAAAAAAAAGAAACACATGTGACTCCTTTCACTACTGTCCACACCTGCTGGGTGTGATACAGACCAGCTGGGCCAGACCAGCTGCTGGGGTGCTACACAGCAGGGCCCAGGAGCCCATGTCCTCTCAGGGAGACCAAGGAGCAGGGCTCACCTTTCCTTCCTCTCTGGGAATGATGACGTTCTCATAGCGATTCCGGCACTGCTTGGAAGAACGGTAGATTCGACTGCAGGAGTTAACAACATCACTGACAAGATCCCAATTAGGTGTGTGGGCAGGTGACACTATCGTGAGGTTCAAGGGCAGCTCGAGTAACTGCTTCACAGCCTGGAAGACAGTGTTGCAGAAAAAGTCAACAAGCTCCAAGTGCACAGGGCTTCCCTCACACCAAAGACCCGGAAAGCAACTGTGCCATTGTGAACACTGTGTGGATTCCTACATCAGACACGACCACACTCACCTGCAGCAGGGCCCAGTCCTCGCCAATAAGCCACTCAGGGCTGTCCTGCGGGGGGTCCCCAGAGGACTTGACATAGGTGGGCAGCGGCTTGGCGAAGGGTGCCTGCTGCTTTAGCAGCAGGTTCTTCTTCTGCTCCTTGCCCTCACGCCGGATTTTCAGCATGCCCGGGGTGGCCCGATCAAACAGGGACCGGGGCGGCACGACCGCCTCGCCATGCCGCTGCTTCTTCTTTCTGCCTGCGGCTAAAGGGGCAACGTCAGCAAGACAGGGCAGGAAGAGCCCCTGTGTCAGCAGGCAGGAGGAAGGCTGGGGAAGCACCCGCCCGAGGGCATGGTTTTCTTGCTTTCACTACTAACAAGAGATACAAATGTTGAGGCCTGTGTGCTGGTGAAATGGGGGTGCAGGAACTCACCACGAGAGGGAACCAAGGGGGCCTGCGGTCACCTCACCCCACCCCATCCCCACAGAGGGAGCAAAACCATAGCAACTGCGGCAGCCTCTGCCAAGCAGGGCAACACCCAGCGCCACACCTGAAGGGTCTGTCTTGTGACGCTTGCGCTCCTTCCTCACATACACAGGGGGCAGCTTGGCTTCTGGGATGGGCATGGTCTCATACATCAGACACATGACAGAGTCGATGTAGATGTCATTGTCATCCTGGGGGGGGGTAGGCGGAGTCCAGAGCTGCGCAGAGAAAGCAAGTCCCATGAGAGGCAGAGCTGTGGAAGACTGGTCCCTCGGGCACAGGAGAGGAGCTCCTTACCGGCATAACCTCCGTCTGCCCATCAGTGTCTTCGTAGATGTATTCCTGTAGGGAACACGGGCCATTCAACATCTCTGCTTCACGCTAGTCTCCCATATAAGTCTGACCAGCATGACTTAATGAGTTTCACTCTCAGCTGGCAATACAATGCAGGAAAAAGCCCACATCTGACTAAGAATCTCTTAAGTGTGGGTTCAAAAGGAAGCAATGCCTGAGAACACGGCTGCGGGGCTCCCTTGTGAGGAGCAAACATGAGTGTTTGCTGGAGTGTGGCCTACCATGTTGTATGCATCCTCCCGTGTGTAGGTGAGCAGATCCGCCTCCTCCTGCTCCCGCTGCAGCTGGGCCTCCTTCTCTTGCAGGGCCTGGGCGTTGCATGACTCCCACTCTCTCACAGAGGCCCTCACTGCATCCTGGCAGGAAGGCCACAGGAATTGCATGTTCCAGATCAGAACCAGCAACGCCCATCTTGCTGTTCCCACCTCTACAGTCCCACTGCCCTAGCTCTGCCCCCAACCTGCGACCCTCTACACCGTGCCAGGCCTGCTGAATCAAATACAAAGTCATCAAAGTAAAAAACCAGCTCCACAAGGCCTGAGCAGGTTTCTGACATTTCATTTAATGAAGTTGTATTTACTTCAAATTTAATAATCCCAAAGCTATTCACATGTTAAAATGATCAAAAATTAACTCTCTTACCTCACTATTTCTCTCTTTTTCTTGCTCAATGGTCGTATGAAACAATTCCAGGTAATTCAAAGCATATTTCTCAATGGGAGTAAGCTATTTCAAAAGCATAGTTTTTGAATAAAGTTAATGGCAAGTTAGTAAAGTTCCTTTTGAAATCTAGTCATCAACATTTTAATTAAACTAGTCACTATTCCTTGTCAAACTAAACAAAAAAATGTCTTATAGTTTTCCTTCATTCTTTTTTGTTTTGGTTTGGTTTTTTGAAATAGGGTTTTTCGATGTGGCCCAGGCTGGTCTTGAACTCAAGGCAATCCTCCTGCTTCAACCTCCTGAGTGCTAGGATTACAGGTGTGTGCCACCTCACCCAGCTTAAAATATTTAGCTTTACAGAAAAAGAAACCCAAACCTGCTCCATGAAGTCAGCCAGCTCCTCTAGCTGGGACGGCTCCTCTTCATGTCTGGAGTCCTCTGAGTCTGAGCACAGCAGGCTGGTGCCAGGCCCAGTTACCGCTTCCTCTGTACCCTTCTGTGTGTCCTCCTCCAGGCACTCAATGCTCTTGAGGGCCTGCGGAGAGGTGGCAGTCAGATCAGCGGGATGCACTCTTCACACGGAGGCGGCACCCACATGTCCAGGATTCCCCAGGTCTGCTTGGACACTTGGGACAACAAGCAGGCCAAGGGCACACAAAATGGCACAGGGGACCTTCTGGGCCTTCCAAGAAATCCCCTGGGAGAGCCATGTGTGATGTGCGTGAAGGGTCCCGATGTACCAGAAGGGGTAGCGAGGCCAGTGGAACACACCAACGCCAACAAGAGAAGCGCGTGGCTTCCTGTCACACTGGACGCATACCACTGGCCACAGTTCCTCACAAACTCAGGCCAAAGTCCATGGCTGAACAGAAGATGCACAGCCCTGTGCCATAGGGCCATAAGCAGGCTCACTGAAAACTGTAAGACAGCCACAAGCTTCAAACTGTCCAAGACATGCCCACAGCAAAGCTGTTCCTGCTTCTCTCGACAGCCAGGGGCACTTCAGTTGCCAGAGGTGTGACAGACACTTATCTCTGAGATACACGGGCAGCTCGTGTTACAAGGCGTAAGTTAAAGATGGCACAGGCCTTGCTACATCTGCAAAGGCTGGAATCTGATGGAACCTCACATTCCACACAGAAATCACTTCCAGACACAATCCAGCAGGGCACCTCTGGAACCTCAGAGAGTCTCTTAGCGACCTGAACACAGAAAACTTTGACCCTGGATGACAGTAAGAATAGGAATTTCTGCTCACCAAAGATACCACTGAAAAAGATGCTATAAACAAACTGGGCACAGGCCTCGAGTCCAGAGTACAGAAAGAACTCTAACAGCCATTAAGAAAATGAGAACAATGCAATTTCAAAAAACAGGGAAAAGACTTGACCAGGCATTTTTTTTAGGAAGTACTCTGAGGCTGGAGTATGGCCCAGTGCAGAGCAGGCCGCAGACACACTAAGCCCTGGGTTCACTTGTGTCCAGCACTGTGAGGGGCAGGGGGATATCCCAGTGATCTGTGAGGAGGTGACCAAAATCATCACACAACAGCAGGATGCAAACTACAGCCCCACGTGAGACCATCCCTCAGCCCCTCCGGGTTAAGAACAGCCTCTTAGCTCGGTCATACATACACCTGCCCGGCAAGGCCTCCATCCCCAAGCCCTTATCTGGCAGGGACATGGGCACATATTCACACACGTGAAGACAGACAGCACATGCTTCAAACAAATCACACACCCCAGACAGCAGCTCTTACAGATTAGACTGCAGTGTGTGCCTTGCAGCAGGGGACAGCAGTGAACCATGCCACATAGAAGAGGGTCCCACTGACATGGAGTTCAAAGAGGGGGACTGTGGCTCAACATCGCAAGACTGGCCACTTGTGGAAGGGAACAGGCGGCAGGGGACCCTCTGGGGAGCTGGGGATACACCCCTTCTTTACCAGGAGCCATAATGGCTGCCCTCACCCTGTGAAAACAGGTCCAGTGGATCTTCGTGAGGCTGACACTGTTCCATGTATTCTCACACATCAACAAAACCTTTCTCAGGGATCAGGGATGTGTAGCTCAGTGGTGCCACCACCTGCCTCACAAGCACAAGGTCCTGAGTTCAAACTCTGGCACCAAAAACAAAAAAACCTTTCTCAAACCATTTTTGGGCACAATCCTTCCAGGAGCCAGCAAGGCAGGCATGGGGTGTGCGTCTCCAAGAACATCCACAGCTGCAGAGGGTGCTAGCCACACCTAGGAAGCAGCTGCTGCTCTAGCACTGACCCCACTCTGCCGCCCTACACCTCTCCAACCGTGCACTGCTGCTGGTCTCCCAAGTGGTCCCAGCATTCCCATTATGACAATGCAGCCTCAACATGGCAGGCAGAATGACTGCTTCACATAATGGCAGACAATACTCCAGCCTGACTCCAGCCTTGTGACTGCCCCTTTCTCAATCAGGGCTGTCTCTGCCGCCTCATCAGGCTTCTGGCTGATGACGGGGCCTGTGCTGGACCTGGATCCAGACACTCTCCCCTAGGCCTCCACACACGCTCCACCCCAACGCTGGGTCTTCTGTGTAGCCACAGCCCTCCCGCCTCAGCTTCTGGTCTCCCTCACTCGAGCAAGATGGGATTCCTATCTTCTTCCAGTGCTCACCCTGCAGCCTAGCACAACACTAGGCTCACAGTGAGGCAGTCAACAAGCACCTTCAGGAAGAATCTGTATGTGGAAATCCTAGGCTGCTCTGAAACCACAGGGCAGAAACAGAGGCCTCTCCAGGGCATGCTCTGCGCATAGGCTCACTTCTGTGTGCACACATACCTTCCATTCTCCTCCGAGGTTGTGTGTAACAAGTGACAACTACATGGTCACCTCTGGGAAAGAATCTGTTCTTCCTCGTATCTTCCTGTGCTATGTGAATTTCTTTTCAAACCTCACACATATATTACATATTAAACACAAAGAGGAAGGCCTATACAGAACAACATATAAGATATTTCTGGGCACAGGATATAAAGACCAACATTAGAAAAAAAAAATCAATACTTTTCTAGCCAGGCATGGCACTGCATACCTGTAATCCCAGCACTTGGGAGGCTGAGGCAAGAGAATTGTCATGAATCTGAGGCCAGCCTGGGCTACATAGTGAGTTTGAGGCCAGCCTGAACTACAAGCGAGACCCTGCCTCAAAAAACCCCCTCAAAATAAGAAATCAATAACATTTCTACACACCAATAACGAACTAGCTGAGAAAAAAAAAATCAGGAAAACAATTCTACTCACAAGTTTCAAAAAACTAAACTGAACTACCTAGGGATCAAACAAACCAAGGAGGTAAAAGAACCTGAACAAGACACTACAAAAAAAATCAATTCAAAAATGGATCAAAGCTTATACCTCAGCATAAGCTCAGAAACTGAAACTGCTGAAAGAAAACACAGGGTAACACTTTAAGATAGGCACAGGCAAGACTTCCTGAATAGGACTCCAACAGCACAGGAAATAATATAAGAATCACCAAATTAAAAACTTTCAGGGTCGAGGATTTAGCTCAGTGGTTCCACCACCTGCCTCGCAAGTGTAAGGACCTGAGTTTGATCCCAGGTACCAAAAAAACAAAACAAAACAAAACTTTCAGCACAGGGCCAGGGATTTAGCTCAATGGCACCATGCCTGCCTTGCAAGTGCAAGGTCCTGAGTTTGATTCCCAGTACCAAAAAAAAAAAAAAGTTTCAGCACAGCAAGGGCAAACAACAGAATGAAGAGACAGCCTACAGAATGGGAGAAAATCTGCTGGCTATTCTTCCACAGAGGGTGAATTTCTAGAATAAAGAACTCAAAAAAACCAAAAAAATTATAATCTCCCAATCAATAAATTGGCAATGAATTAAACAGGTACTTCTCAAAAGAAGTAAAAATGGGCAGTAAGTATATGAAAAAATGTTCAGCATCTTTACTCATTATGGAAATGCAAACCAAAACTACTCTGCTATTCCATCTCACTGCAGTCAGAATGGCCATCACCAAGAATAAAGAAACCATAAATGTTGTGGAGGATGCAGGAAAAAAAAAGAAGCCATCTACAGGGCAGGGGTAAGGAAATTAGAATAGTCCCTGTGGAAACCTATATGAAGGTTTCCCAAAAAACCAAAATTTAGGGGCTGGGGATTTAGCTCAGTGGTTCCGGCACCTGCCTCAAAAACGCAAGGTCCCAAGTTCAATCCCTGGTACCCAAACAAACAAACAAACAAACAAACTTAGAGCTACCACATACTACTCCCTGTGTCTACCTGGAGGAATTAAAGTCAGTGCCCTATAGGGATGCCTGCACACCCACATTCACTGCAGCACAATCTGACACAGCCAAGATCTGGGACCAGCCTAGATGCTCATCAGCAGATGAAATCATGAAGACAACATGGTCTGTACACACATGGAGCTGCCCAGCAATAAAAGAGAACAAAATGTTGTCACTTGCTGGAAAATAGATGGGACTGGAGACCACCATGCTGAGTAAAAATAAGCCAGACTCAGAAACACAAATATCCCATGTTCTCCCTAATGTGCGGAATCTAAAAAAGATGGCAGGACTGCACCAAGAGTGCAGGCCCTGGGTGGGAAGGGGCTGTGGATCAGCCTAGTGTTTCACTACGTCATGGTTTGTAGCTGGATATCCCTTCAAAGCCTCATGTGGTCATACGTGACACTTTCAGAGGTGGCTGATCTAGAGTGTGTGATGCTGAGATTAAGTGTATGATGCTGGGATTAAGGGTGTGTGATTACTAAATTTGTCCATTGATTAGTTTGGCACAGTTCTGGCTGTGGATAATTGGAAGACCCACCCTGTGTATGGGTGGCACCACCCAAAGGGTGGGTAGCCTGGATGGATAACAAGGGACAGAAAGAAGTCAGGCCAGCTGCTGCTTCTTTGCTACTTTGCTGCCTTCTGCCTGCCATGAACTGTTTTTCCTCTGTGGTGCCCCTCTGCCATGCCACCCTGCCCTGGAGCCAACCGATTATGGACTAAAACCTCTAGGAACTATGAGCCAAAATAAATCTTTCCTTCCTTAATTTGTGGCTGTTGGGTATTTTGTCTCAGCAACAAGAAAAAGTGACTAAAACACCATCCATCCTCTAAAGTGGTGCCTCACGTGTGTGAGTTTTGCAATCACCAAACAGTTCACTTGGAGAGATGGAAGCAGCTCATCAACATCACGTTCACTGAGGATATACTGAGAAGACTGTGCAGGAGGCTTCACAGGAAAGCGGAGATATGTGTGGTAGCACTGTGTGCCCACAGCTTTCATAGAAGAGAAAAGCAAACACAGAAGTCAAGAGAAGCCTGCAGCCAGAGGGCAGGTGAAAGTGACAAGCCTGGCCCTTCCCAAAGAGGGCACCAGAAGGCAGCCAGAATGGGGTCTGCAAAGGAAACAGACCCCTCCCTTGACAGGGGGCTGCGTGAGACAAGAAGGACTCAAGCAAAGAAGGAAAGAGAGGCCCAGGCTGAGGCCAAGGAGACCCTGCATGGGAAAGAGCAGAAGGGGCCCCTGAGGAGCCCACACAGCCCACTGGCACAGGGAGCACCACAGGACCCATGTGTGCGACCTAAGAACCTTCCAGTCTCTGCAGCTGCAAAGTACTTTGTATCATCCACGATCCACAACATCACCACTTCAAGACTCAGCCAACATGAAACATTTAGACAGATGCTCTGTATTTCGAAAGTCTTCAAACTCAGCTGGGTACTTTGCACAACCCCTCAAAGGCAGCTAGCACACCGCCAGAGCTCAGTGACATGCAGGGCCAGCGGCTATTCCAGTCAGAGCCAAAACAGCAGACTGTGGGTCGGAGAGGGGATAGGAGATCCAGCATGGCTCAGAGAAGCTAATGAACACAGCAGTGCCTGACATGAGGCCACCTTCTCTTTGCACCTCTCTGCAGCTGTGAGTCCCCAGGATGGAAAGGTGGAAAGGAGGGAGAGGGAGAGGCAGAGGAGGGAGCCTCACAGGCAGGGAAGAGCAGGTTAGGCTGCAGCACGCAGGGCAGGCCAGGGCGAGGCCCCAGCTGGATGACTGAGCCTCACCTCTATGAAAGGCCTCGCGATCTTGGGTGCGATGGTTTCACTGACAGAAGGCTCCTGGGAAAGCACAACGAACTCCTCTGCTTTCACTGGGAAGCCAGCATCGTCCATGGGTGAGTAAACCTCAAACAGCTCCTGGATGGTTCGCTGAACACAAGGAAGTACATTGTTCCCAGGAACAGAGAGAGGATCTCCTGCCTGAGCTGGTGGATCAGGTATGTGACTACATAAGACAACAGGCTTCCCCATGCAGCCTTCCTCACCCAGAGCACCGAGCACATGCAGAATACCTGTGTGAGGAATGCCATGGAGTAGTCATTTCCCTGGGCAGCCACTTCACGGATCAAATCTTTAGTTCCATTTTTCAACAATTTCTCTTCAATAGAATTGCCACTCACAAGCCTACAGAACACAGACACACACACATACCACACAATGACAATCAAGTCACCTGGAAGTGCAGGTTACATGCGGTGCTTCATACTCCAGGCCCCACTCAACCGGCCCCACCCCTCGGCTCCAGCACCTTGCCTCCTCCTGCCAGTCTCAACTGGACATGGTCCACTTGCTCCTGTCAGGCTCACCAGGCCTCCAACCCTCAAAGCCAGAGCCAATGGCTTCCGTCCACACTGCCTGTGACATCTGGCTCTCGCCTAAGCATGGACAATGTCATCTTTTGGTCCCCTACATGCTGCCAGACCACAGTCAGTGCTGAAGTAAGACAGAACTGTGGCCATTCCTCCAGCTGACAGGCAAAGGTGTTGACAGAGTCCTTCAGTGGGACCCAAGTGGGCACCTCATAATCTACGACCTTCCTACGAGGCTCCTCTGCTTACGAAATGCTAAATGCTACAGGTCCACGTCAGCCACTTTAATCAGTTTCACAAGCATGAAAAGAACTAAAAATTTTCCCTGAAATTTCCAAAATCAAGGAACCTACACAGAAATAAGGCAAAAAATATCAGACTTTGATGTATAGAGAAGAACTAAAGAGACAGCAGAGGGCAGAAAGTCACCTGGATTCTGATCACTGAGATTACCATCAATCACTTCTCAGCCTTTTGGCTAAGATCAAGTGAAATTACCATCAAAACCTGACCTATTTGATCCGCTGGTTTGCACACACATCCACCTGGGTGGCTGGAAACCTCAGGCACACTACCAGTGTGCCATGTCTGCCTCATTACATGCTGATCTTCGTTCTGCTTTCCACACCGAGCAGCATGTCAGAGAACTGTGCCCCAGATGAACTCACCTTTCCGATGCTGCTCAACCGGGTGGTACAGCTGAATCCACAACAGGTGGCCTGGCTCCTGCTCTGTGCTGTGTTGGACAGAGCTGCAGCGGACATCCTAGTACCACAGGACAGATGTCCCGGCATGCTTATGATGTGGCAAAGGATGCATCACTTTAACTTCAACAAGCCTTTGCCACACTGCTCTCAGAAAGGCTGAGACAATCCCTACCCCACAAGCACATGGAAGCTTCTCTTCCCAGGCCTCAGCAGCAGGCTCAATTCCCTTCCCGTGTACTGCTGGGTGTGGACAGAAGAGAGACTTCTCTTAATATACTGAACCTGCACATCTTCCTAACCGCAGTGAGCAACTGACTGCACAGACCTGGGTTCTCTAGCTCCTCTCTTAAAAATATATTTTTTGAGAGAGAGGGTCTCACAGTAGTTCAGGCTGGTTTTGAACTATGTGACCCAGGCTGGCCTCAAACTTGCAGTGATCCTCCTGCCCCAACCTCCCAAGTGCTGGGATCACAGGTGTGCGCTGCCACACCCAGCACTAGTGCCTTTTACCTTTCTTCTCAATTATCAGAACACTTTACTTTTGACTTCTTGTGAGACTTGTCAACAATTTTCTGAGCTACTATTTATGTGTTTGCTTTGCTCACAGTTTCTCTTTGCAATACCTAAACTTTTTACTTCAAACATGTCTTTTACTTCAGAGGTTTAGTTAAAGAGGTCCTTCAAGATTAAAGCCACAGGTACTGTTTCCTGGAGATGGTTTGCCCCAAGTCACCTGGACTGTGAGACACTCTCAACTGGCAACAGTGGCCCAGTTCACACTCACACCAGCGGCAGCTAAGTGGGCTTCTTACACAGACAAGCACCACTCTATTATCACAGACACTTGAGGAATCTGGAGATATAGAGCGGGCCCTCTTCTACTTTCCCCAATTAGCTAGTTTGGTTGTTACAATTTTTATGCTTGAAGGTAACACTATAGATCTAAATTCTTTCAACAGTTAATTTATATTTCATAACAGCTAAAACAACCCAACATATAACTCATTCTTTTCAGGTTTAGGTACAAAGACAGCATAACTAAGTGACAATTCCAAGCCAATCTTAACTATAAAGAACAGATAAAACAGCAGGAATATAAATTTTTCTTATTAAAATATAATCCAAGCCGAGTAGAAACTTCTGGAATTAAAGACTGCCACTCCTTTACTCTTCCATCCCCATCTGTGTGGCCTTCTGTGACACTCCCAACAGTGTGACCCACTAGCATCACCTGTATATGTGGATGTCCTTGCACCTCCCGATCCGATCACACCATTCCTGGGCCTTAGCATCCATCACTGGGTTTAGGTCATTGTCATAAAACACCACAGTGTCTGCCTCTACCAGGTTTATGCCCGTGGCACGGCTGTGAGTGGAGAGGAGAGCACAGAAAATTCGCCTGTCCCTGTTGAAACTCCTCATCAGCTCCTGAGACCAAACACAAATGCTCAAATTAGTATTTCAAGAAAACGTGGTGACCACAGCATGCTCATGTTTATCAATTAGAAGTCATTCTGTAACAAATCTGGTTTGTGTTCCCTGCAGTGTGGGGGCTCAGCTATCACAACATCAGAGCTCCAGAATCTTCTCCTGGCTCTGCACATGTGCATCTCCAACACCCATGTGCACTGCTCAGGCAGCGGTAGGCAATTGCTGCAGCTTGCGCTTTCTGTCAGCGCAGTCTGTAGGCCCCACAAGAAAACAGAGTCTTGCTGGGGAGGGAGATGTGCTTTCTCATCTATCCTCAGGCAATGCCAAGGCACTTTACAAGCAAAAGCCCCTGGAGTAAGGCTGAGGACATGGGACATTGCACAGTGAAGAACAGCCCCCCGGCCCCCTGGCTTCACCTAGCACCGAGAGCTGAAATGGCAGTGTGGTCCTGTTCTGCTGTAACTTCTTTCTAGGCCAAAAGAGAACCTAAGAGTTGACCAACTCTCTTTCTTCAAAAAACTCTCCATACAATATACTCTGCTATACTATTACCGAGAAACTGGTTCACTAATACACTGGCATGCTTCGTGTGTAACCTTGTGACTTCTATGGAACACACTGGGCAACATGTGCTCTGCTCCAATCCTACTCTGCACTTGGCCCAAAGCACAGTGGCTTCACAATCCAATCCTGTGGTGTCCCGAAGCAGCCAAGCCGCATAGCGACAGACATTCTTCATTTACTCATTCTCCTACTGAACGCTCACTATGCCCGACTGCAAGTCATTGAGAACATTTCTACAGTGAACACCATGTGTATAAATCACTGAGTCCTGGGCTGGAGCACCAGCCATCTCTCAGGTGAGTCACCAGCGCTGCCGCACTGCCATCTAGAGGCCCTGGCTGATGCCCGCCTCTACCAGCACTCTTACCAGGGCAAGGGTAAAATATAAAATACTCTTAGCAGATTTGATGAGCAAAAAACAGGCACATCATTTGAACCTACATTTCTTTAATTACCATCATTTTTCTTACATTGCTTTAGTTACAGGTCAGTCTGAATCACACTCAGATTTTTACTTCGTAGTCACTCTCCGAATTATGCCAACCCTGTCCTCTAATGACTACAGGTCCTGACCTGTCCTCAGACACCTAGCTGATGACAGAGCTCCTATACACACACTGAGGGAGGAGAGACCTGTTACGGTTCCCGTGGTTGGAAAGCTCTTTTCCTTGGAAGGCTCAAGGTATCACTGAGTCTACACAACACTTAAGAGACTGGGTTAAGGGCTGGGGATTTAGCTCAGTGGCTCCGCTGCCTGCCTGGCAAGTGCAAGGACCTGAGTTCAATCCCCAGTACTCAAAAACAAAAGAGACTGGGTTAAAATCTGGTGACTTAGGGCTGGGGATCTAGCTCAGTGGTTCCACCACCTGTCTTGTGAGCGCAAAGTCCTGAGTTTGATCCCCGGTACAAAAAAAAAAAAAGTAAAATCTGGTGACTCAAGTGAATTCGACTGAATTACAAATGACAGCAAGGTAATTTCTCACTTACCTGCCGTTGTTCGCTGTTGGCGTTTTCATCAATTCTTATATAGGTGAGATAATGAAAATTCAAGAACATTTCTAAAATGTCTAACATAAGCACCATCTGGGACAAAATCAGCACACGACGTCCTTCAGACTTCAGCTTCTGAAGCAGGATAGCCAGCGCTTCTAACTTTCCTAGGAAACAGAAGGATCACAAGCACCTCTTAGTCAAAGCAAGTGCAGCCCAACCCCAAGGAGGCAGCCAACAGACTGGGCCGTACCTGAGTCGAACTGCACCAGCCTCAGCTCAGGGAACTGCAGCAAGCGCAGCGTGGTCAGCTGCCGCAGCTGCCGCAGGTAGGGAGCAGTGTGCTCTCGTAGGCGCTGTTGCAGGGCCCGCAGCCTGTGGCGGTACTGGGCGGGTGGCCTGGCCACCCACAGAGAGGGGGGTGCAGCCACCACTGGAGGAATCACACAGGCCACCCTGAGGGGCAGAAAGCAGGGATCATCACATGGCAGGCAGTGAGGCTCCAGGATGAGGGCAGACCACTGACTACACGAGTGTCCAGAGAAGCAGCCAGGGCACCTATGTGGTTGCCCCATGGGTAGTGTTATCCTTTACAGCACTGGGCAGACCCTACCTGTCCTGGGCAACGACGGCTACCCCAGGAGCACATCAGAGAGCTCTGGCCTGAAGGGTCAGCATGGAGCATTGCCCCAACCAGAGGGACCGGTTCAGAGACAGCCACTCGGTCTAAATTTCACATCCACCAGGAATGCTGAGAGATAGGGATGTGCTATCTCTCGGAAAGAAGTCCTACAACTGCCACAGTCACCACTGAGAGTGAAGGACCCAGGACGAGGGGCTCCTGCAGGCAGAATAACGATGCCATGGCCAACCTGACATGTACAGGGGCCCCGCTAGAAAAGCCCTTCCTATGGACGTCAGCTGAAACTGGGTTTTTGATGACTTGCTCCCAACTGTATTTAAACTGAAAAAATCATCTATGTTCTGTAAGGACAAGGAACATTTGAGAGAGAGAAGCACATGAGAGCATGAGGTTGACAACCTACTGCACACAGACCAGAAGCCACAGCAGCTTCTTGGCCTGGGCAGGAACTGTCAGAACCTTTCCTCTCTCTCCAGCCAGTCAGTCCTGACCTGTGTGGTCCAGAACAGGCAGACTCTGAAAGCTGAACAGGCTTAGGGCAGCAGGGCCTCCATTTGGACAAGAAGCTAAGGTGAAATGCATCGAGCCCAAGAAGTCCAAGAAGGGAAGAAATTATCCTGAGACTGAGCAAGAGATCAGGGCCAACCACACAGGAATGGCATGCAGGTTGCACTCTACACAAAAGCCAGGCGAGCCCAACAGGAGCTGCAGCCCATGGGGGCTTCTTCTCTATTGTCAGTCTGCTCTGAGGGGAACCTTGGGAATGCATGATCCCACATGTGTTTGACACATTTCGGCAAGGGCAGGTTGGAGAAGATCGTCCACAGCACAGGATGGGTTATTGCCCACCCAGACGCCCCAGGCGACACACATTCTAACTTACCTGTCAAGAACATCCTGGAGGGATTCCTGGTGCTGATTCAAGGTCAAAACCAGATCCCCTTTACTTTTCCAGGGTGACAAGCAGGAGCTTGCTGACCCTGCACCCTTCCCAACGCTGCCATTGAGAGACAGGAGCCACGGCATCTTCCCCCTGCTAGGCAGGGAACATATCCTCAGCAAGTCTCTGCCATACACTGGAGCCTGGGAACAGCGCCGCTCATTGACAAAATGAATCTGATCCAGCCGCTCTTTCAAAAGTCTGGTCTTTTCCTCCTTTACCAAAAACAGTAAAATGATGAAATGATTACTTGAGAAGCAGCACAGCATGTTCCCTCCTTGCCAAACTGGGATTCCCCCATGTATAGTGTTCACGTCAACGTCCATATTTCCTGTTCTACTGGAACAGTGACCACAAGAAAGCAGAAAAAGTCAGCTGCTCTTTCCTCTTCAAGACACAAGCAAGCACTTCTGATGCCCACAGAGCCTTGTAGAAGAATTACTGGGGGAAAAAAGTTTGTAATCACAAAATTCAGGTTTTTTTTTTTCCTCCAGCTTAATTTATTCATTAGAAATGTGTCTTTTAGCTCAGTGGTTCCGCTGCCTGCCTTGCAAGCGCAAGGACCCAAGTTCGATCCCCGGTATCAAGAAAAAAAAGAGAAATGTGTGTTTTTAAAATCAAGATTCTGAGCAGGTGTGGAAGCACACTCCGGTAATCTCAGCACTCTGAGGCAGGAGCATCTTGAGTTCCAGCCCAGCCTAGGCAACTTTGTGAGACCCTGCCTCAAAATAAAAAGTATCTTGGGGCCAGGGATTTAGCTCAGTGGTTTCACTGCCTGCTGCGCAAGCACAAGGACCTGAGTTCAATCCCCGGTACCAAAAAAAAAAGAGAAATGTATGTTTTTAAAATCAAGTTTCTGAGCAGGTGTGGAGGCACACACCTGTAATCTCAGCACTCTGGGAGTCTGAGGCAGGGGCATCATGAGTTCCAGCCCAGCCTGGGCAACTTTGTGAGACCCTGCCTCAAAATAAAAAATATCTTGGGGCCAGGGATTTAGCTCAGTGGTTTCACTGCCTGCTGCGCAAGTGCAAGGACCCGAGTTCAATCCCCAGCACCAAAAAAATAAATAAATTTTTAAAAATAAATAAATAAATAAAATAAATAAAAATATCTTAAAGAAAATCGGGGATGTATCTCTGCATAAAGGTCCTGGGCTCAATCTCCACTACTGCAAAAAAAAAAAAAAATCAAGATTCTGCATTTCCAAGAGAATGTGCATTTCTGTGGTTTGTTAACAGAATGAGGACTCAGGAGGCAACAGACTGTGTGATATGCACGACGTAGCTCGTGGAAGTCAACTGCCTAGGTGCCCCGCACTAGCAATCAAACACACACTACGAGGCCAGTTTCTTACCTGCGTTGGCCCTCCAACGGGAGAGGCCGGCTTGGAGGCCAGTCCAGACTCTCCGACAGCCATGGTGTTAACTGCCACTCGCCCGGGAACACCAACTACAAATGCAAAAACAGAGCTGGGAAGGAAAGCCAGAGTGCACAGGGTCCAGGTGCAGAGGAGGGTCACGGGAAAGAGAGTGGCAACTGAGGCAGGAATGCAGCAGCTGGCTCCCAGTTCCCAAGAGGGCAAGGGGCCAGCTCTGGAGTCAAGAATCTGGCACAGAGGGGCCATCACCACAGAAGTGCAGGGCTGCACTGGGCTACACTGCAGGGAGAGTGCATGCCTCGCCTACTGGGGAGCCTCCCAAGCCTCCAGAGCCCACCCACCCTGGGGAGCTTTATGTGGTTTCCAGAGGCCCTGCCCAGCACCTAGAGGACGACTGCAAGGTGGGGGTAGACCTGGGACTCTGGCCAGGAAGGAAGGTACACCAGCCATGACGATGCTTGTTGCTCCCACACATCCAACCCACCCACCTGCTCCCAGACAGGGCACACTGGACAGGGCCGGGCCCGCTGAGGAGAAGACAGCAGCAGGCAGGACCAGGAGCCAGGAGGCCAACAGCCAAGCCCTGAACACGAGGAAATACACATCCCAGCCCAGCCAGGGAGCTCTAGGCACACTCACTGCTCACTCAGTGTGTCTGTGGCACAGCAGCAAGCACACTGCTTCATTCCCAAAGTCTCTCTACAGACTAAGACCAAAACAAAATACTGAGATGAGTTGGGGCAACACCTCTGAGAGCAGAAGAGAAAGACAGCAAATCAAGCTGACGTCACAAGCACCTGTGGCTGCCAGGGCAAGGTTCTACAACACAGCGACAATGTCACAGTGAGGTCCTCCAGTTGGACGCACAGGTGCCCGACCACTCGGAGGACAGGCAGCCAGGAAGAAGCTCCCCGCCGAGCCCCCCACCCCAGAACACCCTACCTTGTGGGGTCAGGGGTGCAGGGGTGGGGCCGCTGGCCGGGGGCTTGCTTCCCAGGGCACCGTGCACAGCGCCCGCCTGCGACACGGTCTGCATCACCACAGGGCCAGGCGCGCGCAGGTAGGGCTGCCCGGGGGCAGATACAATCTGGAGGACACTGCCTGCAAACACACATCCCAGGGGCACCAGTCACAGGCACGTACGTGTTTCAGCCACACAACACCATCACTTGCAAATAGCTCAGGAACAAACGAGCGGGTAAATGGAGTCTGAGTCCTGTTGACACCAATCAGTGCAAAGCTCAGTTACTCAAGCAATCTGCTAACATCTGGTCCCCAGGAAGGCACAGCTGAGGAAGCTTGCTCTACTTACCTCAGGAGACTACCACCCCTTGCAGCACTGCACTGAGTAAGGGCCACCACCGCTGCCTGGCACTGCGTGGGTCACAGGGAAGCCCATCCCAAATCCCCATGGGCACCTAAAACCTTGGCCAAAGCAGGACAAAGATGCTCTCAGCCAAAGGTCTGGGAAGTTTTGGTCTGGAAATTAAAACCTCTAACCAGGCACAGTGGTGGCACTGATAATCCCAGCTACTCAGGAGGCTGAAGCAGGAGGATCACCTGAACCCACAAAGTCAAGGCCCAACACAGATCCCATCTCAAAAAGAAACTGAGTTTAAAAGAAAGTAATTTCTCATACATAAATCAGTAGTCCTTTGGCACTTTTAGGACACTTTATCTACCACTAACATTGTTACAGCTTGTATCTAGATGTCCCCCCAAAGCCTCATGTGCTCATAGGTGGGGCTTTTCAGAACTGGCTGGATCTAGGGTGTGATGCTGGGATTAAGGGTGTGTGGTACTAAATTAGTCCACAGACCAGAATTAGCACAGTTCTACGTGTGACTGAATGGATTTACTGAAGACAGAAACCCCAACCTGGGTGTGAGTGGAACCACCCAAAAGGCTTGTAGCTTGGATGGGATAAAGGGAAGGCAGGCTCACTGCTGCTGCTTGCTGTCTCCTGCTTACCCTGCCATGGACTGTTTCTCCTCTGCCAGTCCCTCTGCCAGGCTGCCCTACCTTGGAGCTGGCCAACTATGAACTGAAACCTCTACACACTGTGAGCCAAAATAAACCCTTCCTCCTTTAATTTGTGGATGTTGGGTGTTTTGTCCCAGCAATAAGACAAGTAACTAAGACAAATATTAAAAAGCAGCAAATATTTCTATCCCGAGCTACAAAATATAAAACTCTTTTCAAAAGACAGATACTACTGATACAAACGACTATCATTAGTGCCTACCAAGCAGGCAGAACATCATCTCGCTGGTCCCCAACAGTCACTAGAAGGTGAATCTTAATACTGCACCCAAGTGAAGAGCCTGGAGCTTAGAGACCCAAGCACTCTCCCACATCATCCCACCACACACGCCTCTCTGCTCACTGGTGTCACTGCTGTCCCTACCTTGCAGCTGCAGGGGCTGGCCTGCTGTGAGCTGCCGTAGCTGGCTGTGTGACAAGGTGAACTTGTTCCCCTGGAACTGGAGAGTCACAGGTGTCTCTGGTTGAGCAACCCGGCTCTGAGGCCCCGCAATGGATGCCAGCTGTGCTATCTTCACCACCTCTCCACCTGATGAAATGCAGAAGGAAAGGTGAAGGGACTCCATTTTGGAGAAAGCAGGGCACTGTTATACAACCACTGTGGTAAACAATGACTGTCCAGGGCAAACGAGTGACCTAAAGACACTTATCAGGTGTTGCTTTCTACCACATAAGGAAAGTTAACTTTTAATAGAAGAAACTCTTAAAAACCAGACTGGAATGGTTACAGCCTACTTAGTTGTAACAGGCAGGAATTTTAGATATCGATGTTAATATGATTAACCAAACTATTAAGATACATTGTACTTCCCCCCTCCAAAAAAACCCCAGCAAACATCAGAAACAGTAGAAATCTGCCGGGTGTGCTAATGCACACCTAGTAATCCCAGCATGCAGAAGGCTGAGGCAGGAAGGTGGAGGCCAGCCTGCAGCCTGGGTTATATGGCCAGGCCCCACCTCAAAAAAATAAAATAAAAATACTGAAAATCTGTTTGTCATAAACTTGGAAATGTACCAACTTCTTCAGAGAACTTTCAGAAGTTTAAAAAAGCATGTGTCCAATTTAGCTCACAGAGGCAAGATACAAAAGCTTTGTGATGAATAGCTTTGATTACACCATGACTTCTTCAAAGTCTAAGAATGTTCTTAAATAAGTAAGTTATACCTAAATAAACTGTAAGACATAGTTTCATACTAATTCAAATTAGATCATAGGATTCAACCTGTAAGATTTACTGTGAAAAATGTGAAACTTAACATTGCTTAAACTTTTTTTTAAAATGTAACTTGGTGTCATAAGAACCCAGCTCAAAACAGCCCCATAACTAAACAGCAGCGGAAAGGTTTTCACCCAACAATTAATGGGCAAGTTCAAATGCTCCTCCCGAGACAGTCCATGCCAGAATTATTAGTGACACCATGAGGAGAACAGTTAGTGAAGACTGGAAAAATATCTGAGGTTGTCTTACCCACAGAAAAGCCATGAACAAGGAGGGAAAATGAAAATGAGAGACACAAGAGTTTGGCACAGTATAAATCCCCCGCTAGCCCTCCTCTGCCTGATGTGAAGACCAGGTGACATGAGAAGCGCTTGCATTGCGTTCCCCTCCACACACAATGGACTGCGCTTTGGGCCTGTGCCATGCAAGGGCATCCCCTCAGGCGGCTGCCTAGGATGCCACTCCTTACTTGAGGCAACACCAGAGAGGTTTGCAATGTGGAGTTTTCCAGAACTCAGCATCTCCCCTGTACATCTCCCTTTCCAGCTCTCCAGGAACGCCTCAACAATTTTGTTATACAACCAATCAGCTATGTGAGGTGGCATCTGAGAAATGCTGTAACTCGGGCCGGGGACTTAGCTCAGTAGTTCTGGCGCCTGCCTTGCAAGCGCAAGGTCCCAAGTTCGATACCCAGTAGCAAAAAAAAAAAAAAAAAAAAAAAAGAAATGCTGTAACCCACAATATTTCACATGAGGACAAATTCTACAGCAGAATTAATAAGCGTCCACATAAGACTTGAAGACATGCTAATTGCACTGGCCTCGGTAAAAAGCTCTACTCTCGAAAATCAGGTGTAACTCTGATATTTCAGACACCAGGTTATTTCCAAATGTCTCTGCTGAGCAAGCATTTGCTCCGAGTTCAAGCTTGGTGACAAGAGACACCACAGGTGTGAATAGTGTCTGGCGACCTGACACCTGCTTAAGGAGCTGCAGGCTAAGGGATGGGACCCAGCCAGCGCCCGCAGAGGGGAGGTACCCTCCACATAGTAGCAGGGCACGGCCCTGAGAGGGGAGGGAGAGGAGGTGAGCAGAGCTGGCAAGGAGGAGAAAGGACAGAAAGAGCAGGGCCCGGCACTGGCCTCTTGGCAGGCATCAAGCTCCAGGTGGCACCAGGCCTGGGCGGAGGGACAGACAGAGGCAGTGGACAGCAAAGGCTCTTCAGACATCCCGAGTTCCTGACAGCGTGGGGCCGCAAGGCAGCCCCTGGACGAGAGGCCACTTACTGGGCAGGCGGGCCTGGGCCTGCGAGGTGAGCACCAGCCGCTGGGGCGGCGCGCTCTGCCCAGCCGCCAGCGAGGGCGCCTGGGGCAGGGGCGGGGGCAGGCCTGCACCCAAGGCCTGGGCAGTGGTCTGCGCCCTCAGTCGCGCAGGGTGGGCTGGGCCTGTGGCTGTGCTGGAGGTCGAGGCGGGCTGGTGTCGAGGAGCACTGGTGGAAGCCTGAGAGGTCTGAAACGGGGCTGCTGCCGCTGCAATCAATAAGGTTGGTTTGTGCAAAGCTGTTAGAGGTTCTCATAAAATGCAACACTTCACATCCGAATTTTAAAGAATTACATCAACATTACTTCATACAGCTCTCAAATGAGAAGTCCTCTCTTAAAAACCAAGGAGTGTCCCTGGGATGAGAAACAGCCAGCCCATCATCAGCACGGCTGAGCAGCACACAGGGCCCTTCTCAGAGAGAAGGGAGGACTGGAGCAGCCCAGCCAGCCACTGTCATTGAAGCGACTTCCCAAACACAGAGAAGCATAGGCGCGATCCATCCTATCTTACAGACAAGTCCTTCAGTTGTGGTCCCGGGTGTTGGCTTATCTCGTGTGGACAAGACACAGGACACCTGACACGAGGACCTTCGGCTAGAGGCTAGAATGGCTCTTAGGACCTTTCCTGCTATTTCACCCTATCCTCTCAATGGTAATCATCAGTGAAGTTGAAATGATGGCACAAACTGTAACAAGAACAGACTTTCTCAGAAGTTTCCTGAATGTCTTTAAAATACACAAAGGTCAAATGCTCTGCTGTCATCATGGTCAACACTCAGCTCAACTGGGAGTGAAGTTTCTTGTACAGAGAAAAACCCAGCACGAGGAAGAGAAGGTGCACAAAGCCTTAGGAGCTGCTCCTGGCAGCCTCACCCAACCCAGAGCCTCCCGCAACATGGAAGGTGGATGATAGGTGACGATACCTTTCGTGTCTGGGTTTGCCGAGAATGTGGCAATTGGTGGGCGTCCTCGAACTGGGCCTTGTGGGGCAGCTGCAGATGCATTAGCAGTCACTGTCCGGGGCGGATGTGTGCTGGGGAATGCCACAGTGCGACCCTCAGGCTTCTGACCATACTGCACAGGCTGAAACAACCTACACGCAATTGGGCAGGCAGGAAGACACACAGGACATCACCCAGCTGCAGAGCCCAGCTCCACAGCATCGCCCCAGAGGACAGAGGGTCCCCAGCTCCAGAGGGCGGGCTGGAGGGGCTCACATTGGCTCCAAGGAACGTACCACCACCCTTGGGAGCTACTGACAAACTGCATACAAATGTGGCACACTGTAACACAGTAACACTGAGTAACACAGGGACAAATACGGCCTTAAGTCTTAAGTACTTAGCCATGTGGAACTGAAAAAATACCTAAGGCACAGAATACCCGTGCGACTCTAGCTTAGAGGAAGAGCCAAGTGGGAGCAAAGTCACCCTGCTGAGACAGTGGGAGAACAGGGCAATTCAGTGTGTAGCCTAAAACAGCAGGGGCCATGAAGACGCTGCTCAGGCGCAGGGCCCATGCGCTATCCTCTAACAGAGCACACTCTTCTTTCCCCAGAAAACAGTACCGGTAGTTTCCAAGTCCCATGCACAAAGCTGCATGTAGCCAGGGATTTAGCTCAGTGGTGCCACTGCCTGTCTTGCAAGCACAAGGTCCCGAGTTTGATCCCTGGTACCAAAAAAAAAAAAAAAGCTGCATGCGAAGGCAGCCACTGAAAGCCTTTAGCAAAGGCCAGAAAGCACAAGTGGACGAATCTGTGTTTCCCAGGCTGCAGGCTCCCTGTGGAGTGGTGAGCGGACTCTGCTGCTGCTGAGGTAGGACACCTACGTCCCGTCCCTGGTGAAGCCACAGAAGTAGCAACAGGAATGCCTATCAACCTGTGGAATTGACCCATTGTCTCAAAAATACCTATTTACATTTTCTTTTTCATCCAAATACAGGATTTTGCTTATTTCTAACTGCTAGTTTTAGTCTGTCCTGAGTCATTTATATTGTAATTTCATCATCTAACATATCTGCCAGCCTCCTGGCCTGTAAAAATCATTTCCTGTTGTTTGATGTCACCATGCCCAGGGTGGACCCTCCACCTGCCCTCACCAGCAGGCCACCACAGCTGTTACCAGACTGAATTCAGCCAAAAGGCAACAAAGAAGGGCAGTGAGCAGCTGCACTGTGCTGCCCAGGAGGTGCCTGTAGAGGTCTATGCTTGCTAACACCCAGGACATTTGGGAACTTCCAGGAGAAGCTGATAACCAAAGGAAGTCACTGGTAGCCCGGGTCAAGGAGGGGGCCTAAGCCCATGGCCCACAGGTGCTCCTCAGAGCAGGGCAGGCAGAACTAGCGCACCACACTTCTAACCCGTGCCCGCTTACCTACTGGCCTTCAGCTTCACTGCCACCGGCCGGGCTGCCAGAGGTGGTGAGGCGAAGATCTCCTCCATAAGTTTCCGGGTCACCTTTTTCTTAGATAGCAGTTCTGCCTCATAGCGAGTGATTTTATTTTCTAATCCAATGATATCAAATATAGAAAGATCGGTTTCCTAAAGGGGCAAAAATATGTGCTGCACGGCATGAAGTGGCAGAGGAATGGAAACCCACTAGGAGGGCCTGGTCTGAGCAGCTCCAAAGCAGCGCAGATAGCGCATGCTCTCCTGGTACGGCAGGTGAGACCTCAGGGCAGGGCTGCACCTCTGGAGGTCAGTGTGGGACTGACAGCGAGGCTCGAGGCGCGCTCCAGAGCTGTGCGGCAGGAAGGACATTGCAACCGGACACAGCACTCAGTCCAGCAGCCACAGGGCTTGCCTCGGCCAGAACAAGCGCCTCACCATCCCAGCACCTCCACCTTGCTTCCCAGGACTGGGATACCTCGACCAATCTGCTTCCAGCAGGAGGCTAAGCATCTAAAGAGAGTGCTGGCTGGGGTGGGGGTGCAGGAGGGAGATAAGGTGGCCTGGCTACAGTGGCACTGTCAGCATCAGTGTGAGCCAGACAGAGTGGCGCATGACCCACAGCTGCACCCCCAGTGTGCTCCTGAGGGGACAGAACTGTTGTGCATCCACCCTCGGCAGGAATGCCCTCAGCAGTGCCACTCACAGCAGCCTATGAGCTGAGGAACGGCAAGCAAATGTAGACCACCACACGAGCAGACAGCATCGTCTCCAAAAGGAAGTCCTGGTGCTTACTACAGAGAGGATGCACACTGAAAATGCACTACGTGAGAGGAGCAAGACACAAGGCCGAGGGATCCTGCTAGACAAAATGTCCAGGACAGGCAAACCCAGAGACAACACGGATGTGGAGATATGCAGGGCTCTATCTATTAAGTGCCTGGGCAAGAGCTACAACCGCAGTTAGGTTCTGCACACTCACCTTCCATGGGTCTCTCTCTAGCACCTTCAGGATCAGCGAGGCTGACCAGTACTGCAGAGCTGCTGCTACGTAGGAGGAGTCAGGGCACCGTGGCTCGATGAGCCCGGGGTGGTTGCAGATGCGCTGTAGCCTCATCAGGATGCTCAGCACATTGATGAAGTGCCCACTCTTCAAAGCCTCCTGAGTCCTGAGCAGGGAGCATGGGACCCCAACTGGGTTAGCAGCCGAACCCCAATGCCCACACAAGGCTTCCTGCACCCACTGATTCACTCAGCATTCCTAGACCATAAAACACTACCATGCTCCAGGGGCCCCCAAGAACAGGGAGGTGTGGGGAATCCCAGAGAGCTGTGAATGGTGAGGAAATGAACAGAGCTGGGGCAGAGGGAGAGTACCCAACCCTGCAGCTGGGTAGAGACTCAGGAAGGGCACAGAATGGTGGGAGGTGTGACCAGGCATGGTGGCGCATGATCCCAGTACTCTGGGAGCCCAAGGCACAAAGATCACAAGTTCAAGTCTTGCCCGGAGAATTTAGTGACTTAGTGAGCCTCTCCCCGTCTCAAAAAATAAAAAGGGCCTACACACATGCAGCTTCATGCAGCTGTGCAGAAACAGCACCTCTGAGACCAGCACCATGGTGGAGGGTGCCACTGCCAGCCTGAGAGGTGGGATCCCAGGAGACCAGGGGCTCACACACAGGCCAGAGGACGCACGTTCTCCTCACAGCCAGGCAGGCGGGCATGCAGCACTCACCCAGGCTGCAGGATGACATCCTCGTACAAGGCCTTCTGCCGGCTAGAGAGGCGGCACTTCAACACATGCTCGTACTTCTTTGTCAGCTGCTTCTCCACATCTCTCTTTGTCCTCCTCAGAATAAATGGCTGTGTCACCTGAAGAAAAAGAACAACTATTTCTTCCCGAAAACAAAGCAGCAACACCCTAGCAGTCAGGCCAGCCTGTGGGTGTGGAGCAGACATACCCTGTGCAGCCTGATGACCACCTTGTGGTAGTAATCCTGGTTTTCGTCACTGGGCGCCTTCAGTGGGAAGCTCAGGTAGGGCCGTGAGATGCCGGGAATGAGGAAGTGCACCATGGTCCACAGCTCCAGGAAGGTGTTGTGCAGTGGCATGTCGAGCAAAAGCAGGCGCTGCTGGCTGCAAAAAGAGCAAGCAGGCCAGGGATTTAGCTCAGTGGCACCGCACCTGCCTCGCAAGAGCAAGGTCCTCAGTTCGATCCCTGGTACCAAAAAAAAAAAAAAAGAGGAAGCAATGCTAGGCTCCCAACACACTTGCAGTGCCGCACCGCTCTGCAGCCAGGCTTGGGAAGGGGCAAGCTCAGCTCCAGGAGCCAATATAAGCAGATCACATGCTCTGCGGTCTCCGCAGCTCTGCGGGCTCTGAGGGGAAGAGCAATTTTGTGTGTCTGCAACCACCTCCATTTCTCCTAAAGAATGCGAATGTAGTGACCACAGGCCCATCTGGGCTGCGTGGCAGCAACAACCCTAAGGGGCAGACAGACCTCTGCAGGCTGAACACTGCTTCCCAGTGCCGCTCTGCCATGCCCTTCACGCGCTGCATCTCATCGACGATGAGGCACCTCCAGCGCACACGGGAGAAGGCAGCATAGCCTCTGAAGAAGTGCTTGTAGGATGTGACACAGATGTGGAAGCTGTTGGGCTCGGTCCAGTCCTGAGGCACAGAAAGGAGCCCATCACCCTCTGGCCCAGTCCTCAGCTACCAGTTGGTTCAACAAGGCAGAGCATCAGCGTGAGGCCCCGCTGCTCCGCGTTCACAGGCCAACTCGCTATTCTGAGTAACTTCTATCACTGCGGAGAAAATATCTGGGCTGATACTCTTCTCTTTTCCTCTGGAGCGGGCACATCTGGACTGTGAACCACACTGGCCCTGACAGCCAGGGAGGCAGCCCCACAAGATGGCAAACTTCTAACATGTGCTTTTCTGCGATGTTACGACTCGGTTGCTCAGGTGACAGAAGAGCGGACATCATTTGGAAACCAGAGAGACTATCAGAGAGGGGCACAAAGCAGGACAGCTTGCAGAGTGTATAATCCGAACCAGGAGAAACCATATTCAGAAGGTAGGAAATCCAACTATCTATGCTGCAACTGACTGTACTGAAAGCTTTTTAAGAGCAAGTTAGTAACTAGAGACAGGGCTATTAGCTGAACATTTCCCCTCAAAGATCCACACAGTGCACTAAGAGGTGGGCTATCTCCATCTCCCGAGTGCACCAGTGCCTCATAAAGGGCCACGGGGATGCAGGTCAGGAAGGTGCCATCTCAGAGGCAACACTGGGCCCTCACCAACAAACCTGCCTGGGCCCTGGCCTTGGACTTCCAGCACTCAAGAGCTGGGAGAGATGGTTTCTCTTGTTTATAAATTACCTACCGTGTGGCACTGTGCCGCAGCAGCACCAACAGACCAAGATAAAGAGAAAAAGTGAAGACAGAACTCAAGGTACTGATTTTTTAGTAAATATTACTCGAAATAATAATATCTAATGGCAAGGCAAAATCTCACATGCAACAAAAAACTGTGACCAATACACATATCCACTTAGGACCTAGTACTAGAAACTGGAGGACACAAAGGGAAACTCATTGCTATGTCACATTCCGACGAACACTCCCGTGGAAATTATTCTGTGGGTCTGGAATTCAGCACTGCGGATGCAGCACAGCTATGACAGGCAGCAGGATTCAAGGCAGAGTGCACCTGGCTCTGTCCTCTATGATTTCCAGGGACTCACTGACTAGCGAGCTGTACAGTTACATTAATGAGGAAGTCTTCACATTCCGAAATTTGTCTTCTATAAATACTAAGATAGCTTTCTGTTTATTTCATGCCTTTTTAAAAAAAGATACCTGTCTCTTTGCTTTGAGTTCTCTGTGGCTGCCGACATAGGCAAGGGTTTTGAGCCCGGGACACCACCGTTTCAACTCAAGTTCCCACTTGAGTATGTTACAACTCCTCACGACAACAAGGTGCGGACCCCAATTACCTATGAAACAAAAAAGATAGAATTTTTCACCACTAAGGAACCTGCTAAGCCCAGGCACCTGGCACGGGGGCCGGAGCCTGAGAAGAAGCAGGTGTCAGATGAGCCTGCCCACTAGGAAGGCAGACACTGAGGAGAGCAGGCATAGTCCCCCGGCATCAGACACTTGGTCCCCATTGTCTTGCTGCAGGGGAGGTCCCTATAAACTCCTAAAAGAGCAGGCACTGTTGGAACTAGGACTCACTCAAACCCCTGACCATACTGACCCCAATATGAGCCCAGGGAGGACATCTCCAGCACAGTGAGTACTTAGAAACAAGGCTGAGCACCTCCAGACCTGCATGAGTCCTTTGGTGAGCAGGCATCCCGCAACAGCTGAAACTGTGCTCCTCAGGGGGCACCCAAAATGCACGCTCTGAAAACTCAGATTGCTAAGACTCAGCACAATAACAGACACGGCAGATTTCAACCTCTGCACCACAAATGAAGCTGAAATCATATGAAAGGCAGAAACAGCAAGCTTTAAAGTCATCTTCAGTATGTGCATCAACAGCCATCCCTGCTCATGCACAGAGCACTGCCGTGGACTCTGGAGAAGGAACCAAAGATGTGAACAGAAACTCCACAAAGAAAACACAAGAGGCAGTAGACCCTTCAAAGCACAGCCCCAAGATTAAGACAACACCCATCAAACCAGATGGGTCTCTATATCATGGGAAACAGGGTTTAAAAACCTAAGTAGGTCTCCTTTCTGTTCTTAGAAAAGGAAGTGCAGTTAGGGACCTGGGTTTGAGCATGTCCGTTAATCTGAGAACGAGGCAGGGCAGGACACTAACAGGATGCCCCATGGTCACCACCCAGGGAGGGAGTGAGATTTTTCTTCCCTTCAAAAGTGAAAAAGGAGTCAGGCATTGGGGCACATGTCTGTAATTCCAGCACCCTGGGAAGGTGAGGTAGGAGGACTGAAAGTCTGAGACCAGCCTGGACGTCATAGCAAGTTCAAGGTCAGCCTGGAATATAGCAACCTTATCTCAAAAAAAATATCAGAAACAAACAAACAAACAAACACGACAGACAGAGGGGTAGACAGCCAGGCACAGCAGCACACAACAGCTACTGTGGAGGCTGAGGCAGGAGGACGGCAAGTTCAAAGCCAACCTGGTTGACTTAATGAGACACTGTCTCAAATTATAACAGAACGTGCTGGGAATGTAGGGCAGCATTTCCCCAGGCTCCCTCTGAGGCTACTGGGGTCCAGGAGAAATGGCTGGCAGAGGGTTCCACCAGACAAGGCCTGAGGGCGAGGAACAGACTCACACACTCATTCCTGCATTCAACAAAATAAAATCCCTGGTTTAGAAGCACAGACTTCCTCCAATTTTTACCACAGTCAGCTCTATTACCTGAATTTTCAGTTACCCATCACTGAACATGGTCCAAAAATATGAACTGAGAAGTTTCAGAGACATACAACCCTTAAGTTTAACTTGCACGGTGCTCTGAGCCTCCAGACCAGAGCCAATGTCTCAGGCACCAGAGCAGTTGTCGTGGTGCCACACTGTCTGTGTACATGCAACCCATATTCACTTCATAAGGGCACAAGACTGGTGACACAGCGCAGCCACACAGGCACCAGGGAGGAGCTATGACGGTCTTCCTGTAAGTGGAAAGGTGGACATTCATGGCACACAGGAAGCTTGGTCCTACCCAAGGTTGCAGCACCCACTTGGGTCCAGAACTGTATCATGACCCTGCAGAGAAAGGGGATGACGGCTGCTGTAAATACAGAAAACACATTAGTGTTTTCCTCACCTCAGTAACACACAATGAGGCCAGGCAGTTCTCTGCCCTGAAGGAACTACACAAACACATCTACTTTAAAGTACTACATTTAAAACTTTACAATACCTTGGGGCCTGGGATTTAGCTCAGTGGTTCTGGTGCCTGCCATGCAAGCGCAAGCTCCCGAGTTCAATCCCCGGTACCAAAAACAAACAAACAAACAAAAAGCTTTACAATACTGAGTCAAAAAGCAGAAAGAGGTCAAGTGGAGAAAACATAGAGCCTGAATTCAACCCTCTGTGTGTACCTAAAGACTGACCACAGTGTTCAGGGACGTTCCACCAGAAGCCATTCCTAAACCAGGCTCCACCTTCCCTGTCCCAGGAGCCCCTTCAGGCCCAGTGTCCCTGACACCCTGCCGGATGCTACCTCCTGCCTCCAGTGTGTCCAGCCAAGCTCTCAGATGCCAGCAGGACCAGGCTGTGTCCACTCCCCTGGCACAATGGCAGGGTCTGCTGTGAGTCTGCACCTGGCAGCCAGGGGACACTTCTGACAGAAAGGCAGCAGGCCCTGTCCTGTCGCTCTTTCCTGCCAGGGAGCAGGCATGCATGGGACATGCCCCCATCCAGGCAGGGCACTGTGCTGGGCTTGGGGCCTGACACAGGACATGGTGGTGCAGAGGTAACAGGAAGAGTGGCCGGGCTGCAGGGCAGGAGTGAGTGCACAGCCACGCTGGCCAGGGGCCTGCACCGCTCCGCCTTGCGCTCACCTGCAGCAGTGCAGGCTGCCAGGCCACCTGCTCCTCCCACACTGCAGGGTAACACTTGAGTCACAGCAGCTGGGTGTTTGTATCACATGAGATTTTAAGTACAGTGGACCCTTGACTTACAAACTCAGTTTGTTCCTGAGGACTGGTTGTAACGCAGATTGGTCAGTGGAGGCTCAGGCTCTACACAGCCTTCAGTCTCTCCTGCACACAGGTGGATCTCGGTGTCCTTACAGACACTGGCCCAAGATTTCTCAGTGAACCCCACACAGGAAAGGATGCTGTCATGCTCCTTCCAGAACTCTGTAAGGGTTAAATCTGTACCTGAGACCATCTGCAAGCACAAGCGGCCAGCATTTGGGTCGTAACTCAAGACTTTGGTCATAAGTTAAAACTAAAATTCCAAGGCTAGGGATTTAGTTCAGTGACACCGTGCCTGCCTCGCAAGTGCAAGGTCCTGAGTTTGATCCCCGGTACCAAAAAAAGAAAGAAAAAAGAAAAAGAACAACTAAAATTCCAGTCATAACCCAAGTTGTTTGTATGTCAGGCCACTCGTAACTCTAAGGTCCACTGTAAAAGTGAATTACCCCACCTAATGCTAAGGGTGAATGAACATTTTGTCTAAACAATGAACTTTTAAAGTTTTTCTTCCTTGAGGCAGGGTCTTGTATGCATGTTGTCAAGGCTGCCCTTGAACTCCTGGCCTCAAGCAATCCTCCTAGCTCAGCCTCTCGAGTAGTGGGGACTACAGGTGTTGCCACCTCAACCTGCAGGAACAAGTTCTTCTGAGCCACACTGCGGACCGGAGCAAAGAAGAGGATACAACGGCCAGGCCTCACCCTCAATCAGACACACGCCTCACTGCCACATCTGAGCAAACACACTCCTCCAGGAAACCCAAGGGCCCTACCTTCATTACAGGCGAGGTGGGCAAAGAAAGCAATGATCTGCACAGTTTTGCCAAGCCCAGCCTCGTCGGCCAGGATGCCATTGAGGTTCTTTCTGTAGAGCTTGGCCAGCCAGTCCAGGCCGATCTTCTGGTAGTCTCGGAGGGCGCCGTACAGCAAAGAGGGAGTGCTGAACTTCACCTGTGGAAGAGACCATCCAGGCCATGACTGCTTGTCAAGACAACCACAAAACCTTTCTGTAAGGCTGGAACTACAGCAGGTGCCTAGCCACCCCAGCACTTGGGAGGCTGAGGCAGGAAGATCGCAATTCGGAGCCCAGCTTGGGAAATTTAGTGACTTAGCAAGATCGTGTCTCAAAATGAAAAAGGGCTGGGGATGCAGCTCAATGCAAAGACCCTGTGTTCACTCCCCAGAGAATCCCCCCTAAAATAGAAAGCCATAAGACATGCCTGTTAAATTGTTGCAGATGACTTAGAGGAACAGAAGAAAGAGCAAGAGCTGCCTTTCCAGGCAGCTTCTGTAGCTGGGACACTGAGCTCCTCCAGGAGTATGCAGAACTCCCTGGCAACCTGTGTGCAAAATCCCACCCTGCCCCGAGCCTGGCCAGCGCCTCACCGCGGTTGTGACCCGGGAGCTGCCCTTGGGCAGGATGGCTTCGGCCACAGCAGTGACCTCTGCGATGTCCTTTGTGTTGGGTTTGCCGACACTCATCCTCTCTGCAGCTTTGAACTGGTCCATGATGAACAGCGAATCTATGAGGACCAGGTCCCTGCGGGTCTCCCTGTCCCCAAGGCAGTCCTCCACATCTACAACAGCAACAGCAAGGGGACGGGGAAGGGGTTGCTGTGAGTTTCATGAGCCTAAGCCTTGAGAAGGGGAGGAGGAAAACAGTAAAACAGAACACCTGACAGAGGTAATCATCTTCTATTCTGTTTTGGTTTTTGTGGTACTGCAAATTGAGCTCAGGGCCTTCTCATTGAGCTACACCCTCAGCTCTTGTTCTGTATTTTACCTGTGAGACAGAAAGAGTCCCAGGCTGGCCTGGGACTTGCAATTCTCCTACCCCAGCCTCCCAGAGTGCTAGAGTTATAGGTGTACAAGATCACCCTAGTCTTGTAATCCATTTTACTTAGCTATCTTGATAAATGAGCACTGTTGTGAAACACCACAGTTAAGACCATTCTAGAATGACCTCAGAGCACAATATGCCAATAGCCTGGTACTTAAGAAAGGGACCCAGTATCATGGACAAGTTTATAGGTGTCTCAGGCTAGGTGATGTTCCCTCTGCCACCACCAAGAAAGGAAAAATTGGAAAGGAGGGCCACGCCTCCCTGATGCCCTGCTGCCAGCACAGGAGCCTGAAGGGCCCGATTCCTGGGAGACCCCAGCCAGCACTGCCTCGCTCCCACCCCTCACATGCACCTGTGTCTAACGATCAGAACTGGATGGTGCATGTGCTCTATGCAGCCTGTGCCTCTACCTGCAATGCCTAATATGTAAGCAAACTCCTCTGGACACACGTGTCACAGGAACACAGCACAGTGGGATAACACGAATCTAGGCAGAAACAGTTCCAAGCCAGGTATGGTGGTACACACCTGTAACCCTAGCGCTCTGAGGAGGCTGGGTCAAGAAGAGCACCACAAGTTTGAGGCCAGCCTGACCTATATAGCAAGTTCAAGGCCAGCCATAGCAAGACTCTGTCTCAAAAAAGAATATCAATAATAATAATAACAATAGAATAAAATAAAAAGGAGAGGGGCACAGCTCAGTGCAAACACTTGGTTCAATCCCCAGTAACAAAAACAAGCACACTAATTTCCATATCCTTCACAGCTTGATCAAATGTTCCAGCAACAGCACTTTTTAGGTCAATAAGTGAAAAGCACAGAATTTAAAATCTATTTAATAAAAAAAAACACTACATACTAAATACACTCCCAATTATTTCTTTCATCAAACTGAACCTGCTATGACTGGCTATGACTATTTGCATTTTGGCTTATGCCGCAAGAGACATACCCTCCTCTCCACTCGACTCGTCCTTGACAGGCTCAGGTGGGGTCCACTGAAAGCCTGGCAGAAACGCACCTTCGTACAGCTTCACCAGATCCATGAGGGGCAGCTCAGCTGCAGAGGCAGGAGGACAGTTAGTGCTGGTCCACCACCGCCCTGCCCCGACGCAAGAGGAAGCACCAACATGTGGCAGACAGCAGGGGCCTGGCACAGGCCTCCCATTCTGGGCCATGACAGTCACTGGAAATGGTACAAACAAGCTGCTCACCCCTGGGAAGAGCCAGGGGCTGGAAGTCTTTCTGATTTCCCAGGTTTTTGGACTTTGAGCGTCACTAAAAGTCCAAAATGCTCTGAAATCTAAAGCTTTTTGAGCATCATTTTTTTGGTGCACAACCTGCAATACCTAAAATCATGTTAATTTTTTTTAAAAACTAAGCTGGTTGCCCATTACTGATAATGATCTAAATATTTTCCTTATAAAGATAAGAATCTTAAATGAAATGAGAAAAGTTAACTTTTTACTCATAAAAGAACAAAATATTTCTGAAACCATCTAATAAATGTATGGTAACATCTTTAAATAAAAATATAAACAATGAATACCAGGCTGGGGGTGTAGGTCAATGTACAGCATCTGCCTAGGATGCACGAGGCCCTGGAGTCAGTCCCTAGCACCACAAGAAAATAAAACAACAAAAATTCACTGATGGGAAATAACTGCTGGCTAGGATACATAAAACACAAAGCATGCCTGGCATAGTAACACACACTTGTAATCCCAGCATTCAGCATTCAGCATTCAGGAGGCTGAGGCAAGAGGACCATCATGAGTTCAAGGCCAGCCTGAACTACATAGTAAGACCCTGTTCTCAAAAAAAATAAAAGACCAGGGCCAGGGATTTAGCTAATGGTTCCGCCGCCTGCCTCGCAAGCGCAAAGTCCCAAGTTTGATCTCTGGTACCAAAAAATAAATAAAAAAGAGAATAACACTTAAAATACCTAACTAATGCTTAAAGTAAGCATAAAAGGATGAATAAATAACAGATTTGGTAAAACAGAAGACAAATTTAAAAATTTTGACAGATGTAAGCCCAACTAGAACAGACATAAATTTAATACAAATACACCAAACACTCCAGACGCTAGCAAACTAAGGAAGGAAAAAGCACACAACACGCTGTTACAAGAGACACACTCTAAATGAACAGCACAAGTTACACACTAATGAGCCATCTCTGGAGGAACCTCTCTCACTGACAGGCCTGCAGGACCTGTCACGAGGAGTTCCGATAAAATGTCAAAATCACAAAGTGTACTAGAAGACAACGTCCATCAGCAGAAGTCACAACTCACTAAGACAGCAGAATTGGGTCTGCAGATCTCCACATAGAGGGTTTCTAGACACAGACGAAAACACCAACAGCATTCAAAGAAATAAAAGACAACAAAGACATGAATGAGGAGCAAGAGGTGGGCCAGGACACGGCTCAGCATAGCACCAGGCCCTGGCTCCACTCTCACAGCAAAAAGAAAGGACATCTGGGAACAAGCTGTGGTAATCAAGATTTACAACTCAGTGGACAGGTTATGCACAGGCCAGGCACAGCTTGGGAGTTCAGAAAACAGAAAGCAGACCTGTGTACCTAGTAACGCAGCCTCAAATACAGAAAATGAGCCTGGCAGAAACATGAGAAGCAGGTTTCCAATCCCATGATGGGAAATCTCAACACACCAGAGCGGGCCGGAGAAACCAGGGACCTTGGCCAACAACAGGCGCCAGTGGTAGACACGTGAGGGATGCTGACCATGAGGTGCTGACTCTGGGCTGCTGCAAGCACACACACCACATGTGCAGATGGCCCCATGAAAAGCTGCCTCAACAGGATCCAGGAGGGGGAGCATCACAAAACCCACTACATGATCAAAACTAATGCACAATGACAAAATGGTTCAATTCCAAAAAGAAAACTTAGATGAAGTGAACAAATTCTCAGAAAACTTAATTATCAAGACTGAATACAGGGCCAGGGATTTAGCTCAGTGGTTCCGCCCCCTGCCTCACAAGTGCAAGGTCCCGAGTTTGTTTCCCAGAACCACCACCACCTCCGCAAAAAAAAAACTGAATACAAAGAAAAGAAAAAGCTCTGAACTCCTGTCTGATTGTGCAAGGACCCAAGTTTGATCCCCAGTACAAAAAAAAAAAAAAAAAAAAGGTATGACTGGCTGTGGCTAGAAGTACGGTCCTCTGAGCCAGGTGTGGTGGCCCATGCCTGTAATCCCAGCAGTTGGGAGGCTGAGGCAGGAGGATCACCACGAGTTTGAGGCCAGCCTGGACTACACAGCGAGACCCCGTCTCAAAAAACCAGAGGATGGGCCAGGGATTTAGCTCAGTGGTGCCACCACCTGGCTGGAAAGCAGAAGGTCCCAAATTCAATCCCCAGAACAAAAACAACAACAACAAAAATTCTTAGGGCTGGGGATTTAGCTCAGTGGTTCCACTGCCTGCCCCTGAAAGCTCAAGGACCCAAGTTTGATCCCCGGTACCAAAAAAAACCCAACAACAACAAAAAAACCCACCCAGGGGAAAAAAAGCATGTTCCTCAATTCACTGTCGGGGGTTAGGATAGCCTTAAGGTTAAATCTTCCAAGGACAGCATGAGCAACGAAAGATCCAAACCCTGTCCCACTTGTGCACACAGAAACACAAAACCCAAGCACATAGCCCAGCAAAAGCACCTGACAGCACAACACCCAGCAGACCCAACTCAGTCATTGAGCCTCACTGAGCTGAGGCAGTAAGGGAAGGATGCTAAGACACACACGGCCCACAGAAGCAACCATGGGGCAGGTGGAGGACAGCACCCATTAACCTGCTGGAAGCAGCTACTGAAAGCCCTGCACGTCAGGCCCCACAGTGAAGCCGCAGGGCCATCTTCATGCGACAGCTGCTGCAAAGAGCACCAGGCACACAGCAGGCCAGACCTCACTACCTCCTCAGAACATGGCTGTGACTGGAGAACCACAGTCCCCTGCTGTATGTGAGGAGAACGTCACCAAGAGCACAGGGTCAGGAGGCAGCAAGCCCTAAATCTGAGCCAGGCAGCCACCACCCCTCCCCTCCCCTCGTGGAGAGGAAGACTACGCAGAACCAAGGAGAGAGGCCAGCAAAGGTGATAGACAGACTGCACCCTTACAGGCCAGCAACAAATTAGCAGGCAGTTCTAGAAGCACACCACTTAATACAACCTTAAAGAAAATATACAAAGCACTTAGAAATTAAACAACCCAAGACATGCAATCATAAAATGTTACTGGGAGCTAATGATGAAGACTTGAGTCTCAGAGACTGACATCTGATCGTTCTCATCTGATGCCCCATGCAGTCAGCCTGCAAGCAATGCTTCCAAGGGATTTTCTGGAGCCAATGTGTATCTGAAACACTCCCCGAACAGTCAAGATCTAAAGAAGAGAGGGTAGAGGAACTCACTTCACCACACCTAAGAGTGAGGTAGGCCTACAGGAGTCAGGATCTTGGGATTCTTTTTTTTTTTTTTTTTTTTTTTTTTTTCCTCGGGATGCTCTTACAGAAACTGGCACACACTAGCCAGAAAGCAATGGAGATCCCAGAGACAGCCGAGCGAAGAAGAGAACGATTTACGTCTGAACTGGCAGAAAAGCTCAGTGCAGGAAATACGGGCTTTTCAAAAGGGTGCTGGGGCTGGGGATTTAGCTCAGTGGTTTCGCCGCCTGCTGTGCAAGCTCAAGGACCCAAGTTTGATCCCCGGTACCAAAAAAAAAAAAAAGGGTGTGGCGATGATCAGCTACACACTCAGGAGAAACACTGACTCTTACTTCACATACAGCCATAAGATACTAATATGAGAAGAAAAACAAAACATTCAGAGAACCCTACAGGAGAACATCCTCATCTTGATAGAAAAGAATCTGCTGGCTTTGTATTCCATTTCCTGGAACTTGAGAGCAGATAGGAGCTGCCAGCACCAGTACATCGGGGGACCAAACACCAGTCCCTGCCAAGAGGAGGGGCAGAGGGTTTTTTGTTTTTTAAAGACATTTGCTCAGCATGTGCCAGGCCCTAGGTTCAATCACCAGCACACACACACACACACAGACTGCCAGGCGTGGTGGTACATGCCTGTAATTCCAGCACTCAAGAGGCTGAGGCAGGAGGATCACCGAATGTTCCAGGCCAGTCTGGGCTACACAGTGAACTCAAGGCCAGCCTACACTACACAGCAAGACCCTGTCTCCAAAAAAACCAAAAAACAAACCCCAGACTGACAGTGCTGGGGGGGTAGCTCAGTGGAACAGCATGTGTTTAGTATGCTCAAGAGCATGGGTTCAATCCTGAGTGCCAAAAAGTAAAAAAAAAAAAAAAAAGAAAAAGAAAAAGAAAATTGATAAATTCAAGTACACTGAAGTTAAGAACACCTTTCATCAAAAGCCACCCCAAAAGGAATGAAAAGCACAGACAAGAAAGCCCAACACCAAAATTGGCAAAGCAGTGGGCAGGGGCACACGAAAGACACTGGCACTGGCAGGGAAGTGCACCTGGAGCCCTCCGAGGTGAGGGCAGCAGTGTCCCACTGTGGCACAGACATGAAAGCTGCCCACCTGCCTTCACAGGCTGCCCCTCTGGTCACACACAGAGCACTGCAGCAGCACTGTGGGACCCAAGGCCCAGCCTCGGCACAGTGCGACTGGAGGCACAGCATGCGTGGAGTGATGCTGGGTGTGGAAATCAATGTTCCCAGCAGCATCTGACAACCCAGATGAACTCTGGAGCAGGGTGGCGGGTGCTGCCTCAGACACACAGAGATGGCAGGGGAAGAAGAGCCATGGGAGAGACTGGCAAAGAGCACAGAGCGGCTACGACCCCAGGACAGTGGGGGTGGTGGCAGGGAGGACCCAGGAGTTCTTTCTTTAACTGGGGGACACAGCTGGCCATGGCAGTGCCGCAGTCCATGCAGTGCTGTTATTTGTACCTGAAAGTTGCTCTATTCTGTGAGCCTATTTAATGTTTAATAAGTGCACCTTTCAGTAAGATCATGACAGCCCACCTTCTTTGGCCAGATTAGAGAGCTCTGTGTGGTGGTCTACAATCCCTTCGTGCGCCTCCTCCTCTTCAATGGTCTCCTCTTCATCTTCCACTGAAATGATCACCATCAGAGGTCAGGGACATGTGAGGCTCCACTGTAGCATCTCAAAGTTACTACACACTTCCAGGGCTCGAGACTCCTGCATAACTACTAAACAAGCTGAAGTGAGCTCTTTAACTTCTCGGGTTAAATCTGGATGTGATGGTTTTTACTGGAGCAGGAAACAGGGGAGCGTGGCTTCCCTCCCATTGGGGGCTGTAACAACACAGCACAGGCCTTCCTCGGGCCCATACACAGTGGCCCACCTTCCATCACTGCCAAGCTACATAGCAGGAAAGCTCCACAGTGCTGCCTGCGACCCCTCAGAGAGGGCCACTCCCAGTGGGTGCCTTCCTCAGCCTCAGCCCTCTTGCTCCATGCTCTCCAGACCCCCTGAAAACCCTGTAGCTCTCTGATAATGAGGGTCTGGGCCTGTGGCAGAAAAAGCGGCTCCACCAGCATCTCCACAGCAGAGCACCCCACATTGGAGGACCAGCTCTCCACCACTCACCAGGCCAGGGGGGCTGCACAGCCCTCCCTCAGTAGCAGGCCCCTCTTCAGGGCTCCTCCCACTGACATCTATGCTCCCCTCTGCCTCTCTTCCCTCACGAACAAATACATATGCACACAATCCAACAGCTCCCCCTCCCCACGCACAAAGTGCTCACTCCTTCCTATGAACCTCCACCGCCCACCAGGGCTACAGAGGCACCTGGTGCCAACCTCAAGGCCCCCAGACCTCAATACTTCCTGAACACACACGCCACCCTGGCAGTACCCACTCAGAAGTTCATCCTGCCTGTCCTCCCCTCTGACTACTGGTGCCAGAGCAGAATGCACAGGAAAAGGAAAGGGAAAGTCCAGGCAGCTAAGCTGGTTTGCTCTGAGTTCCACTTAGACATCCTTCTTTAAAGAAAATTTGGTTAAATATACAAAAGTCTGCTTCAGTATCTAAACTGGCTCCTTGGAATATGAGAAAATAAAACAAATGTGGAGAAGGGACTCTCCACAAACCCTGAAATGGCTATTAGAGTCCAGTAAAGTGTGTCCCTTGCAAAGAAGTGACGCAATTACTTCCCAGGTGACAAGACATGCACACACCCACCATGTTTCTACCTCTGCCCAGGAAGACAGAGTCACAATACCCACGGAGACAGGGCGATGTCAGTGGGGTCTGAGGCCAACCCCCAGGTAGAGCACTGGGAGTACTCACCTGTGAGTCGGATGTCTCTCTGACCTTCCTTTCAGCACCAACCCAAACACTTGGTGCCTGGTGTGATGTGTTAAATCACTGCCCATCTTCCACTGGCCAACTCCACTACTCTCCAGGGGCAGAGGGCATGGGATGGATAGGGGTGTGCAGGAGGTGCAGATGGAGAAGGGCACATGACTGCACAGCTGCATGGGGTAAAGTTACTAACTGTGCTGATATTCAGAAAACTCAGACACAAGCGGAAAATAAATCAGTGTCAGGAAAGAAAGGTATCAAATCTCCCTCAAAATGAAGTTTAAATTGGCAACATTAGCCCATGCCCACCATGCAAAGTGGCTTCTACTGAGCTCTCCAATTTCCCCAAACTAACCTGCCCCATGAGATGCCCCCAATCAGTGAGACTCCCACAGAGACATCAACCTACATCACTGTACGTGGCCAAGACTGCCAGCCACCCAAAGCACCTGCTCTGCAGTCACCAGCCCCACAGACCTGCACCACGACCACGGGCCAGCCCCTACAGCAGCAGCTGGCCACTGATGTGCAGGAAGAAGCATGGCCAGGATCTGGGAGGCGCCCACTTCATCCCAGGGGCTTAAGGCACCCTCTGTGCTCCTGATTTGTCTCTTCCTTCACTTCCAACTGCAGCTCGAACTGCAGCAGACAGCTGAGCTGCAGGAGCCGCCTGCCCAAGAAAGCAGCTGGAAGGGGCACTTGGTAACAGGACAGGGGAGCACACAGGAGAAAGTGGGGGGGCTCTGAAAATACTATCAAGTCACCATGCCAGCCCTGGGCCATGTTCCCCAAGCTCCAGTCCACCCAAGCCACTGTTGTTTGTTTCTGTCACTTGCAACAGAACTTAACTCTTGACAGTTACTAGGCCAAATGCTCCCTGTCAACTTCCAAATAAGAAACGGTACATACCAAAACACTAAACTCCCAAAATCTGGAAAAGGTTACCATACTTTGCCAACCAAGTCAATAAACCATGTGACTGCTAATACTGCAAGCCTTGCCGGGCACCTACTGGGATTGCTCACTGTTAGACGGGCTTCCACAGACCCTACTCCTGCCCCTCCCTCAGGCCCCAGCCCTGACATGCACAGCACACAGGTTGGACACTGCTGGCCACAGGCTGTCCTCAGCTCACTCACACCTGTCTGTGTCCCTACTCGGGTACCCACATCTGACTATCACAAAAGTGTTCCTCAAGAGCTCTGGCCCGCTGACCACGCCATGAGAGTGACAGCAGGCAACCCACCCAACTACCACTTGGCATGGTGACCACCATGCACAAGGGATACCCATCAAGGACAGGAATGGACATGGCCCTGTGCCGTCAAGAGCATGTGGGTCCACTGCTTTCCAGATACACCGGGCTCCAAACCTCACAAAGGCAAATACCACTGTGTTGTTCCAGAAAACATCTCAAGCCTTCTAGAGACACCAAGAGATGCCTGTGCACCCCTGCACATGGAGCGAAGCCTGTACAAATGCAGAGCTTACGCTTTCCAGCTGGCTCAAAATAACAAGACCATGGCCCCCATACTGCAGTGCCGTGGACTCCAAGGACCCTGGGGCACAGCTGGCACCAAGGGAAGGGAAGGGAAGGGAAGGGAAGGGGACAGACCTTCATCATCCGTCAGACATGTGCTAGCTTTTCTCTTTCTTCCAGAGAGTCCTGAATCCTGAAACAGAATAAAACCACAAACATGAGATCGAGAGTCACAAAAGTGTCCATGTGGCACACCCTTGAGGGCAATAGGGAGCCCTGAGCATCCCAGGGCCATCCTACATGGCTTCCATTCTTCAGAGTGCAGTAACACTGTGAACCTACCAAGAAGTGTTCTGACAGTGCATCAAATCCCTTAGATCGAGACTCTCTTCCTAAAGACAAGAGACACGATTAGCTGTCACTAGAGGTGCGGAAAGATGATACTCTTTGCTCCACCACTGCCACCATGCAAGGAAAGACAGAAGTGCGAGCCCCACCTCCTTCCTTCTGGGGCCTGAGACAGTGACTTTCCCCTCACAGCTTTGTGACTTTAGCAGTGGGCATCTGTGGGGCTCAGTCTCCCCATTGGTAAGATGAGCCGGCCCCCCTCCCCAAGACACTGAAGAACAGGGAATGCTGCCTGCACTGGTCCCAGCAGGTCCAGGAAACCAATGACTGGAGGCAGCTGCCGCCAACACACATGAAGGAGTAATGGCCCCAAGGGACCCAGGCCTGGCACAGGCCTCAATAAATTCCCCTTGCCATCCACAGCCCTGATGCCCAGCATCCCCAAGTTACTAATGTTAAGGCACTGGTTCACGCTCATGTGTCTCACAAGAGCTGCAGTCCAGAGCTGGATGCGTCACACACTGAAAAGTGCAATGCTGAGGTACAGCACTTGTACCAAAAGGTCTCCCTGACCCAGGCCTGCCCTGGCTCACAGGGCCAGGGCACCAGGAGGTTGCCGGGTTAGCAGAATCTGAGCAAAGGGCACCATGAAAACTGTTCAGGCTCGTTTTTCTTCCTTTTCGTGGCACCAGGGAGTGAACCTAGGACCTCACACATGCTAAGCATGTGCTGTACCTCTGAGCTATACTTCCAGCCCTTCTAGTGCTTTTAAAAAAAAAAAATCACATCTAAAAAAAAAAAGAAAAACCATACCTCTCCTAGAAACTTTCTGTAAATTTAAGGCCTTTTTCCTTTTTTCTTCTAATTCTACTTGTAGTTTTATTTCCACAACCTAAATACAAAAAGTCAAATAAATAAGCAAGTTATTAAGGATATAAATTATAGAAGTTCCGCATATAAGGGAAGTTATACATATAGTACCAAAGCACAGTTGCCCAACCTCATTTCACATTATTCAAAAAGAAATAATCCGGTTTGGTGCTTTTCCATTTGTTTTGCCCCTAACTGTATCCTGCAGCAATGATATTAGGTGGTGAGATGAAAACTTGTTTTAGAAGAGAGCCCATGCAAGTGAGTGGCCTTCAGGACGCAGGCACCACCCATGACCCCTGGCCACCAGGCCCTCGGCATGAGCTCCTCTTGCTGCCCTGTGTCTCCAGATGCAGAGACACCCGGAGACCGGGGTGCCGGCCAGCAAGGGCCAACACAGACAGGTGCAGAAGGCCCACCTGCTCGAGGTTTGACCAGAAGTGCTCAATCTCTCGGGCAGCGGAGGCAGCAATGCGCCGCAGTCTGTTCTGCTCCTCTCTCTTCCCCCTTTCCTCTCGAAGCTGCTTCTCTGCATGCTGGCGTGCCACAGTTCTGACGAGCTGGGAGATAAGAGCTTAGGGTTATTTCATAACCTTATTTCTGTGTCATACTGGAAAAAAAAGGATCACTAAATTTGTTAGGAACTCTTAGCCTACAGTAACATGTGATCCACCGTCATGATACAGCCTCCTCTGTTTTCAATGTGTGCTAGGCGAAGCGCTGGGACAAGTAGACCACCAATCTTCAATTTCCACTTCTAGAAAGTGTGATTTTACCAAATACACGCATCTTTCTCAAATGTGGACTACTACGCTGCACTACAATCTTTCCCTTCTATGAATGATTAACACTTTTCTGTTCAATAAGCGGAGATCAACATCAGCGGGGCCAGATGTCTCCCACTGCATGAATGCAACCAAGCTTACCAGTTCTTAGATGTGAGAACTGTGGAACAGGATGGCTCACTCATGGACACACGTGTGTATTGCTACAGAATGAACCCAGGCACTGAGCTACATTCTCAGCTATTTATTCTTTTTTTTTTTTTTTTTTGGTACCAGGGATCAAAGTCAGGACCTTATGCTTGTGAGGCGGGCAGCAGCACCACTGAGCTAAATCCCCGGCCCTATTTATTTTTTATTTTGAGACAGGGTCTCACTAAGTTGCCCAGGCTGACCTAGAACTTTCCACCCTCCTGCCTTAGCCTTCCCAGGTGCTGAGATTCCAGACATGCAACACCATGCCTGGCTGATTCACCTTTTTAAGCCCTCCACTTTGTAATCTTTTTTTTGGTACTGGGGATCGAACTCAGGTCCTTGCACTTGCGAGGCAGGCATGGTGCTGCTGAGCTAAATCCCCAGCCCAAGGCCCCCACTTCAAACTGTTTTGGTTTTTTTTGTTTTTTGGGATTTTTTGGTACCAGGGATCGAACTTGGGACCTTGCACCTATGGGGCAGGCGGTGGAACCACTGAGCTAAATCCCCAGCCCACTTTAAACTGTTAATCTACGCTCCAGAAGCTGACACTCCATGCACCCTGAAGCCTTCGGGACAAAGGCTCCCACAGGAAGCACTACCCGCAGAGCCCTGCCCACCAGCAGCATCCAATCCAGGAGGCAGTGAGGAAAAGTGAACCTGAGGATGGGCCCAGAGCACTGAACTGCAGCAGGTCATTGCTACCCTCACCCTGGGGACAATGTGCTCAGGGCCCTCTGCCTGCCTGTCCTGGGGAGGAGGACGGCAAGGAGGACAGGGCACACGGCTAGCCCAGGAGCAGCAGATTCAGTCCATCCTGTCCTCTGCCAGCCACCGTCCTGTCCAGCCTGGTGTCTGTGTCCAGGCCACACCCTGTGTGTACCAATGCCCAAGTGTCTGCCCTAGTGTGCACATGCTCAGGATGATCTTCCTCTGTGAGGAAGCAGGGGCTTATGGAACAGCTGGGTTTTCCCTGCAATGCTGTCAATCTGACCTTAGACCCTTTATTCTCGGAACCCAGATTGGGAGAGAAATGGGGAGAAATCAGCTGGGCACACACCTGTTCTTTTTTTGTTTGGTTGGGTTTTTTTGGTACTGGGGATCGAACTCGGGTCCTTGCGCTTGCGCAGCAGGCGGTGAAACCACTGAGCTAAATCCCTGGCCCCTGGCCACACACCTGTAATCCCAATACTCGGGGGATGAGGCAGGAGAATTGCTATGAGTTCAAGGCCAGCCTGGACTACATGTGAGCCTTTGAATTCAGCCAATGAATTTAAAGGTCAGCTGCTTCTCCTGTGTTAGGGATAAAAGGGCAACCCTGCTTTGTCATGAGTGCCTGCTACCTCATGCTTACACTCTCTTGCAAAAGTGAAAAACCTTGTGGAGATTTCAAGGTACTCAATAGCTAGATAAAATAACTGATCTCCTGGGTGTTGAACAACTGAAGTTTGGAGACCAAAGGTAAAAAGGTAACTGGCCTAAAAGGACAGCTAGCATTTTGGCACTGGCCCTCCAAGGTCAAGACCCAGGACACGAGGGGACTTTTTCTACAAGATCCTACAACTTCGGTGAGTCATCCAACCTGCGGAGCAAGGAAATTGTTAGACCCCAAAAAACAAGAATCAACCAAAGTACAATGTGTTAAAAAGGAGAGTCAGGGCCGGGGATTTAGCTCAGTGGTTTCACCACCTGCTGCATAAGCGCAAGGACCTGAGTTCAATCCCTGGTACCAAAAAAAAAAGGACAGTCACCAAAGAGAAGATGTCTTCTATGCTTCCACAGGAAGCTATGTGCTCAAGCAAGACCCTGACCCATCCTGGTGGCTGACACTGACACAAGACCTGAGAGGCTCTACACACGGTCCCACAAATAACCCCTGGAAAATCTTAACTGACCTTGATATTTGGCAAAAGAAAAAAAGTTAATTTTGATTAATACTGGTCTCACTTTAACTTGGTCTTGGACACCCAGCAAAAAAGTATAACCAAAGACATTATTAAAGTAATAAAAGTATAGGCAAAACACCAAAAAGGGGCTCCAACCACTGATTCCTGTTCACAGTTTCTGGCAACACCTATATACAGGTCTAAAAGCCCACTAGTTACAACTGCTATTCCAATCCCTTAAAAACAGTATCTGGATATGCCTTCTTTCCCAACCTGCTTTTCTATTCTAGTGCCCATGCTTTGGTCATATGTGCTTTAAGGCTTATTTATTCTTGCCTAGAGACTGCCCTTACCAGCCTCCCCCCCCACCTTATCTGGCTAATATGTTCCTGATAGAAAAACGTGACAGAGTTTTTAAAAAAGAATACAAAGATATAAGGTGAGGGAAACTGTGAGAAGTAGGCTTTGTCTTTTCTGTCAAAGCACAAGGCCAAAGCAACTCCATTTTGGGTTTAAATGACCTGGCCATCTACTCACTACTGACCCCCCACCCCCAGCCCCATTAATATCCTGAGGTCCGAAAAATGGTTACTACTATGTACTTTTCCCCAAAATACTTTTCCTTCTAAACCCACACCCCCTCTCTGACTTACTCAGCAATGCACCAACCCCACCACCACCCCACTCTAGTCAACCGTGATAGACTGTAAGCCTTTGAATTCACCCAATGAATTTAAAGGTCAGCAGCTTCTCCTGCATTAGGGATAAAAGGGACAACCTTGCTTGTCCTGCACGCTTGCTACCTCATGCTTGCACCTCTTTACAAAAGTAAACAGCTTTGTTGAGATTTCTTAGTGTCTGAGCACTTCATTATCTGCACTGACAAATTGAATCTAGGGGCTTATTTCCAACATACATACCAAGACGCTGTCTCAAAAACCACCCCACCAAAAAAAAAAAAAAAAAAAATTAAGGGTGAGGGATCAGAGGCAGGAAGTGCACAGGGCAGGGGGCCCTGAGCACAGGAAAGTGAGGGCAGCACAGTGGCCCACGACAGACAGGGCCACAGACGAGGGCAACTGGGGCTGTCTGAGAGCTGCCTCTGGCTCTCCTGGGACTGTCTGCCATGGGCACAGTGACAAGAGTCAGTTCTCAGCGAGCTAGAAGAGGGCAGTGAGGAACCACAGGCAGGCAGGCACAAAGGCCAGGACATGCTGATGGGCCGACACCTGAGCCCCGTCCACCTCGCCTCCTGATCAGCCCGGACACCAGCAGGGTGTGGGACACCAGAGGCCTCCTGATCCCAAGTGCCAAAAGAAAAGACAGGAACCCAGCCCCGCAGCAGAACTGCAGCCGGGCACAGCCCTACTCCCAGCAGTCCGGGCTGCAGCTCTGCAAACCCCATGGCTGCCTTCCTTCCACATGCACAACACTTCCCAGAAGCCCATAGAGTGCAGGCTGGCGCCCACCTACTACAACCCTACCTTCTTAGCAGCAGCCAACTTCCACCTTCGCTCCTGGGCAAAGTCTGTGGCCATCCACTGCATCTCCTCCAGAAGGTAGTCCCAGTGGGACTTGGGGCGGGGGGCCTCCTGCAGCTTAGGCAGCCGCCTCAAAGACCATAAGCCTTCCTTTCGCAAATCTGCTATCCGCTGGTGGATCTGGTTTTCCTGGAAGAGTGCAGTATGGGGAGACAAGTGGTGAGCACACAATTAGTGTGTCCCACTAACCTGGGCCCAAGAATCTTCACACCACCATAGGAAAGGCTCAGTCAGGCACTGAGGGGAGAGACCACGAGGAGGCGAGCCTTGAATACCAGTCACATGGCTTGAGGGCTGTCAGCAGAGCGAAGCTGTGACTCTCCTGGATGCCTCAGAGGAGGCCAGAGCAGCAGGCCCACCCCACCTCTAAAAGCAGAATAAAACCCAACCAAGGTAACTTAGTGGAAAAGTACTTGCCTTGCATGCATGAGGGCCTAGGTTCCATTCCCAGCACCAGAAACTCCAGGGCCTCTGCATTCTAGGCAACCATTCTACCACTGAGCTACATCCTCAGCCCCAGTACTTTTTATTATTTTTTATTTTGAAGTAGGGTCTCCCTGAGCTGCTGAGGGTAGTCTCTAACTCTGGATCTTCCTACCTCAGCCTCCTGAGTAGCTAGGCATATACTACCTTTCCCAGAAAAACCCAATGTTTGTGGGGTTGGGGATTTAGCTCAGTGGCACCATGCCTGCCTCGAAAGTGCAAGGTCCTGAGTTTAATCCCTGGTACCCAAAAAAAAACAAAAACAAAAAAACCCAAATGTTTGTACCAAAGTATTTATAAGGAAAACAATACAATGCTGGAATCTGCTTCAAAACCATCAGGGAGGAGAGGAATCTAGGAAGTGAGACTGCCATATATTGATCACTGTGTTATAGTCAGATAAGGAGGAGCAGTGGGTTTGTAACATTCTATTTTGATCTACTTTATCTTTTTCTTTTTCTTTTTTTTTTTTTGGTACTGGGGATTGAACTCAGGACTTTGTGCTTGCAAGGCAGGCGTGGCACCACTGAGCTAAATCTCCAGTCTACTGTGATCTTTTTTATTCCCCTAATGAAGTTGAATAAAGGAAGTGCTTAGGCACCTAACAAAAACTAAGCACTCCATGCTGGGCAGCAATGCTAGGAGAGGGCCACCCTGACTTACCACCAGGCCTACCTGGCTGTGCCGCCTCCCCTGAAGCTGTTAGGAAAGCAGCCCCGCACTGTCTTATCACAAGCAAGAGACTGCTCAGAGCCTGCTTCCACCCAAGGAGGGGATGACCCAAGCTTTGACTGTGGCTTCTAATGACCCCAAGCCATGCTGAATTGTCCTCACCAAGTGTTCAGCTTTAAACTACCACAGCCTTCAAAATCAAAACCATAAACACTCCACAAACAGGAACACAGGCCAGGTATGAGAGTTCATACCTGAAGGCCCAGGTACTCTGGAGGCTGAGGCAGGAGGCCGGAGGCCTAGGCCCAAGAGTGGGAGGCCAGCTTGGGCAACATAGCAAGACCTCCACCTCCTTGGCACACACGTTCTAACTGGCTTCAGCACACTTACCAGGGCTATCTGCTCTGCCAGCTTCTCCTGAGGGGTGTCCTGGGATGTGGTAACATTCTGTGCAGGGCTCTGTGGTTTGGGGGGGCCCGGCACCGCTGCCCCAGGAGACCGGGAAGTGACAGGAGACAACGCCTTGCTGCTTGCGGAGGGTCTGCTCACTGGCGAGGACCGTGCAGGCAAGGGTCCCGGGCCTGCACCACTCACAGGTGCAAGGGACGAGGAAGAAGATGGGGTGGGCAGGGGCCGCTGGCAGGGCTGGGCAGGGTCCAGTGGGGGCCTGGCCGACGCCACAGTCTAACAGGCGGGACAACAAAGCAGGGTCAAGACGAGGCCCTAGGACCTACGAGACCAGCCCCACCCCCTCCTCCCACAATAGCAAGTGAGCAGAGCTCACCGCGTGCCCAGACTGTGAGACCACAGGTGGCACAATGTCCAGGAGGCCAGTCCACTTCTGGCCCAGGACTTAGTAAGAGCTCTCTACAACCTGCACCTTCACCCCTTCTTTTAGATCTCATTGAAGCTCTTTATTTTGCTTTTCCAGTCTTTCTGTTGTTTTCTAAGTACAATAAATTTTCATTTTAATTATGCAAGCTTTTTCCTCACTGGTAAATGCCTCGTGCTCATCTTGCATCCTTTTCTCTGAAGAGCAAGCACAAATTCCAAGTACATCTCTCACAGGAGGCAGACAGAAGCCCCAGGGTTGTCCCAAGGTCTAGCTTAGGAAACTAAGGGCCTTTGGCACCAGGACAGAGGCCGGCTAAGCACTCAAGGGGCCCTTGAAGGGCAGGCACAGATGGGGCGCAGGCCACAGGGCTAGGGCTCGAGGGCAGAGGAGACTCAGAGGCCGCATGGCACACACTTTCAGAAACGAAGCTGTATGGCCCACATCTGCTCACTCACATGCTGCGTTGTCACACTGGCAGTAGAGCTAAGTGACAGAGACCCAATGAGCAGCAAAACCAGGAAATTTCCTAACAGGCCCTTTAAAGAAGATGTATGCCAACCCCTGCCCAGCCACAATTAACAGGTTGCCACTGATTTATAAATCATTCCCCACAGCTGATCCCTCCAACAAGACAGGCAGATAAACCAGTCTGTGAAGAACCACAGCGCTGCTCCAGCCCAGTACGTGGCTCCAAGAGAGGAAGAACTGCACCCACAAGCACCCAGGGGCCAAGCATGCCCCCCCTGGCTCTGGCTGTGCAATGTGCTGAGCTGCTGGTCTTTCTGGACTAAGTGTTTCTCATCAGTGAACGGGCAGAGAGGGCCTGCCTCTTAGGCTCCCTGAGCACAGAAGATACAGTGATGCCAATGAAGTCCTCTTCATGGTGCCTGACCACTCAGCTGGCAGATGACAAGGAGGTGGGGCCTGCTACTGACTGCTGTTGTGCTATTATTATACACCTAAGACCTGGCTTCAAATCATAGTGAACTTCAACTCAAAGCTCCCGGAAATTCCCTTGGAAGTGAGCAGGAGGTGAGAGGAAAGGTTTTCTCAAGATACAAATGAGTGATGAGAGTGGAGACAATTCTCTGAGAACCCTTCCCTCCAGCCCCTTCACGCTCTCTCAGAAGGACAGTACCCAAGCTCCCAAAACTCACTGGTCTTCAGGAACTGAAGCCAGCTTGCTACAAACCTTCCAAACACACACTAAGGTGAAACAGACTGATGGGGGAAGAAGAGCATTTTAAACAAAATGTGTATTACACCAAATCAGTGATGCCTCACACACATTTATAATCTATAGGATCAAATAAGAGAAAGGCATGTAGAGAAGATCTATTGGGTGGTTAGGAGCATGCCTTTGCCCTCAGAGCAGGGTCCCACTCTGGCTTGTCAGCTTGGCACCATGTTAATAAGGGGCCATGCCCAGCATCTCTGAGGCTGGTAGAGCTGGGCTTCATCTGACTAGGCAGTTCTCAGGCTGTAAGGGATACACCACCCTCTGCAGTGTGCAGCAACAGGTGCCATGAGGCCCAGTGCTAAAGGCACAATAACAATAGCTTCTTAGTATGTTTTTGTTTTTGAAACAGAGTTTTACTGTGTAGTTCAGGCTGGCCTTGAACTCCCAAAGATCCTCCTGCCTCAGCCTTCCAAGTACTGTGATTACAGGCGTGAGCCATCATGCCTAGTTTCCTGGTATTTTAATAGTGACTACTGTTCCTGCATCAGATGAAATCATCTCGGAGCCACCAAAATCAACCCAATGTTCTAAGAGGGCGAGCAAAACTGCTATGCTATGAGAAAATGAACACCCAGCAACAAGTCAGTTCCCCAAATTGTTTTCTTTTTTCCTGCAACTAACAAAACAACAAATGTCTGCAGAGTACCTGGGGCTGGACCGGAAGCTGAGAGACCTGCAGCTGTGCCTTCCCGGCCACCGGGGTATGGAGGGCTGGCTGTGCAGGCTGGGCAGAAGGGGTGGGGAGCTGACTGGGAGGGGCGGCAGGAACAGGGATGTGTGGCTGCTGAGTCTTCCCCGGGATCTGGAGCTGGGCCTGGGCCTCGCCCACCTGAGGCTGCTGCGAGAACTGCATCGAGGAAGGGAGGGCTACAGTGGGCACGCTGGCTGGGGGTAGCCTGGCGGGCAGCTGCGGCGGTGGAGTGTGCAGGCTGGCAGCGTTCTGCACAGGGGGTCCTGTGGAGGGGTCATACTGCTGCTGGCTCTGCTTCTGTCCAGAGAGCTGAGCGGCTTGGGGGGTGGGTGGCATCCCTCCTGCAAAACAAGAAAGCCCAGAGCACTGACTTCAGAGCATGGCAGCTTCACCAAGTCACGAGGAAACACCTGACATCCCAAAGCCCACGTGAGAACCGCCACACTCAAATGGAGTGAGTGTTCTACAGTCTAACGTTGGATGAGCACACAGAGAAGGAAAGAAAGGCGCTTGGCTTTCGCAAGTTAGCACCAAGCAAAACGAGCATCCAACAACCACAGGGCACCCAAAACAGCAGCGACTCAGAAACACACAGGAGTGAAACTTGCTAGAAAGCACAACGACAAGGAGGTGTGGGTCCCATGTGAGTGGCCAGAATGGTCTCCAGGGGCTTTTCCACAGGGGGCTGAGGGGACTTGGAGGAATGCCCCAACTTTAGCACTCCCTTGACTGCACAGCCTCAAGGCTGTCAAGGGCTCCGTGCACGCCCTCGCTATACGCGAACGGCACTGCTCTCCGCCGGGGCTTACCTTGGACTGTCGGCATTAACTGCTGCAGAGGGACGCCTGTGTTCACCCCTGGATGCTGGAAAACTACCCCTGGATGACCCACTTCAAGGCGAGGTCGCTTAGACTGCTCTAGAATAATTTTCAAGAAAGGTGCCGTTTCATGTAAAAATAAAACCACAGAAGTAGTAGAAAAAACATGTGTTAAGTGTCTTTATAATCTCTGAACAGGAGAGGCCTTTCTATGCCATAAAAGATAAAGTTGATAAATATCGTTTCTTTTCATTAAAAATTTGCCAATATAAGAAAAAGTATCATTAAAAGGCAAAGGACAGGCAACAGTTGAGAGACATGGCAACAAGAGACAGGTGGGCTGGTTTTGAACATTCCAAGAGCGTTCACAAACCCATGGACAGTCTCAGTGACCAGGTGGGCAACACGGGCAGAGAACATGAGCAGCTAGCACAGAACAGACTCACAAACAGTTAACAAACATGAGGAGACACTATGTGGCCTTACGCAAAACCAGAGAAACCCACACCCAAACAAAAGCTAATTTTCACCTTCAGATCATCAGATTAAAAGGTACGTAATACTAAATAAAATGGCCAGCCAGGAGCTGTGGCACACAGCTCTAATCCCAGCTACAGGGGAGGCTGAGGCAGGAGGGTCTCGAGTTCAAGGCCAACCTGGGCAACTGGCAACTAAGCGAGACTGTCTTAGAGTCAAAAGAATAAAAAGCACTGAGAATGTAGTTCAGCAGCAGAACGTTCCCTGAGTTCAGACCAATACTGTATCATGTAAACTTAACTAATAAGATGACCAAACTGTGAGAGAACCAGACACTGCCAACAGCAGTAGAACTGGCCCTGCCCCTCTGGAGGGTAAGTTAACTGGTACCCCAAACCACCACTGTACCAAGATTTAACCAGACAGCTTGTTTCTGGGAGCTTTTTCTTTAGATAAGCTGATATGTGTCAGACACACTTGAGACTAGATGCCCAATCCTCTGTGGAGTGTGACAAAAGGGGGCACTAACAAACGAACACTGGTAAGAGCTGGCTGGTAAGGTATGAGTCCTCCACACAAGGGAATACGACACAGCCTCCAAAAAGAATCTGGTGCATGGCTTCTAGAGACAGCCATTAATTATTAAGTTAGTATCTTTAAAAAGACGTAATAGTCAGTATATGACATTTAATTTTTTTCAGAGTAACATACATGCAAACAATACTCGAGTCTGTGCAAATCCACAAATATGAACAGCAGTTACTGCTGTGGCTGGGGAGGAGGCAGGCACCAAACCAGAGGCAGCCTAAAGCGACACCTTCAGAACCACCTGAGTCTTTCGTTGTGCTTAGAATGTGAAGGAAAACTTCAGTCTAAAAAATGACTTCAAGAAGTGGGTGATGTTGTGTTTAACCATATCACGGTGACTAAGGTGCCTAGAGGTGCCGATGAAAAGCCAAAATGGAACACACTTGATCCACTGAAAAATGTCAAGTTTGCTACACATAAGCATCACATAAATACTTCGTTCAGCTGATGATCACCAGAAGAAAACTAACTTTGAAAGGAGGAAGAAGCTAAGCTCTCTAGAGTCAGCAGGCAAGGGACAGGGTGTGGTCACCCGCCAGCTGGCTGCCCCAAGAGCCCGGCCCGGCACGTACCTGCAGGTGGCATCGCTGGTTGCCTCCGGAAGGGGTCCGCCTCTGCTGCAGTGCCAGGCCCCGCCACCAGGCTCCCCACCAGGGCCTGCTGCTAGAAACACGAGAAGCTGTGAGAGTCCCCTCATCCATGGGCGTGAGAAGGCTGAATGTCAACTATCATAATGATCCCAAACACCAGCCCCACTCATTTTTAACAGGAGAAATGTTATCTACTCCGTGTCTTTAAACAGACGTAGGTAATGTATACTTGTGCATGATAAACACTGCACAGTTCTAACTTACCTCTGCAGGACAAAAAGGACTTATAAAAGACATTATTCTGGTTTTAAACAGAATTTCAAATCAGCACAAATCTACAGTCCTTGGGCACCTAACTAGCTCTGTATCGGGTAAATGACACCAAGGGGCCTCTCGGGTGAAACCTTGGCTTCCGCTCTGCGACTACAGCTTGGCTGACTGCCCAGGCGCACTGACGGCCCAGACTCACACCAAACACGGCTCAATAGTCCAAGGAAGCATAGGCTGTCTTCTACTGCAAAATGACACTAAAATTCCCATTAAGTAACAGTCTAACTTGGGTCATCAAAGTGGTATTTCTTAGGGTTAGCAACCTACAGGAGTTATGTGAAATGTGTGTGCTGTGTTACTTACATATTTCAAAGCAAGAGAAACCAATCTACAAAGGCCTGTGCTACCTGGTTCCAAGCACCTGTAAGACATTCTGGAAAAGGCTGTGTATGGGGCAGGGAAGGGAGTCCTCTGTGCCTTTCTCTCAATTCTTTTGGTTTTTTTTTTGGTACCAGAGATCGAACTCAGGTCCTTGCACTTTCAAGTCAGGCGTCGGAACCACTGAGCTAAATCCCCAGCCCTTTCTCTCAATTCTGCTATGAACCTAAAACTGCTCTAAAAAATAAAATCTTTCAACCAAGTTGAGTGCATGCCACTAATCCCAGCCCACTCAGGAGGCTGAGGCAGGAGGATCAGAAGTTCAAGGCCAGCCTGGGCAACTCATCGAAAGAGCTGGGTGTGCAGCTTGGTGGCAGAGCTCCTGCCTAGCATGAGCAAGGTCCTGGGTTCAATTCCCGGTACCAAAAAAACAAAATGAGTAATTTTTAAAAGTTGACCTAAAAAGCCACTGTGTTATTTTGCAAAGACAACTAGCTCAGTCTTGGTGAGCACAATGAACCCTTTTCAATCAGCATGAGAACTTGGCCACCCCAGCAAAGGCCACTACAGCCACGCTGGTAGGGACAAGATTCCATCTGTCTATTCTGCTCAGACAGGTGTTTCAATCAGAAGCTACGCACACCTAAACAAAGTCACCTCAACAAGGGGGATGGCTTCAAGCCACTGCCCTGCAGCCCTGCACAGCCACTCACTGCCAACCATGTCACCGTGTTTGTTCACAAGTGACACCCAGGACAGTCACCAGGAAGGCACTCTGCTACACTCAACAAAGAGGGAGGAAGAAGGAAGAGAGTAGAGGACAGAGGGTGGACAAAGGGGAGGAAGAAAAGAAGGAGTGATGTGAAAGACTGATGGGATGCTAGCAGCATCCTCTCTGTGGCAGGCTCACAGGCACCTTCATTATGTTTTTTGGTAGCAGCGTTGGGGACGGAACCCAGGGCCTTGTGCATGCCAGGCAAGGGCTCTAACACTGAGCTCCACCTCAGTCACTACAGGTAACTTTTAATCTGTATGTGGATTTTCTAAATTTCCCAAATGCCCAATAGTAAACATGCACTAATTATGAAAGAGCAAATTATTTTTAATAAAAGAAAATGATAAAGGGGTACATTCCAGATAACTGTTAAGTAAGCTGTTAAAAATATGAAAAGACACTAGTGATATGAGGGGAATCATACTTGTGAGAAGGGAATGGGGCTCAGCAGGTGTCCAGAGCTGGTACATGGGGTGGTACGGAGCCCAGGGTACACCCTGAGGACTGACCCAAAGCCAGGATGAAGGAGCCTGCTGGAGAGAGGAGCCTGCCTACCTCCCTGATCCCGGCCAGACACAAACAGCACAGGAAAGCCAAGACACGAAGCAGATGTCAGGGCCACCTGCCTTAGGAGAAGACCACAGTTTCAGTTCCACAGTGAGCTAGGTATTAACACAAAACTCTCAGAATCCTCAGAAGACTAACAGAAGCCAGTTTCCAAAATTGAATACAAAACTGCTCAAACTTGTAAAAGAGCAAGAAAACATGAGCCAAACTCAAAAGATAATTAATGGACATCAATCCCGGGGCAGCCCACAGCTGGAATTAGAAGGCAAGGACTTCACAGTGCTTTTGATAAGAATGCCCAAGAATGTAAAGAAAAACACACAGTAATAAAGGACAAGCTGAAAATTTTGTCGGGAAAACAAACTGTGGAGAGCAGCTTAAAGGTTCTAGAACTCAAAAACACAACATCTGAAATAAAAATTCCCTAGAAGGGCTCAATGATGACCTGAGAGTGCAGAGGAGGCAGCGACCACAAGACAGGACTCCCACAAGCAGAGCCACGCAGGGCCTGACTTCCATGCTCACACCAAGGCTCCAGCAACCAGGACCTGCAGTGCCCACCTAACAATCAATACACACAAGCACACGATTTTCAAACTTGCCAGAGCAATCTGAAGGCAAACAAAAAGCCACTCAATGAATGGTGTGGGAAGATGGATATGCACATGAAGAAACCAACGAACTGGGCTTCATTAACACATTCTGTCAGCTTGAACCACCAGTGGGAGAAGTGGTACAGTCATGCATGGGCCGATCATGCATGTACCAGTGCCTCACGAATTCCCCCCGCCATGTGAACATGCTAAAGTCAGAAAGGTCTGCACCCCTCGACACTGACAGGTGGGCAAGCCCTCCACTGCTTCTAGGCCCCGGCTGGCACTCAGCCTGGCCAGGACAGGGGACATGGTTGCTGGATGATGCTCTCTCCCTGGCACTCACTGGCAGCAACCATTCTTCACTGGTAGAACGTTTAGTTTTGTATTTCATCAGCATGGCAAAAAAACTAATACCTTTAAAATACAAACCTGAATGCACCTTGAGACCATAATGTTAAGTGAAATAAATCAGACACATAAGTTTACTGTTTGATTTTTCTCATATAAGAAACCCAAAATATAAACAGCAAAATAAAACAGATAATAGGAAGTAGGGAGATAGTTTACAAGTGGGAAGGGGAACAAGAAAGAGATGGAGGAAGAAAGGAAGGAAGGGGAAAGTGATTAAAAAAAGAAAAGAATGGAAATAGCGAGCCCAGGATTTAGCTCAGTGGTTCCGCCACCTGCCCTGCAAGCGCAAGGACCCAAGTTTGATCCCCGGTACCAAAAAACAAAATAAAATAAAATAAAATACAAACTTGAGCAGCCAGGTATGGTTGCAAACACCGGTGACCCCAGTACTCAGGAGTCTGAGGCAGGAGGAGTATGAACTTGAGACCAATCTAGACTAGAGTGAATTCAAGGCATGCCTAGACTACAATAGTGATACTTTGTCTCAAAAAGAATAAATATTTGCAAGAAAATAAAATATAAACTTGACTTGAAAAGAGAAAACTTTTTTTTTTTTTGAGACAGGGTCTCGCTTTGAAGTCAGGCTGCCCTCGAACTCCCAGTGATTGTCAGGCCTCAGCCTCCCAGTGCTGGGATTACAGGCCTGTGCCACCACACCTGGCTGAGAAAACCCTTTTAGAAAGAAAAAATAATTCCCCATGGAGGAAACGGATACTTACAGGGGTTTAATTCTCGGTGCTCTGTAAGATAGACAATGCCAAAAGAAAGTTTACTCAGAGCCTAGAAACCACTGACAGGAGAAGAAACGAGACCCACGTCCCACAGGAGAGACAGCCTGGAACATCAGCCACCTTGACACAAGTGGACTGAAGACCAGTAACAGCTGGCAGCTTCTGGGAACCAAATTTCTGCCCAATTTAAATAAACAAATACTTAAGTAAATGGTAAGCTAGGAGGGCCATGCCCTTTTCAAGACTGACTCAGTCACTGAAAGGCAGAACCGGCCACAGGAGCGGACAGAGGTCCTCCTGAGCACCTCAGGACACATGTCTAAGTGTGTAAGTGGGGGGACCGAGTACCCTACCCACCACCTCTGTTCCTCCCAGCTTCCAAGCCTCCTCAGGCTAGATCTTGCACACAGCTAACTGAGGAGAGCTCAAACCATCTGTGGTGCCTTCACTTCACTACTTTTCTTTTTGAGAAGTGCTGTAATAAGCTATTTTAATTCTTTCTTTTTTTTTTTTTGGTACCGGGGATCAAACTCCGGCCCTTGTGCTTGCAAGGCAGGTGCCGGAACCACTGAGCTAAATCTCCAGCCGAAGTTATTTTAATTTAAACATTCACTATATTCTTCAATCACACCTCACATATCAAAACAAGATAACACTGGGCCGGGGATTTGGCTTAGTGGTTTTACCGCCTGCCTCACAAGCGCAAGGTCCTGAGTTCAATCCCCGGTACCAAAAAAAAAAAAAAAAAGATATCACTGTACCACTGTATTTCTATAAACTTTTACTATACACATAAAAATATGTGCTTATACATAAAATAATATACAAAGCAGCTGTGTTATTATCATTGAAACACTGTAAACACAGGAAAGCACAGGAATAACTGATACCAGTAATACTCCTGCATGCAGTAACCACACTCCTGACATCATCTCAACAGCCTTGAGAAACAGACAAAAAGAACATGCGCGCTAGCACTGGGACTGCAAACCTACAGCTTGATTAGCACAGATACTGCTGCAAATAAAGCTCACACTGAAGCCAGGGTTTTTTTGTGTTGTTTGTTTTATGAGACAGGGTCTCACGATGCAGTTCGGGTTGGCCTCGAACTGGCCTGCCATCAGCCTCCGAGTGCTGGGATTACGGTGTGCATTACCACACCCGGCTGAAGCTATGTTTAAACCTTTTAGGGACACTCAGTATGGCGGCCAAGCCTGTCACATACCAGCAGTAAGGCTCAAGGCCACACCAACAGGCTTAGCGCTCCTGACTGAACCCCAACTACACACACAGCAGCTCCTCAGGTGCTAAGGCCTCCTGGTCCAGGCATACTACCCCAAAGGAC